AACACACAGTAGCGTTGGATAAAATGAGTTCGGTATTAGTAAAACTATACTGTGATATTTTTTTTGGACGTTTGTTTAGTGAATTCAGCAACTAACTGGTTCCCCTGAAATCTACTTTTTTACCTTGTTAGGCTAATTCATGGTGTGGTCATACCATTTAAACACAAATACCTTGTTTTCCATAACCTTCCATCAAAATGCCCTGATTTTCGCCTGCCTCCAAAATGTCTTCTGAGTTTTGATTACATCTTCATGTGAAAATCATCGAGGGAAAACGTTCCGTTATCTCAGAGAGCCTCTCTGATCCCAGGCTTCTCTCTGCAGTGATGAGATCTGCCATTCTGTAATTAGACTACAGAGGGCGTAAAACTGTCATTTGTAAATGGTTCATTCTTTTTATGAAAAAACTGAATTCATTTCTCAACACATAAAATAATTTAGCACTGCTGTTATAGTATTGAGCACCTTCCAAATAAATCCAGTTATAAGACCTTTAACAGCACCTTTGGTGCTTTCATGACGCCGATGAGCTGATCAGCTCGCCAGCCAATCAGCACTCAGGAGCTGTAAGGTTAAAGGAGAGTTTCACTGATTTCCAGTAGTCATTCTGAGTGGTTTGGTGTGAAATGGTTTAGAGAGACTCTGACTTCCTAACAGTGATGTGAAAGGAACCAAGGGGTACTTCTGTCCAATAAGAATGTCAATCGGCTCTTCTCCTGTTGGACAGGCTGTACCAGAGACGCTATGATGAGGAGACCGACCCCTGGTTGAAATATGAACGTGAAAGTTCGTAACACTCAACACGGCGTCTGTTTACTGAGAAAGTCCCGCCCTTCACGACAAGGAGCCAATCAGTTTGCTGGTTACGCCGCCAGCGGGGAACGCCCCCCTCTTGTGGAGATCTGCGCAAGCGCAGTAGCCAGAACAAACCGAAATAAGGTTTTTGTGCGTTACTGAGCCAAACGGTACAATCTTCTTGAGGTTTTTGTCAGATTTTATTAGTGATTTCACATATGTCTCCGTTCAGTGAGACAGGAGTCTGGTCTTGTATGGCTTTAATAACTGCCCGACGGCGTTGCAAAGATGGGCACCGAGTGAACAGACTTTCCTAAAAGGACTTTCGCTTTACTTTGGGCTTAAATTATCAGGCTAAACTGAAAAATCCTGCTTTGTTAAATACCCTCCAGGGGTCGCCAAGTCTACAACACAATAATAGGCATTTTATTTAAGTTACTATCCAAAATCACCGGTGGACCTACCCTCGTCATCTGTGTTTTTATATGTAATGTAGGTGATGGTAAAATAGTTATAAATCTGAAAAAGAAAAAGTTTTCTTTGGGGACTTCTTTGGGGTTTTTTTCTCAAGACTATCGTAAAACAATCAAACGTAAATAAATCAATAAAAAGACACCAGGCAGCGTATTTATAACTACTTCATGTGGTAACTTTCTCTAAGGGAGCTTTTAGAGGCGGACGTCTGGGTCCTGTCACCACCACTGTGAACAATTCTGACTTGGTAAGATTGATGGCTTTGTTTACATCTTAAGCATTTCATTAGAAAGAGTTCCCCTTTACCGTCCTACTGCCCAAACCCTCTTTCCTATAGAAAACCTGTAAATACTGGTATTTTCCAAAATTGAAATAAAATCCTTCATGAAATACTCAGAAAATATTTGGCATTTTAGCTGAGTTCTGTTCAAATCTATTCACTGAAACTCACTTGTGTGCCCTCTAGTGTTCTGCAACAATGTTTTTTGGTATTATGGGAGGAATAGGAAGTGACCATGCTCTCCTTAAATTAGACCCAAAAGATCTGTCCCAAGTGTCACATTTGCGGTCCTACGGTCCTCATTTGTGCATGCCTGAGAGGGTGTAGGGTGTCCCGTTTCTCATTTTAGAGTTTAGAGGGGTGTACACAAACGCCCTTAGTGCGGCCTCTGGCGAGGACCGCATTGATGCGGATTCAGCAGTGGCCTATTAACCAAAATGTCTTAAGCTACATGTTTGGATTCAGAGGTTTCAGGTCAAAGGGGTTTGTTTACAGCTGCCTTACCACAGTGGCAGAAAAGAAGATATTAAGGTATAAGTTTGTTCATTAATTTAACTTTGAGCTGTGTGATGCTGCTCGTAACCTGGATTGAGTCACTGTGGATATCCAAATTAGGTCATATCAAAAATTAGAACGTGCTTAGTCTCTACATCTCACAAGTCTGTCCCAAATGTACGCTTTTCAATCTAGCACCCCTTAGGGCTCTTGCCCTATGCATCAGCATGTTGTTGATGTGACAAGGAGGACCGCAGGGCTTAGGACATTTTTGAGACAGGCCTAAACAATACTGAATACAGCAGCATATATCTTCTTACAGTGTTGAAGGGATATACATTATCTCCCCTAATCAAATCTGTCCAAAAATGTCCCAAATTGTGTTGAGAGGGGTAGGGCGAAGTGTTAGGGCTACATGGCCCTCCAAACGGAGGTTTTTTAGAGGCTCACTCCAAACAGAGTGTTATGAGAAAAAAGGAAAAACCAGCAAGATTGCGGAACGAGCAACAAGCAATTAAAACATTACGATAGCCATTGTATTATCTATGTTTAATATTATTTCAATGTATTATGGTCCTTTTCTTTATAACAAGCATAAAAATTGCTAGTGGTATGCTGATGTCTTGGTAGCTAGCTAACTAAATTTCTCGTTCCACCTTAAATGGTGCAGCAGTTACATTCTGGTACCATTCAAGGTGGAACGGGAAAATTCAAATTCATATTTTCATATCACTGATGAATTAGGGGTGCGTGATAATAAATAATTGCCCCTCCCCCCTAAATTTAACTAAAGACCAGCAGTGAGGTTGCTGAACTTTACCTTCCTCTACTATCACTGCAGACTGGCAGGGTTGCCTACAGAGCTAGTAGTCTGTTAACGAAAGTAATGTTCTTTTTTATTTGAGGGCTGGCCCATTTTGTAGGGGAAGATTTCAACCACTAGAACTTGTAATTCAGCCCCTTGCAAGTGACACTCGAAAACAAGGGGTATGGGTAAAAATAAGAAATGGGACTGGGCCCTTGTGTGATCACAAATCTGAAGGACCTTTTTGAAAAAACCGAACTGATCAAGCTGTATAGCTAAAATGTGAATTTTTATCAATTAATTGAACATATTTGGAAAGAGCAGTAATGGCTGAATACTGAATACACTGTCCTAAATATATTCGGCAACGTATTCCATTACAATACATAAAGTAGTAACATATTCAGAATACATCTTGGAAAGACACATGGGAAAACTTTTTTATACTTAATTCACACTGTTCCTCGCAAACATTGACTTGGTTTACAGTTTTCTGCATCTGATAAAGAAAATTCTTTACTTTTTTCTCATCACCTGCTTTAGTCCATTGCTGCTCCCAAAATCCCCCCAAGCAGGAGTCCAGTACAACACTGATAGCTAGCTTTAACAGAGCTCTGTAACACTGAGATAAATAACTGGCTCATCACCTTGATTTATCAGTCTACTCAGTCTTTAGTAGGAACTTAAGTGTAAAAAAGCAGTTAATTGAGATCATTCCTAGAATTTGTCTAACAAGCATGTTTGCTACATGCTGTGCATAGATTTCACAATCGTTAATTAAAAAAAGCATTGATGGTGTTTCTTTTGAAAATTGTATGTTTTATTTATTGGGTAGGTATTCTGAAATGATTGTCCTAAAATGTAAAAGGTACCTGTATTCTGAATACTGCCTTTATACTGCCTTTACTAAATGTAACTTGGACTGAATAAAGATACTTAATTTGACTTCATTTCAGTTTGTGTCTATATCGTTGTCGGTGGAGCTTCTAGCCAATGAGTATTAGGCACTGCTGTCATTAAGGCGTCTCTCAGCTCATGTAGCCTTGAAGTTACAATGCCATAGTTCATTGTGGCACAAATCTAACTGACATGCCTTGTTCTGAGCCATGCAGTGATTGGCCTAGTGCCACATAAAGTTTAACAAGACAACACTGAAGTTATAAAGAATGTTTCAGCCCAGTGTGATGAAAACAGTCGACAATGTCAAAAGTCAATGTACATATGACTAAACTTGCATAAAAAGTTGACACTTACCTGTGTAGTGGTACAGCTAAACATGCTATCTATAGGCTGGAGTTGAATAGCTTGTCCTATGGAAAGAATTTAGCATCTATCGAGTAACTGGATACTGCACATTCTGAATAGCAAGTCTGAGAATTACTGTGAGTTTACCTTGTCAGTCATCTATATAACCGGAAACAAATTCAGAAGCACAAATGAAGCAGACAGGGGAGTAAATTTACAAACATTACCAATTTTTGAATTAAGCAAACTGCCTTGATAATTTAACAAAGGGAAATCTTTGGTTTAAATCACAACCCAGTCAGTTTAATATTAGATGAGAAGCAGTCGTCATTTAGAGTGGTTTGATTTATGACTATTTCAACACTCTCAACATTACATATAAAAACTCAAAAGACTTGTGTAGGTTCACTGGTGGTTTTGGTTAGGAAACTAAATGGTTATATTTGTGTTGTGTTATGTGTTGTGCGACCCCTGGTTCCTATCACTACCACTATAAAGTATAACTTGTGTTTCGTAGTAACGTTAACAAAGTACACTATAGACCTACAGACCTCTCATTGGCCATTTTAGGTACTAAAGACTGACAGGTTGCTGTAACGTTTTACTATAACATTTAATATGTACAATTTAACATGTGAAGAGATGACAAGAATTGAAAATCTCGCGTCAGCTTTTTTTTCAAAAAAATTTTTGCACGGCTTTTTTGTAATGTAACAATAAATTATGATTGTGACTGTACTTAAATCCACACACATGGACCTCGTGGAGAAAAAAAGGATTTGGATCCTTTAGATCTTCGGTCCCATTGATTTTTTTACAAAAACATCCTCCCGTTCCCCGTTTCAGATCACGCGAGATTCAATGTTGTACGTTTGCAAATCACGCGAGATTTCCCACTCCTCCGATAACGCCGCATTACAGTGTGCGACAGAGGCAGGTAAGATGGCGGCGCAGGAGACCGAAGCAACACAGCAATCGACCGTGAGCAACGGCGAGGTAAGAGAGACAGAAACGGAGACAGCGGGGGCGACATAACACGCGGGTCGTGCTGCTATAGGCAACTCTTTGTCCTCGTTCTGTAGGACCATCTAGTAAATCCTCCAGCGGCTCTGCTGTTGCTGTGGTTCAGTCTAAAGTAAAGCCGGTCAGCAGCCTCGACCCCCGGCGCTCCAGCACTCACTCACTTAGTGGGCACTACGAGGCTGGAAGTTGGCTGCCCATTCGGCAGCTTCTTGTTCGAATTTTCCCGTTCCACCTTAAAACAGTGCAGCAGTTACGTTATGGCGCCTCCTGGATGTTTCCCCATCGCACCATTTAAGGTGGAACGGGAAGATTCGAACAAGAAGCTCCCTTCAGCTTCGTTTGTTCGCTGGTGGAGCTAAACGCTAACGAAGAGGAACTAACGTTAACATCAGCCACGCTGTGAGCTCTTATAGCGTAGTATACCTAGCACCCCGTCCCTGTTCGCTGAATGATAAAAAGCTACACACGTTCACGGCTGTTTTCCTTCACGTCGTCGTCTTAATGTCAACATTTTATTCGACTTGACGGCGTTTACGGTTCGGCCCACCGCTAGCTTAGCTGGCTAATAGACCCCGTCATCCTACATGCCTGGTGGCTAGCACTGAGGAGGAATGATAGTCAGCACATTACCGACCTCTTCGACCAAAACTCCCCACTTTGATGCCCGAGCTTTGTCAGTATTCCGTGTCAGTTTTGTGGTGTGGTTGGTAGCGTGTAGCATTTACGAGCTGGTTAGTAAACGACGTTAGTTTGGAGGGCCAGATGCTTAGCAAGCTAGTTTAGCTCACTAACAAATAGGTTAATCTACCCGGTCACAGCCAATCATTAACGTCAGGGCTTGATGGATTACTTCTCACTGTTTGTCTTTTCTTCGCCTTGTGTGACCTAACGTTGCCCATAGCTGGGTGATCTTACTTTTTATGTAACACGTGAACGTTGTCTTTTCTCTGATGAATGAGGGTTTAAATTCAGGGATTCAGGTGGCCTGTGTCTCACACAGTCATGCATGCAGTCATGTCGTGGCCTTCGCTGTGTCACTCAGCTCGAGATCGCACTGTTTGGTTAAAATAAAGAAATATGAATCTGGTCTGTTTGCTGGTCAGTACTCTTGGCCACTCCACTCTTGTGTTTGATCGTTCACTCTAATAATTTGAACACGAGCCCTGAAGCAACACGTGTTTAATCATTAATCCTCAGTTGGTGTTCAGAGTCGACTTCCTTATTATTGTTTGTCTGAAAGGCCGGCATAATGGGGTATGATGAGTTTGCATGTTTGAAGATACCAACAGGTTTAGTGTTTTTAGGAGTTACTTCATATAAGTTCTGCTGCCCTTCCTTTCTCTCCCTTTTTTGCTTAACACATTTACATGGTGTAAAGCCGGGGAGAGGTTAAATGTTAATCCCGTTGTGTGAAGATATAAACTGATATGGACTGACTTTTGCCCCACAGCAGCTCTTCTCATTCAGCATGGCACTGAACCACAAGAATATCAGCTCTGTCATATTTAAATGCTTAAGAATGTTTAAGCTTATTTTCTTCTTTCATACCTGTTTGATAATTAGGCTTGATTTTATCGCACTGTTTTGATCTCTTTCTCTTTGTGTTGATATTCAGGGTACTAAAGGATAAGATGATAAGCATATGTAGCTGATGTATATGTCTTTCTTGGTAATTAAACTAGATCATCACAGAAGATTCACATTGCTTATTAGGGGATGCTGAGTTCTTTTAACATTTGACCGCTTTAACCACTCAATGGCTAGAAGCTGCTGGCGAATCCCAACTTCTATTAGTGTTATCATTGAAGAATTACTCAGCTAGTTTGCAGTGTAGACCATGTAGTTACTGACTGATAAGCCGTAGGATGTTATAAGCCTGAGGTTTTAAGGGGTTAATTGGACTGTAAAGTTTAGCGTCTTTTCCAGCTGAATAGTGAATATTTACACAACAATCACATTTCCTCATAATCGCTACCAATGATGTAGCTTCTGGTTTATCCCGTCATGGCTTGGTTTGGCACATATACTTTTGTTTTCACAAGTACTATTTTATCATCATCTCACTGTGGTTCACATTGAGGTGAACTGATGGAGCTTCCGCTCCCACATGATATGCCAGTCTTCAAACCTTTTCAGGATTCACATGTACGAACCACCAAATGGGCCGCAGTCTGATTTTGCCATCTGAGAGCTTCAAAGTTGATTGCTGTTTACTTTGTTTGTTGGTCAGTGATGTTTAAATATTGAGCAGATTTGAAAGATGTCCCAGATTGTGGGGCGCTAGAGGAGGCCACATGTCTGGTTTTCATCTGGTGAAGTAGACTTATGACTCAAATATCGATGTGCAGAGCATGAAAATCGAATTGCGGGCAAGACTGATGCTTTATACGGATGCTACGTTATCATTGTGTATCAGGGGATTTTTTCTGGATGCGTTTTTTTAAAGACCAGCTCTCTGATGAGTCTCCAAAACCAGCAATGCTAATCTAGCCTTAGGTGGAACTACCTGTGTTGTACAGTCCTAGCATAGAGAGCTTATTTCAGTCCTGCATAGAAAAAGTCATTAAAAAACCTCAGAGAAGTTACATCATTTAAAGTATGCTGGTCGTAAATATTTAGTTACATTTAAGCACGTTATGTTTCCTACATCTTTTAAATTTCATATATTTTAGTGCTATTCCTATAGTGCTATTATGTGTACCAGAGATAACATTGATCTAATATGCAGGATTTCTTGTTTGGCCAGCTAATTTTAAGCTTAGATATAATCCAAGGAAGGTTAAATTTGGGACCTCAGATCGTGAACACCTCTTGGACCAATTAGAGCCAAGCCTCTGACCAGTCAGAGACAGCCTTTTGACAAAGGTGGTCCACTCTGGTCCTTTTTGAGTAATTTTTTTTGTGATGTGCAATGAGGCATGTGAAAAATATCACTTTACAGTGGCTGAGAAATAGATAAAGAATGTAAAGCAGAAGCAGTATCATACTGTCATGTATCATACAAGGATTAATCACAGCCTGAGTATCTAAACGTGACATTACCGTAGGGCTGAAAAGATGAATCATTTTTGTATCGAAATCACAATTTGAAAGAAGGCAGTTTCCAAATCACAGGATCAGCGGTTGTAATTATAGGCCACATTATCAACACTGTTGCTTTTAATAAGTTTAAGGTGGGGACATTTAACCTAATAACACAGAGCTTGTGAATCACCTGCAGATGAGTTAGACCAGTCAGCCAACAAAACAGCCAGGTGTTGTGTACATAAGTCACAACTAACTGGCACTGTGATGCACTACTTTCAGTGTTGAAGCCTCAAACCAAAAAAAGTGGATATGCTGGTCTTCTTGGCCAAAAGGACAGGCGTTTAATGTTAAGGAAATTAAGATAAGTTTAATTTTATAGAAAATAATCACAATTTAATTCGCATTTGCATTATTGGTCAGAAAAATAACAATTAGATAGTTTCACCATCGTAAAACTGGTTACCAAATTACATTTGTTAGATTTTGTATTTATGTAGTCTGAGTTTGTTAGTGTACTTTTAGACGCTCATCATATGTGAAGCTCTTCGATTAAAAAAACAGCTAATTTTAAAGTTTTGTAGTTAAAAAAAAAGATCTATATCAGCTGATATCCAAGGCTTCTATATTGATATTGAAACCTTGAGTAAAAAAGGGATATTGTTCCATCTTTAATATGTGTGTGATTTGCACAGTGTTTTGTTGCTGCTGTAATGCTGCAGTTTATTTTGCTATTAATAAAGTATCTGTCCATCCATCCTTCATGTGTCCAGTTAAGAGAATATGGCAGTGGTGGAAGTGGAAGGCTATAAACGCTAAGGGATAGCTCTGGATCTGCTTCCTTCCTTCTTCTTGTCATCTTTTTACATTGTTGTTTGTAACAGAAATGCAACATTTTAAATTATCATTAATTAGTAGATGTGATGTGGTTTGTGCAGGTGAGCAGTAATGGCGCTGCAGCTTCTAGCCAGGTTGCACAGACTGGTGCGACCGCACAGGACCCCCAGCAGCAGCAGCAGCAACAGCCGCAGCAGCAACAGCCTAATGCCTGGCAAGTCATCAAAGGTGTCCTCTTCAGGTCGGTGCAGTAAGCTTATGTTTAACCAGTGAACATTTGACACCTATGTTTCATATTAGGGGAAGAGACATTGTCTTTTTTTGGTGCAGGTTTGGCATTCAGATCCCAAGTTCTGTCTGTTATCCTGGATGCTACATGACATGCTGGCATTGTAGTCCCTTTGAATTAGTCATAACTCCCTCAGTTCTGTTCTTAACCACAGTGCTAACACTGTGGACTGTCATTTTCAATTGTGGTCTCATGAGTGGAGGCTGACTAGAAATGACTAGTCAGTGATCTCAAGAGGCACTTTTAGGAGCAGTAATTGTACTGGTTGGAACATTCTGTGATACTTTGAATATTGAAGGAATAATATAACTGTATAATAATCTGTTTACATCTTCTAATATGCTTGCTGGGCATTAATTGGTTAAGTGGTGCCTGAAGTTCATAGATTTGTTAAGTGTTGAGATGCTTGCAGATCACGAAGTGCCTTCCAAGGCTTTTCCACGTCAGAGGAAAATGGTGACATAACCTGTGGATTCCAGCTGTGTTGTTTAATTGCAGTCATTGCATATAAGGGAGAGTAGGTTTTATTCATTGTCTTATTTCCAAGCTATGTAAACTGCAGAGTCAGAGTGTGGCCTTATTCAGAATGTTGTTAATATTTAAGCCATTATTTACAGATTTACAGAACATGGCTTAATGCATAATTAAATCCAAACTCTGAAGGTGATATTTGTAATACTTACAATGCGACAAATCAGTGAAAATCTAACCTGAAGTTTGCTTCTGCCTTACCCAGGATCTTCATAATATGGGCCATCAGCAGCTGGTTCCGCAGAGGCCCATCGACCCCCGACCCCAACACCCCTGCAGGCGCTCCCCGAGTCCCCAGCCGCAACCTTTTCCCCAAGGACACCCTTATGGTATTTAATGCTGGAAGTTGTATAAATGATAGATTCCCAGTCCTGAGCTCTAATAGAAAGTCCACATTTTTGTTATGCTTTCGCTTATAATAAACTCAAATCAGATAGCCAGTCTTCCATTGTGCTTGATTACCATACTGTAGTATTTGATTACTGTGTTGAAAACTAGAGTAGAACAAGAATGTGGAATCTGTTAAGAATGAAATTGCATACACTGTTCTATCTCTGGCCTTTGTTTCATGTTGCCTTGTTTACTAAAACCTCTGGTGGACAGTAGCCTGAGTTGTGTTTATGAAACAGACAGATGTTTTATAATGACACAACTAACGTTGGCGTTCTTCCTCTTTGTTTCTAGGATTTTTATGTGTATATCTCTGAGAATGAGATATTTTCAGATTTCAACAACACAGAAGCCCTCTTCTGGTTCCAGAGGGATCTGGTCTATGGAGACTGGACCACAGGAGAGGCAGGGGATGGCTGCTATGAGCATTACCAGGAACTGGACACCCCTGAGGTAAAATTTAGGCAGTAATTGGCACTCAGTGACTAGCTAAGATGATATGTCTGCGAGTCCTATAAAAACAGCTGGCTAACATCATCTAACTCTGCTTTCTGTAAAGCATAAAGTGGTTTCGGCCATCAAATATGCAGTCAGATCTTAATTTCTGTGGGTTTCTGTTTCAGAGTGTACAGCACAACAGCTCTCTGTACATCCATGTGTACTTCACCAAGAGCGGCTTCCACCCAGACCCTAAACGCAAGGGCCAGTATCGCAGGCTGGCCACCGTCCACACCACTCGAAGTAAGTCAACTCATCCAGGGATCATGCTTCATTTTGGTTGTGGCATGTGAATAAGTTGAGGGATGAGGCTGTTGTGATACTCACTATTTTTGTAAACATCCATGACAGTGCTGAACAAGTTTAAACGCAGGAAGTTTCTCAAGACTAAGAACCTGCTGACAGGAGAGACAGAAGCTGATCCTGAGATGATTAAGGTTGGTCCTTTTTACTACTACAACAGTTTGGCATTGGGGATGTAAATGGTTAACTGATTAACTATTATCCGACAAATAAACACCAATGCATTCAGTTAAAAAAAGTTAATTATTTTATTTCCAGTAAATAGCAGTTCCTATTTGAGTAAGGAATAGAAAAATTGTTTAAAATTGAAGTTAAAGAATGTTTTTGAATTGGTCTGGATTTGGTTTCATTAGATAGGCCTACTAAAAACATCTGAAAGTGGTACGGCAGACAACTATTTGTCTGTGCTCTCCGAGAGATGGTGTGAGAAAACACACATGGGAAGTTATAGAGAAGAACTTGGTTTACGTCAACAAGAGATAAAATTATAAATTGGAATTTATGTTCATTTTCACCTGGACTACTAATAAGTGGCAAGTAATTTTAGAATATAGAAGCACCAGTAGTCGATCATCGTCTATTCTAGTGATGCATCAATACCATGTTTTTCAGACTGAATACAAGTACAAGGACTTTTTTTTTTGTGCTTGCCAATACAGATAGAGAAACCATAATGAGTAGTCTACTTAGAAGTAATTGTTAGTGTAAATGAGAGCAATGTACTGTAACAGGTGAATAATTAAAATCTAGCTGATTATAAATTTTGTGCATTAGCTAGCTATGCTGACATTAATTACCTTGGATCGAGTAGAACTGTAGTGGAGAAGAGTGGGTTTTGTTCCATGTCAGAAAATTGCTTTTTATAGCTGTAAGCAAAGTAGGTTTCATAAGTTTGATCTCTCAACAGCAGGAATCACATCCGAGGTCAAGGCATACAAGAATCTCACTTATTGCGTTTTACATCTTGTCTGAGTCTTTTGTTAGGCTGGTTAAGCTGTAGTTGAACGTCTGCTAAAGTCAGGCATTCACTGAGCATTTTTAGAAATCTTGTTCTTTGGTGACTCACACTGTATGTTTGAGTAGCCCATTGTGTACAGACAAAGCCTATTAGTTATACAGTCACGCTGTTCGAAAATGCTCAGCCTGATTGACATTCTGCGTGAAACTTGTAACCCTGTGCACTGAGACTAAAAGCAGACTGTCAGCTTAAGTTGTTTGTTCTTTAGTGCAGCAGCGTACACTAGGCATACATCGCATGGCAGAAGTTGGAATCGGAGCCTTTTTACAAGCAAATGAGCACAATATCGGTATCAGTGCATCCCTAGTCTATTTCAGTTTTTTGTTTTACATAATCATGAACATATAGTTGTCAGCCTTTTGGGTTCCACAGAACCCACCAAAGCCTATGCTGCTTTTTGTTTTCCTCAAATTACATTGTAGGCAAAACTATGGAAAAAAAACAGAATGAAATTTTATATTCAGTGTTCCTTTTGCGTATGTGTGTTTTCATAGCGGGCAGAGAGTCACGGCCCAGTGGAGATCATTTCACACTGGCATCCCAACCTAACCATCAATATGGTGGATGATCACACAGCTTGGGTGAAAGGCTCAGTTCCCCCACCCCTGGACCAGCGTGAGTGCCAGAGTCCTGGAGTATTTGTCATTTTTGCTGTGCTTTATTATATTAATGCCTTTTGAGTAATAAGCTAAACATACTATAGTGGCTATTTGTAATTTCATACAGTACAATTCGTCTTTGTGTAAGTGTGTATTCTCTACCCATTTCTGTCTCAGATGTGAAGTTTGATGCAGTGAGTGGCGATTACTACCCTATCGTGTACTTCAATGATTACTGGAACCTGCAGAAAGATTACTACCCCATAAATGAGACTCTGAAGAAGCTCCCTCTGCGACTCACCTACTGCCCCCTTTCTCTCTGGCGCTGGCAGCTGTATGCTGCCCAGAACGCCCGCTCTCCCTGGAACTTCCTGGGCGAGGACACATACGAGCAGTCTGATGAAGATCAGGACTCTGTTAAGGTCTTGCCTCTCGTCTGTGATTCCAGTCTGTAACATCTGCTGTGGTTTTGATTGCTGATTCAGCACTTATTAATATTTTTTTTCCTATCTGCTTAACAGAGATCATTAGCAGGCCTGACACATTCTAAACTTTTGGTTATGCATAATTCTTTTCCGCTGTATCTATTTCTTTTCTCATTTAACTAACATTTTGTAAGCATAGTGCCTTATGTTCTATGCGGCAAACCTGCTGGATGAATTAATGAAAAACGTCTTTTTCAATAGGTGGCATTGCTGGAGACCAACCCCTACTTGCTGGGTCTGACCATTGTTGTCTCGATTGTCCATAGCATCTTTGAGTTCTTGGCTTTCAAGAATGGTGAGTTTAGTGTGCTGTCTTCAGGACATGCATATATGTACACTATATGGCCAAACATATGTGGACTCCTATATGAGTTCAGGTATTTCAGCTACACTCATTGCTTACAGGTGTATAAAATCAAGCCAGGCATTTTCCATAGACAAACAATGGCAGAAGAATGGGTCATAATGAAGAGCTTAGTGACTTGGTCTTGTCATAGGAGCAGCCTGCAAAGAACCCTGACATCTACCCCATTGAACACCTCTGGGATGATCTGGAATATCTATTGTGAGCCAGGCCTTAATGATTATTTTACTGAATAGGCACAAATTCCGATCCACTCACTCCAAAATCTTGTGAAAAAGCTTTCCTGGAAGAGTGGAGGCTGTTATAGCTGCAAAGGTGGGCCAACTCCCTGTTAATAGGAAAGGTTTTGGAATGGGATTTCCAACAAACTCATAGGTGTGATGTTCAGGTGTCCTTATTCTTTTGGTCATGTAGTGTTGTAATGTTGGACATGGTTAATATGCTTATATCTGAAGTATTACAATACTCTTTTATTTCATTTTATCCAAGTACTATATGTTAGCTCCTTTGTGTTTATATAATTGTGTTGCCATTTAGTTGTTGATTATTTTTCTCCTTTCTTTCTTGAATTGTTTTTGATCTGCTTTGATCTGTTTTTCAACATGCTTCATAAACTTGAATTCCATTCTGGTATCTCTTCTCTGATATCTCTTCTCAGATATCCAGTTCTGGAACAGTCGTCAGTCTCTAGAGGGACTCTCTGTGCGCTCCATCATATTCGGGGTGTTCCAGTCCCTGGTGGTGCTTCTCTACATTTTGGACAATGAGACTAACTTTGTGGTGCAGGTCAGCGTTTTCATCGGGCTGCTCATCGACTTCTGGAAGATCACCAAAGTCATGGACGTCAGGGTGAGGAGCAACAGCCGGTGGACCGGCACTCATTTTAAAATCACATTTCGGACCATGATTAGAATTGCTTTAACCCTGTTCTTTGAATTTTTCTTTATCTTTTCAGCTGGACAGAGAGAATAAAATTGCAGGAATATTCCCACGATTGATATTCAAAGACAAGTCCACATACGTTGAATCTTCAACCAAAATCTATGATGATGTGAGTATGCTCACAAGTGGAGTAATTTTAAGGTGTTGTGTGAAAAACGTGGGCCATTTGAGAAGACTCATTTCTGTCTGCTTTTTATCTAGATGGCATTTAAGTACCTGTCCTGGCTGCTGTACCCACTGTTTGGGTGCTACGCTGTTTACAGCTTAATCTATGTAGAGCACAAAGGCTGGTACTCATGGGTGCTCAGCATGCTCTATGGGTTTTTGTTAACCTTTGGTGAGTGCAGATTTACTTCTTATTCAGAGCTTGCTTGTGTCTTTATAACTTCTGTGCTTAACAAATGTCACAGTTAGATGTGTGTAGACAGTTTTAAAAATCTGTCCCATTAAGAAGTTGATGTAAGCTTCGTAGGTAGTTGCTGGTAACATTTTAACCGTAAAGGAACCTTTGCTGGTTTGTATTGAGGATATTGTCAGATGTCTGCCTGTCAACTTTGTTTACTCGCACTCTCACATTAACAAATGCTAACTATATAAACAGTCCAACATCAGCTAGTTAGCTAGGGTCTAACATCTAAAAACATTATTTCATTTGATATGATACAGTGCTGTCTTGATTCAGTACATTTTATAAGGATTTTCATTAAACATTAATGTAATGTAACAGTAATATTTGAAACAAAAGCTGTAGTTTCCTAATTTTAGCACTTTAGCTATAAGCTTAGCCCTGAATTAATGTACTAGCTACAAGCTAACATGCTAGTCATTATGCAGTGATACAATGAATGTTGTAGTGTTAAATCCCTACTAATTTTGTTTGTCTGCTGGTTGGAAAAAATGTTACACAGCAACAAACATTTTTATGACGCACCGAATATAAAATAATGTTTGTCCATTTTTTACAATGTTTTGAAACTCCTCTTAAATGAGAGAGGTACATTCAAGGGAGCCTTTTAACTAGGCTGCTATCTCTCAGATAGAACACAGTCATGAAAAGCAGTATGTGTATGTGACTAGACTTTGTTTGTGTACACTGCATTGTTCATTTAAAATGGCTGTTCTTTCTGCAGGTTTTATCACTATGACGCCACAGCTCTTCATCAACTACAAGATGAAATCAGTGGCACATCTTCCATGGAGAATGCTCACCTATAAGGCACTAAACACATTCATAGATGACCTATTTGCCTTTGTGATCAGAATGCCCATGATGTACAGAATAGGCTGTCTCCGAGATGGTGAGTATGGACTCTTCTTGCACGCTCAGTGAATTCATGTAGCCTAATCATGATTTGTCTTTAAAGCCTTCACTACACTTTTAAAAGTTTTCAAGGTTTTAAATGTAAAGGTTCTTGGAAGAACTTTGTTGTGTAGTGGTTAATACTACTGCTGTCCACACAGCACACTGGGGTTAGATTTGGGCAAGCTCACCATGCTACAGTAGCAAAAGTCCTAATAATACATTCACCTTTCTCTGTGCCATCACAAAATTGTAAGTCTGCCTGGATAACAGCGTCTGCGAAATCCATAAATGAATAGTACCTTGACATAAGTTCTTTAAATGGCTCTTCAGACACTCAAATCTTTTTTTTTGAAGATGGCTCATTAGAGAACCAGAAGAGGTTCCTTTATGGTGTCACTTAGTAGTGGGTGGTGTGGCCAAAAATTTATATCGCAGTATCATTTAAAATTTCCAGCAGTTTCTGTATGTATTACCACATACATAAAATGTCAAATCAAACCCATCTAGATGCTTAAGTAAACATACTTTTATAAGTTAAGTAGCTTATTATTCAACAATTATGACAAAACTCATACCTTGGGAAGAATTTCATCCATCATACTGGATGAACAGGTGTACCGCCCACTGCTAGCATCATTTTATATAGGGTAAATAATAATAATACTGCACACTATAATGATTATATGGAATGTTTTTCTTGCTGGAATGATTGTTTCTCAGGCTCAGAAAACATTTTCAACAATCTGTCAAGTTCTCCTCCTTTACTGTACAAGTGTTGGTTTTCTGTTTGTTTTTTCACTAAAGCCTGATTTCATTCCTCAACAGATGTGGTGTTCTTCATTTACCTGTACCAGAGGTGGATCTACAGAGTGGATCCCAACCGCGTCAACGAGTTTGGCACAAGCGGAGTAGACCACAGTACGGAAAACTCGGCCCAGGCAGCAGTGGGAGACACAGCCGCCACCGCCGCTGCCGCCATCACAGATAAACCAGAGGGGGAGAAGAAAAATGATTAACCCCATTTTACGACCTCCCCCCCTACCCTCTTGTCTGCGGAAGGTGTTTTCGCACATCTTCAAGGCTGAGTTTGTGTCTAATTGTCAGGGAAGGGAACTGGAAAAATGGTATTCTGTAAAGGACACTGCGAGAAAATTTCAGTTCATCTTTCCTCTTTTTTTTTTGTATGGGATCTGCAGAAACAAAAAAAAAAATCTCATTTAATGTAGACGTAATATTTTTCAATCTCCCATATTTTGCGGTCAAGGTGAAGTAAAAAAATGTGATGTACTGTATTGTATATTTTTGGGTTTGGTTAACACTACTACTTTGAAGGGTTAGGTAATGAGTAAGCAAGCAAGCAAGTCCCATTAGTATGAATGGGCTGTTGCAGTACATATCTCCATATTCTTACGTTCAAGAGGGAGGCAAAAAAAAGAAGCCAAGTGCAAGCTTGCTTGTTCTCTGTGGATTCCTTGTCCTTTTATTTTCATTCCATGCGTGAACCAGAAAGTGGGTGAGTAGTGTGAGAGGAAGCAGCACGACGCCCAGAAAGAGAGGACGCTGTTGAACCTTTGCTAGCACTACTCACAGGAGACTGACTTCCCAATAATTTTTTTTTTTTTATTTTTAAATGGTTGATGTTCCAAACTTGAACAACAAAAAACAGCCTTGTAGGTATTAATATAATGATATATTAATATAATTAATAATGGTAATTATGATCATACAATTTGTTTTTCAGCCTCAATTTTTTTTCCCTTTATTATGTCCTAAAACTGTACAGTCTCAGCTTGTAAAATCTAATTGTGCTGATGTCAACCTGTCTAGCAATAGCTAAAATGCCAGTCTTCTGGCCAAGGACTTTGGATTTTCATCTTTGTTCCCCCCTTGCCATGGTTGCATTCACACTCCAAAGCAGGACCATTATCTCATGTTGAATACAGCTGCAGGGTCTGTTGTATGCAAGACTTAGGTAGAGTAGTCCAAGTGTCCATGGGATGAAAGGCCTAGTGTCTTGCTCCCTGACTTGATTTGGCTTTTATTTTGGTACATTAAAATTTGATCACTCATGTTTATAGTAAAATGTAAGTGCAGTTTAAATATTTAATGCAGAGCTTGTTTTATTTGACTGTGTCACTGGTTCTGCTTTTTTGCGTTTAGTTTTGGTTCTTGGAAATTAAAAGTGAACCTTCAATAAGCTACACCTCACAACATGAAAACATTAGTAAGATGAGGCATGGAAGTGGCCAACAAGTGGAAAGGATGGACTGCCAATACAAGATGAAATTAGCAGAGCCAGTTGAGGGGTGCCTGGCATTCTGTTTCATCTCATTATATCAGATGCAAAACACTAGAGGGCGCACGAGACTCAATAAATGGGAGCAAATGGAGTTAAGCGGCCTAATTCAATATTTTTGTCTTTCACGCAGGAACTTTTATTTTGGAAGACTAGACGGATATGTGACAAAAATCAGTGACGCCTAACATTAATGCTACTGAGTGCTTTTTGGTTGACGAGGCTTATTTGCTTTCGACAAATTTTCGACATTAATTAAATCGTTGAGATGTAAACAGTCGTTTAGAGGGGTCTGATATGTAGTGGTCCACTGTAGAGAGAGCAGGGGTCGCGATGCCTGCAGCACAAATATGGCCGTTTTATCTACTTTCCAAAATGACCAGTCAGCCTGTTTGTGGTACATATATAGTGTGTCATGATGATTCAGTGATAAATCTGAAAAAAAAAAGTTCCGGCTTACGGCACCTCAGCTGTGAATGAGGTTCTAAAAATAAATTTTAGACCAAAATCCCAGAAGTATCGTAAAACAGTGGCGAATCTCAGTTGGCTCCCTACTCCCTATGCAGTGCACTATCTAGGATATTAAATAGCGGCTTCTAGACTCGACCAGTGTATTGTGTGTTTAATAGGAAACCATTTGGGATTCAGCCATATACTGCACGACTCTATGTAATATTTCAGTGCACTAGTTTGTTTGCAGAAGGCACATTTTCGCAGTGACTTACGTTGTGCACTTTAAAGGGAGTAGGGAGCTGTAAGTCTCTGTGGGACAGATATTTCACCCTAAACCACTCTGAATGTTCACATCCTAACGTGGAATTTCCTTATTAATAATCACAGCCGTGTTCAGGGCTGTACAAACCACTGATAACAACGTCACATGATGCATGAAGGTACGAAAACTTTGTTGTGAGAAAAATAGCTGACATGGTATGGATAGATTTGGTGTTTTATGAGGTAGCAAGAGTGAATACGTTTTTAGATTTCGGGCCAGTCAGACAATTCGCACGTCTTCAGTTTGTGTCTGTTTGTCAGGGAAGTATGGAAGCCACTCTTCGCTACTGGAGAAAAAATATATAGCTATTTGACAGAGTCTCATAATTATGACTTGCTATTTTATAATAATGAGATTCTCTCTCATGACGTAGTATCTCATAACCTTTTCATTATTTTGAGACACTTTTATAAATATGAGAAAGTAAGTTATAATTACGAGGTTGAATCTCAATATTATGAGAAACAAAGTCGCAATTATGAGATATTAAGTCAATTACTAGATTGAATATCATTATTATGAGATGTTATGTTTTTCAATTCTGAAAAACTCATATCTTACTCATAAAATCATCATTATAACTTACTATTTTTTTTCTCAACAAGCTTCCATAGGGAAGGGAACTCGGATAAAGATTTTCTGTGAGGAAAGTTTCCTTATTGGCATGGGATCTCCAGAAACAGACAGTAAAAAAAAAACTTAAGAAATTTACACTTGCATATTAAAAAAAACCTTTTGCAACAGAATAAGCAGGTCTGTTCTGAAAAACATTCATCATGCATCATAGTTCTAGAAAGAGCAAATGTGGGATGAGGATCCTCTTTTTTGTTTGTATGTTTAACATACAGTTTGACTGAGGAAGTAGACATTTGTTCTATTTAAGTAACAATGAGCCCACATTTTTCCCCGAGGAGTATTATAAACAAGTTGAGTCCAGTAAGAGACAGAAAAGAGATTAGTTAACCTAACTAGACTTACTTTAAGAGCAAGTAGAACTTGAAAAAGTAGAGCATAGCCAGTTCGGTGGACACCATAATGATTGGGCTGCTTGAGTAAAGCTTACTTACTGCAGAAGTGTGGATCACTGAAAAGTAGAAAGTAACTATAACTCAGATACAACGTTATTTAAGCTTTCAGCCTGTTAAGTAACTTAATGTTTAAGAAGCAATAAGTTTACATGCCTTTTATCAGCTAATTAAAGTTTACAGTGAACTATATGTACTTTATTATATACATGCCAGTTATGCACTGTTGAACTGAATGACCTCCCGTAAGTGACGTAGCAGCGTTCTACTCCCATTAACGCTGCCATGGAAACCAGCATCTTAAAGCAAGCAATCATGTTTAAATGTAAACCTCCATTGTGACACAGCTGAAATGGAACCCAAGCCGTGACCTAAAACAGTAAGAAAAGAACGCGGGGCCTCGGTCGTTTACTGACATCAATAGCGAACAGCTGCTTTGATGTGTTTTCCACTAATATAATTTTCTTTGGAATATGAACACCCCCGTGGCCGGCAAGAAGATAAGGTGGCGCCCCCTAATGTTCATGGCTGGTGCCGCGGCCGGCACTGCTGTAGCCTAGTGTGTCTACATTCACACAAATTGGAGACCGCACACAAAGGCAAATAAATTAGCCTGACATACAATATAAAGAAATATATTTTTTAAAACACACACACACATTAGATTGAAATATACAGTATCTTAATTAAAATATATATATATATATATATAAAAATACACACACTACTACATACACACATATATATATATATATACACACACACACAGATCAGGCCTAACATTATGACCACCTCCTTGTTTCTACGCTCATTGTCCATTTTATCAGTTCCACTTACTATACAGGTGCACTTTGTAGTTCTGCAATTACAGACTGTAGTCCATCTGTTTCTCTACATACTTTGTTAGCCTTCTTTTCCCCTGTTCTTCAGTGGTCAGGACCCTCACAGAGCAGGTACTATTTGGGTGGAGAATCATTCTCACCACCGCAGTAACACTGACATGGTGGTGGTGTGTTAGTGTGTGTTGTGCTGGTGCGAGTGGATCAGTGCTGCTGGAGTTTTTAAACACTCACTGTCCACTCTATTAGACACACCTACCTTGTCAGTCCACCTTGTAGATGTAAAGTCAGAGACGATAGCTCATCTGCTGCTGCACAGTTTGTCTTGGTCATCCTCTAGTCCTTCATCAGTGGTCACAAGACACTGCCCACAGGACGCTGTTGGCCAGACAATTTTTGTTGGTGGACAATTCTCAGTCCAGCAGTGACAGTGAGGTGTCAGACCAGCACAATAGACCTTCGCGACCAGCACAACACACACTAACACACCACCACCACATCAGTGTTACTGCAGTGCTGAGAATGATCCACCACCTGTTCTTCAGTGGTCAGGACCCCCATGGACCCTCACAGGAGGTGGTCATAATGTTATACCTGATCAGTGTATATACACAACTTGATTTAAAATGCCTGCTAAATCCAGTCTAAAACACTCATAATAGACAAACAACAAAAATAGTCACTTCATTTATGTCTCCAAAGTCGTAGCCTGAACTACAATAAATTTCTCCAGCAAAGCTCCTCAGATAGAACATTGATAATATGAAACAATTAAAATATAAATCAATTAGAGCTGCACACTTCTCCAGCTAGTAGGGTTAACTCACACAGTCCACTCACTATGAAGGGTGTCCATTAAGCTGACAGTGCGCTACTGTTTCAAGTTCTACTTAGTCTTGAGTTGGTTTGGTAGTCTTATATATTGCATTGGCATCATTTAAACAAACTCCATTACATTAAATGGACTGTTCTGTACAGTGCTGAAGAAACAGCTTAAGACTAGAATGACCCATTTCTGAGGATACCTTCATGCATGTTTGCCACACTGTTAGCATCCACTGGCGACAGGCTGAACAGACAAACACCATCATGGTGAGAAAAGTTTGAATGCATTTTACATGTATGAGAATAGCCTAGAAAGCAAAAATAACACTTTGCAAAGAAAATTATATTCAGAAATTATAAAACAGAAAGCAACAAAACCGCTGGGAACTGGACACAGGACTCCAGTCTGTACTCACTAAAAAGTGATGTTTTAAATAACACTGACATCCGTTATCCATTTTAACACTGTTTCCTATTGTTTCCTGAAAATTAAACCCAAAGTGTTGTCATTACTGCATGTAGAAATACGTTAAAATAACAAAATGTGCTGTCGCCAACTGAACACACTGAAGGGTCACGTTAGACAAAATGTCTAACACATCTGTTGTAAAAGTGTGGGGCTTATCCACATGAACTGATCTTAACTAGACTCACACAGGTAACGTAGGACTATACAATAAATAGTAACTACTACTAGATTTGTATGAGCAATTTTCATAAACGAGTAAACTAAACAACAAAGAGTTAGTATGACCATGTTTTACAGTGGTCAGTCGCCCATATGGTAGATCCGCTGTTCTGACGAATTGTACTACCTTGTCGAGATGTACTACTGTACCGCATTCAGGTAGCGCTCTACACAAAACTGTAGGCAGCATATTTTGATGGTCTAAATGACGCCATCAGAAAATGCTACCAGCATTGAAATCTATAGGAAGAATAATTTAAGCCTAAATGTCATCAGAAAACATTACCAGCATTAAAAAAAAAAGTAATAAGGATATTTACATCGCCTAAATCACCTTAAGGGAGTAATATTACTGTCTGTACTGAATAAACATTAAAAACAAAATAAAACGTTGAAACATTAGATTACGATGCTATAGTAATGAAATGCGCATGCTCAGTAGGACCACTGGATGGGTTAGGACAAATTATTAGAACACCGGCCGTGAAGAAGACCATTAAGAGACCACCGTTCACACGTAGTAATAGTTTTAATCAAATCCATTTGAAACCGTAAAAAACATGTATTTACAACTCATTTTTAGACATCCTTACATTATATATATTTACAGAAGTTACAGCAACCAACACGAAGACGAGTCCACCCTAAGATCATCCTTTAAAACCGAGTTCAGAGATCGTGCTGAGTTCTGGGAGAAGCTCTTCGGCGCTCGGCCTCCGGTTCGGTTCTGCGCTCCAGCAGCGGCTCAGCAGCTCTGAGCAGGCGCGCCCCGCGGCGGAGCGGCGGAAAACCTCCCTGTCGAGCTCCGGCCGCAGAGCGTAGGCGACCACGGCGTAGATCACGTGCTGCCGCTCTCCGCCGTAGGGCGGCTCGCGCGTGAGCAGCTGCCACAGCGTGACTCCGAACGAGTAGATGTCCGCCTGCACAGTCACGCGCTCGCCCTTGAGCAGTTCGGGCGCGCGGTGCGTGTACGTGCCGCCGATCTCGCGGGCGCGCGCCTCGCGGTCTTGCCCAAGTTGCAGCGAGCAGCCGAAGTCGGCAAGCTTGCACACGCCGGCGCGCGACACCAGCACGTTGGCCGGCTTCAGGTCCAGGTGCACGACGCTGTGCACGTGCAGGTGGTGAAGCGCGCGCGCGATGTCCGCGGCGTAGCGCACACAGAGCTCGGAGGGTAGCGGCTCAACGCTGCCGTAGATCACCTGCTGCAAGTTGAGGTCTCCCGCGAACTCCATCAGGATCGTGCCCACGTGCCCTTCCTCGTCCTCGCGCTCCTCCGCCAGCGCACGTGTCGTCGTCATGGTCATCGTGGTGGCCGCGATCACGCGCACCAGGTTGTCGTGGCGCAGGTGCGCCGCGTTCAGCTCCGCCCAGAAGCTCTGGCGCGAGGCCAGCTTGTTCCTCGCGTGCCGCACGTGCTTCACAGCCACCGTCTCGCCGAAGTACGTGCCTTTGAACACCGAGCCGAAGCCGCCCGAGCCGATGGGCTCCAGCCCGCGCAGCTCGCGCCACTGGACCACGGACGACCAGAGTCTGCGCGCGAGCTTCTCGTGAGAGGCGTTGGTGGGCACGCGCAGGGTTGAGGCGCCTGCGTGTCTGCTCAGCGGGCTGCTGAGGGCGCCGATCCTGAGGCTGAAATCCCGCGGCAGGAGCCGAGTGACGGGGACCGGAGACGGCATGACAGCGGAGAAGAGCGGACAACCTGCGCGGATTCACGCATTTCGGATTTGCCTCGTTCAGATGACGTCACGTGATACCTTTTGTAGCGGTCATATGACCTTTCACTACTGAGGTGCCGGGGCAAAACCGTGGCTGTGTCTCTAAGCAAGCCCTATTCCCTAGAACAGTGTTCCTCAACCCCGGTCCTGGACCCCCACTGTCCTGCACGGTTTAGTGTTTTCTCTGCTCCCAGCACACTTAATCTTGCTAATCAGCTCATTAACAACACTCTGCTGAGTTGAAGTGGTTGCATTAAAGCAGGGAAAGCACTGAAATGTGCAGAGCAGTGGTCTCCAAACAACCCTGGTTTTGGAGAGCTACCTTCATGTGGACTGTAGTTCAAACCACAGTTTACCACACCTGCTCCAGCTAATTAACTTCTTCAGAAGTTCTTTATTGGCTGGATGAGATGCATGAGTAGGTATGGAGAGGGGGCAGCATGTTATGCTGCCTTCAAGTCCTCTTAGAAAATATTGGATTTACGAGATAAATGCATGAACGCCACCACAATGTTGTATTTAATGTTGATTTTTCAATGAGCCCTGGGTTTTTGAGTTGGAGGCATGTTGACAAAAAAAGTAATGATGGCCACTAATAAACTGGCTGTATCTTAACACTGCAGGCTAAAACCATCCACACATGGAAATACAGATATAAGCAGGTTTGTACTAAACTCTGTGCAGGAAAGTAAATCTCTAGAGAGTTGGTGACTGCTAGACTATACAGGTGCATCTTATAAAGTTACAGTATCATGAAAAAGTTCATTTTTGTTCATAATTTAATACAAAAAGGCAGTTTGATCAGTATGGCTTACGGCTCATGAAACTCAGAAATCCAGTATCTCAAATTATTAGAATATTTAATTTCAAATGTAAGTAAATTACTATTCAAAGAGTATAAATACCATGTATTTCTCGGTCAAGCTCAGCACATGCAACCACAATCATGTACTGCTGACTTGACAGTTGTCCAGAAGAAGATCATTGACACCCTCCACAAGGAGGATAAGCCACAGAAGGTCACTGCTGTAAAGGCTGGCTGTTCGCAGAGTGTAGTATCAAAGCATATTAATGGAAAGTTGACTGAAAGGGGAAAATGTGGTAGGAAAAGGTACACATGCAACAGAGCTGACAGCAGCCTTGAGACGACTGTCAAGAAAAGTCAATTCAAGAACTTGGGAGAGCTTCACAAGGAGTGGACTGAGGATAGTGTCAGTGCATCAAGAACCACCATGCACAAATGTCTCCAGGAAAGGGGCTACAACTACTGCATTCCTGATATCAAGCCACTCCTGAATCAGAGACAACGTCAGAAGCATCTTAGCTGGTCTAAGGAGAAAAAGAACTGGACTGTTGCTCAGTGGTCCGAAGACCTCTTTCATATGAAAGTAAATTTCATTTGGAAATCAAGGTCGTAGAGTCTGGAGGAAAAGTAGAGCGGCATAGAATCCAAGGTGTTTGAAGTCCTATGTGAAGTTTCCACAGTCTGTGATGGTTTGGGTGCCATGTCATCTGCTGGTGTTGGTCGACTGCATTTTATCCAAAGTCCAAAGTCAACGCAGCCGTCTACCAGGAGATCTTAGAGCACTTCATGCTTCCATCTGCTGACCAGCTTTATGGAGATGAGGATTTCCTTTTCCAACAGGACTTGACACCTGCCCTTTTTCATTAAATTATGAACAAAGAAGTAATTTTTTGAGATGCACCTGTACAGCAGTGGTTGCCAGTTCCAGTCCTGGCGAATCCTCATGCTCTGCATATTCTTTTGTCTTTTCCCAATCAAAAGAAGCTTAGTAATTTGCTAATGAGTTGAATCAATTGTGCTAACTAAGACAAAGCACGAAAATGTGCATAGTGAGGGGCTCCCAGGACTGGGATAAGGAGCCCATGATAGCACCAGGGGCTGTTTTTCAAACCTTTTAATCATCATCCAAATTGTCAGGTTAATCATATTCCCCTTTTTCCTCTCAAGGATCAGTGTAACCTCTCCAATTTTGTCCCAGTTTTTCAAAACATTTTCAGACTGGATAAAGTTGCTACAGATACTGCAGGACACGATTCCTAGATGTGCATTTTCTGTGCTTTTAACACTCCTCTATGTGGCCATCTGCTGGACAAATGATGTAGCGTTTTTGTTAAGGAAGAAGAGATATAAGTAATGAACCACTTTAAGAGAGAAAATACTTCGTTCTTCATCTGCACTCATAAGAATTACAGTCCATCTTTGGAGGCATTGTAAACATGTCACATTTGGGGGAGAAAGGGTTCATTTTTCAATGATCGTTTGAGAAATAAAAATTCAACACAGCATTATTCATTGCCTGTCCAGCTGGTCCTTCAGGCTGCAGTGACGGTGGTGGCAAGTCAAAGCTCCCATCTTGGGGCTAAGGAGGAGCCCACTGTTCACCATTGTAGAGAGGGGTCTTTGTGTGTTTGTGCCATATTGTGAAGAGCAGTGCAGGCACAGATGATGTTGCGTGCTTGTTTTGGGTCAACAGGTAGGAAGTTCAAGCGTCTCTATAAGATTCCATTTAACCACTCAGTTGTTCCTCTTGCTGTTGCACGGGCTCTGTTAAAACTCTGTATCTGTGTTAACTGTTGCAAAAGCGTCATTAACCACAGTCAGAGTGGGTAACCACTGTCACCAAGTATGATGCCATCTTTGGGGTTTTTTTTCTGGGACCTTGCTCTCCTTAAGGATTCATGCAGTGATCCAGGTCATCTCACAACACAGTCTGTAAAGTTAACGTCAGCGAATCTCAAACTGAAACTCCCATTTTCACTTATGTGGCTCCTGGATATAGACATGGGTACAGTCTACCACAGTCTGTGCTCTGGATTTTCAGGAAGAGCAACAAACTGGTTCAGAGGGCTGGTCAAGGCAGATGAGACTCTTAATGACTGTACATACAGTGGATTTTGGGGACACACATCTCCAAAAATTGATAAAAAAGTAGGTTAACAGGAATATTAGTTTATATTCTGTTAACTTATTTGAATATCAATTTATTATTTTAAGGCAGCCTGGACACTAATTTTAAGTTGAAACACCATTTTCTTTACATTGTAAGATTAAATTCTGATTTTAAAAGTATGAGTATTTGAATCAGTTTTAGGGAGCACAGGTTTATTTTCAAGTCATTTGTGTACAAAGTGTGTCCATGACATTTTATCAACCCAACTTAATTCCACCTCTCAAGATGGGATAAAAATGATTGTTATTTGGTATTAAATGTATCCAAGATTTCTGCTTCAGGTTTTGAAATACCCAGTTGTGGCATTTAACCCTGCATGAAGGTTGGATTATGAAATCCAGATCCAAATCTTCAGGATCAAAAACCTTCTGAGATCTGATCAGGAATCAGTCATCTAACATAGGACTGCTTTGTGAAGACCAGTCCAGTTTAACGAGCCTTGGTCCTGGAGTACACCAAGCTCTGCACACCTAAAGCTACGGTCACATTATTGGCCTCATTGCTCAATTACGATTGTTTTGCTGATATCCGACGGTTCACACTCAAATCGGTCACTGATGTGAACGATCCTGCGTCCTCAAACGCATGCGCACATCCTGATCTGTAACGTCACACGAATGAACCATGTTCACTGTTGTTTGAACAGCAAATAAACTCGCCCGCAGAGCCTTTATCACAGAGATAATCAGCCCTGAACACGATCAGCTGTTCATTACTAGAAAGAGACGAAGGCGAAAAGGGTCATATGTGTGCGTTGCGTTTCCACCGTTTAGTGGCTCTAACTTCAGGATAGAGCTTGAAACGCTGCCAAAGCAACTGATCCGTTTTCAGCTTCGTCTCGCTCTGATAATGAACAGCTGAGAGCTGTTTCCAGTAAACCATCTTCAGTGAAGGCTTGTTTGGCAACGCTGTGACTCCCTAAAGCGTCGCTGAGCAACCACCGTGGTAGCCGAGGAGAGACAGTGTTCAATATGATAGTCTCTCTGTCATTTAACTATAGTAGTTGCTCAACGACGCTTTCGGGAAGCGCACCCCTGGTTAGTTAGTTGTCATGGGCAAGTTATTCAGCCCTCCCTTCCATCTATAATTTATTCTCATTCATTCTTTGTTATTAAACTGTGCTGTCGCTTCTCCAACTTCTCAATATACTGTAATAGCAGGGAGCGACCTGGAGGAGGCGCTGCTGCTGCGCTACCAGAGATTAAGTAACGTAACGTGAAAAGTGGAACCCTCGGCTCAGCCAATCATATCAGACTACGTAAATTGTAAGCCAGTCATATCAGACCTGGGGGAGGGTCTCTAGCTTCAGTCTGTCTGCAAAGTCACGTTGGTCGGCAACCGCTGAAGTTGTGACAGGATTTTGGCTAGAAGTTCACTGAAATAAACAATTGACCTTATTCAAAAACTAAATACACAGAGTGAAACAGTGAGTAGTTACAGAGTGAAGATACTCACCTACAATATGGATTTGAGGGAAATTATGGTCAGTATAGCTGGATATCAGGTTTTTGCTCCAGTGCTTGTTGGCTAACTGGGTTTACGTGAGGCGAAGAAAAGGCTAACACTAACACTAGCTAGCTAGCAGAGAAGCCAACTAGTTTAACTTCACTTCATAGAGAGAGCGTGAAAGTGTGTATGAACAAGAGAGATAGAAATAACATTATTGACAGCTCTTTATATTCTTTGTTTTTATATTTCTCTTAAGTATTTGAAAACCGTGACACCAGTATGTGTCATATATTGTTTAAAGTAAGTTAATCTCAGTAAAAAGGTCATAGTGTTTTTATATCCCACACACACTTTTATATCCATCAATTCCTCAACCTGTATTTGGGAATTAAGGGGCAGCAGCTCAAAGGAGAAGATTTTTAACGTTACCAGTTTAAAAAATAGATCTGTCTTTATTTCACAATGTATTACTAAACACAGGAGAAGAAGGTTGTTTTAATTGAAAGCTTAATAAAGTAATACTGAAATTACTGAACTTAACTGAGAAAATATTCAACACTCTGACCATGGAATTCTGTCACCTAGCTTATTAAACATGCCTACAGAGCAAAATCACACTCTTTCTGACTGCGCTGACTGAGACCAAATTGACCTTTCATCTGTGCATTTAAATAAAATATTTACAACCCTGCAGCTTAACTAAGAGAGATGAGATAGCTTTGTTTGTCTTCAGTTCCTTTGCTTGATCTGTGTCTAATGTTTGGATATAGTATTTAAGCCATACTGGCTCTGTGCTTAATACAAAAAGATATAAGATAATACAAAGAAACAAATCTCCTGTGTGCCAATTTGACCAAATAGTCATCTTTTTGTATTCAGTCATTAAAATTAATCTTTTAATATTTAGGGCTTTGTGAGTAGAGCAGCGTTCGCCATTAAGTTTGTGAACAGTCTTTACTTTGGTGGTCACCAGCCATTTTCACATTTCACTTTATGATCAAATCTGTGCATACAAATATTTTATAAATGGGTTTCTCAGGGTTGAGAACTACTGAACTACAGAAATGGGGCTAAAAGTTCTCCCAGAGCCCACAGCTAGTGTTCGCTTAGTTAAGACTTACTGAAGACTGATAAAGAAATCAGCATTTAACTTTTTGTCAGATTGCTGTGTTTTTGTCTTGGCTTCTCTATTTGTTCTGTTTTACCTCTTTCATTGGTGAAATCTAGTTTGTGAGGCACAACCCATTTTCATTTCATCTCATTCACTAGACTGTTGTAGATTGAATTAGACTCAGTTACTGTCTACAGAATGAATGACTGGAGTTACTGGTACTGGAAACTTGTGACATCACACATAACCAAAGTACACAAAGTAACTTTGATAATGACTGCCAAATGCTAACTGACTGGAAAACAGCCTGGTAACTGACAAAAGGCTGACAGAGGTCTGCGCGGACCCATTTTTAGTCCTGCTCCCACAGAAAATCTGCACTGTTTCTCCTGCTTCCGCCCACAACCTAGGTTTATATGCGATGCTATGTAACAAAAATGATGCAATCACGATGCCTCTGACCCTACCACACACTGCAATTCATTCAAATTGCAGCAGACTTTTTTTATCTCAAAACAAGTTTCTCAGTATTTTAATTATGTTGAAATAATGTCTTATTTTCTCAAAATATTGATTGATGATGTTACAATAGTGGCTTATTTCAGAAAGATTTTGACTAATTGGTATGATTATATCAAAATAATGTCTTATTTGCAACAGAGCACTTCATGCTAAAATCAATAAATGTAGCACTGGTCTTAATCATTACAGCCCTATATCATTAAATGCAGTTTTTAAATTTGTTTGTTTTTGTTCCTGTTTGTTTTTGTCTTTACCAGCAACAAGGTTCAAAGGCATCAATATTTTTACTGTCGTGCTTTTTATTATCCAGCTTTCACATCCATGAAAAAACACAGAAAAGACCATCCTGGACAATCCTGATCTTTGTTTGTGGAGGTACATCATCACACTTGTTTGTGCCAATCTGTCTTGTATTTCTTGACTGCTAGATTCTTTGTTGTTAATAACTTATCTAAAAGGGTGAGTAAAAACCGTTCACCACTACTATATTTTCACAATCACTGGTAAAATTAATGGCCTTTCATGCTCTGGTATACTGATTTTCCTGAGGGCATTCCATAATTTTATGTGGTTGACAGAGTCAGAAACTTTGCTGTAGTTAGTGAAACACACGTTGACTTCCTTCTTGAATTCCTTGCCATTTTTCGATAATCCAGTCTACATTAGCAATGGAATGCCTTTCCTGAATCCTGCTTGCACATTTGACAGTCCTCTTTCTAGTCTGCACTGAATAAACTTGAGCATAAGTTTACTGGTGTGTGATAAGAAAAGTTTGCACATTCTCACCTCCTTTCTTTGGAATTGCAATATAAACTGACCTCTTTCAATTTGTTGGCTGTGGAGTGCTTCTCCAAATTTCCTGATGTAATTGGTCAGAATCGAATCTTCTTCAGAATCTTGAACGATTTCTGTTGCAGTGTTATCGATTCCCATGGCTTTCTTCTTTGGCAGTGATCTCAGGGCCTTTCTGACTTCATCTTCTAGCACTGAAGGTTCTTCTGTGCAGTCATCAACAAAACTGTCTTGGAAATTGATGTCCTCTTGTAGAGGTCTTTTGGGTATTTCTTTTATCTCTGTTTGACTCTTCTTTATTTGTTACGCCTTGACCATCAAATTCTCTTAGCATACCCACTTGAGACTGAAATGTATTCTGGATCTCATGTATCTCCTGGAAAACAGTCTGTATTATTCCAAGTCCGCTTCTAGTTCCAGCATCTTTACAGATGTTGTTGTAGTATTGGTCCTGGTCGTTCCTGGCAGCTCTCTGTAATTTGCAGTGTATTTCTTTTTTTTTAATTATTTTTTCTTAATTTTGGCTTCTGTTCTCTTTTTTTTTTGCTATTTCCACTGTATCATCTGTCATCTACTTTGATTTCCTTCTCCTTTTCATTCTTCCCAAGTTTTTCACTGATTCATCTATCATGGCCTCTTTGAGTTACATCCACGGCTCTTCTGGCAGGTTCTGTCCGTTGTGTCCAGCGTTTGAAATCGGTTCTTGATGTTTTATTTGAAGACAGGTGGTGTGTTATAGGTCATAGTTTGTTTTGATATTTTTTGTCTAAACTTCAGCTGAAGTTTGTGATCCACAATCACCTCCAGACCATGTTTTTTCCATGAAATGGAGCTCTTCTGTCTCTTGGTGGAATGTAGTCTCCAACTTGTCCAGGTGTACAGATGTCGCTTTGGTTGCTTGAAGAATGAATTAGTAATGGAAAAGTCATTCTACTTTTTTTTTATATTTGCGTTTTATATAATTCTTTTTATTTACAGCCAGTTCTTCATAGAGCATTGGGAGCACATTGGATGCAGCAAAAGAAGTATGTTCAATCAGAAAAACTCAGCAATCAGTTATGAAAACAAAGTATAAAAATCCTGTTTTTAAATGAGGCAAATATAAGAGAATCTGCATTTATCTTGTCTGTATTATTATTAGAGAATAGTTAAATATTCTTGTTTACCAGAAAAAAAGCATATTTGAAGTCACTGTATTTCACTGATAACCTGTTCTAAAGATCTCCCATTATGACCAATTACATGGGAAATAGAGTTACAGTTGGGTGTAAAAATATTTGTTGATACCTAAAGACATTTTTTTTTTTGTCAATAAGCTATTAAAATAATGAAGACAACTTGCTGCATTTATACGAATGCTATATTACAGTAGAGTGTAACGCTGTGTTCATTGTTACAGAAAGCTACATTACACTAACTGTAGTGTAACTGCCTGTTAGAAGAGAACAGGTGAAGTCAGTTGTACACAGAGTGCAATTTGAAAGGCCTGGAAACAGTTAAAAGGTGTAAATAAAGAAGGTGCTTTCCTCACGAAAACGCATCTACCTCGACTCATCCGAGACTTGGCCATTTAGGGAGATGTTGCCATATCTTGTTGTCAATAGCATGCGCGCGCCTTCTAGAGCTCACCTGTTGCTAGCGCGTTGTCATGGCGACGGGTTGGGGGGGGGGTTTCCCAGCGGTGACGTAGGGGGATTTCCACCCAGCCTGAGCTAAAGTCGCACAAAGTGAAACGAATTAGGCAGAAAACGTGAGATATTTTTATGGCACGAGCCGAAGCAGAAGCAGAAGCAGCAAAGCGCGGCAGTGAACGACCCTCAACACGACGACGACGCCTAAAAACAAACCTCTGCGGACAGACGAGCGCCCGGAAATGAGCCCATAGCGCGGGCGCGACGCCGACAGACAGAGGACTTTCGGAGCTCGGAGACTGAGATTGAGAGACGTTAGCGAGGAGCAGCGGCGAAGTGGCCGTTTTCTTCTTCTTCTGCTCTTACTTGCCATGAGAATCATGAACGGATCTGTTCACAACGGTACAGGAGGTGAGTGAAAACGCTCAGCTGCGCTGTTTAAACTGTTTAAACTCGCCATCTCGGGCGGACTGTGGGTGAATTTTAATGGCCGAGGCCTCGTGAACGCGCATCATGCACAGGCGACGTTAGGCGAAGCAGTCAGTCATGGAGGCAGCAGTTTTTTCTTAGTTTCAGGGTAACAAACAGCTTTAATCGAGTGTCAGCTCAGTCTGCAGACGTCGTTATCAGGGCTGTGCTGTCATTGTGCTCATTGTGAGTATTTCTGTATTTCTGTCACACCGGCCGTCACTGACGAACCTGAAGTTGGCCTCTCCTTCTTCGCCAGCTTCTGGTTCGACGTTACCCGTTCCACCTTAAATGGTGCAGCAGTCACGTTTTGGTTCCTTAATGGAACTGCTGCACCATTTAAGGTGGAACAGGAGAAGACGAACAAGGAGAGAATAGGAGGCCAACTTCGGCCTTCCTCGTCCACTGTGTACACAGAGCTGGTGAAGACGTGTAAAACCCCGCAATACTAAGTACTTAATGTGTTTTATGCTTTATTAAACGCCACTATGGATTGAACCTCTTTCCCATGTTTGGAAATCATACTGAGGTGTAGTCTATTCTGTGGGCACTGCCATAGCAAAAAAAAAGACTTTCGGTTTCACTTTCCTTGTGAATGTCGCACCGATGTCACTGATGTTGTTCTTCTCTTCACAGATTTCGACCTCGGTGAGTAACCTGTTCTCGTCTCATCCCTCTGGACATTACAGCTCATCACCACCTCTCTCTCTTTAATTGAAGTACAACATTATTTTTCCATCTTCATGGTGCTGTCACATTGTGCCTCATAGGGTACACACATCTTAAAGGGGAATTCCACTGATTTTTCAAACTGTCTGCATAATTCAAACGATAATATGTAAACAAAGTCATTCAGTTCGGTTTGATATGCAGTGCGTCATTCTAGAGAAACCTTGGTACCAACTCAGAAAATAAACGGTGGTGATGGGAACCAGACATCTGAAGACCTAGTGCCTTTCGAAGCTCCCTCAGAGAAACACACTGCCTGATGACTAAGGCAGTGTTTTAGGATAGTTTTGAAATAAGGTTTTGGCCTAAAATGTAGTTTTAAAAAAAGAATATGTTAATGGCGGAGAGGTTTACGCAGAGTGCTGTAAGGCAGTATAGTACCCTAAACAAACTATATATTTTTTTCGTAATTACCAGAATCAACATCACTTATAAAGACTCAGAAGACACATGTAGGTGCACAGGTTGTTTTGAATAGTCAATAAAATGGCTATGTATGCACTGTAAACGCTGTGACTCCTGATTCCCATCTCTACCATTTTTTACCAAGTTTCTCTGTAACGCACCATTTCACATCGGACCGCTCTGATTGACTTTTTTACATCTCAGTGGTTAAAATATGCAGACATTTTGAAATATGGGCAGAATTCCCCTTTGTTTATGAAATACGAGGAGCAGTCGTCTTGCACTTGATAACACGGCATCTAAATATCATTTATGTTGTTGTTGTTGTTGTTTTGTAGACATTATCAGTGAGTATCTTGTGGAGAAAGGACTCCCAGGACCTCCTCCTCCTCCTGTCGACTTGGAGGTCCAGGTCTGTGCCCCACCAGCTGGGGGCAGACGCAGTACTCCAGTGCTTCTTTCTAGATGCACTGACCCCCCCAAGGTCAGCACCGCCACTTCTGTACATATCACCAGAAAATGAAGCGTAGCTTCTTATCAGTTTCAGTTAACACCTGGTAAAGTCAGGTTGCTGTGTACCAATCTCCCAGCTGATACGGTGAGCCCCAGTGACATGTTGCATGTGTATTCAAATTGAAGTTGAGTTGAAGACTCAAAGTCAGGTGTCAGTCAGTTGTGTGCAACTTAAGCCATTTTCTTCATGTGCCACAGTTGTTTCACAAGTTTTTAGTGTTTATTAGTCCTTTAAAATAAAAAAAAAAACTGGTAAAACTATTCTGATGAAAGTCTAATTTTATGTTTACAGTTCATTTTAATTTTACGCTCAAATAGTTTTAGTTAAACAGTGCACTACTGACTGATGATTGTCGGTTCTCAGTTTAAGCAGTGTGACAACTGACATTTAACTTGAATATTGGAAACACATAGCACTGGGGATAAAGACGCCTAGGGCTGTAATCGTAAGAGCTGTATTTTAAATTGTAGTCTATATTATCAAAAACACTGTCTTTTTAAGTGGAGGAATTTATCTAATCTAATGAGATGGAGCTTGTGAACCACCTGTAGGTGAATCAGATCATTTAAAAGCAACCAAACACCCCTGTGCAGTCTAGATGACAACACAACCACAACTAACTGGCAGTCGCACCATGTTCTCTTCCTCCTATCGACTCCGACATCCAGCTCTGTGCCCCAGCAGCTGGGGGCAGATGTGGTACTCCAGTGCTTCTCTCTAGATGCACTGACTTCCCCCAGGCCTCAAGCAAGAAAGAAATTGGTATATTTTATTAGATTTATAAGGTATTTCACCAAAATAACAGGCCTGTGGTCACACGCATAAAACATCTTAAGGGAAGTTTGGTGTAATTTTTTCCCCTTTACCTTAAATGATGTTGCTGAAAATGTCTTCAGTGAATTTGAAAATGGAAAGTGAGTGAAGTCCATAATTTGAAATGTCAGCACTTACCTTTTTTGACATTTGCAGAATTTAACTGTACAGGTTTAAATAAATCCCTTAAGCATTTACCTTAAGATAAAAACCCTGGACTCTGGACTGTAATGATCAAAATGTAAATCACACATTTCAAGTCACAATGTTAGTGAGAAGTATTCACAAGTAGATATTTAGAGCTAGATATTTAGAGTAATTCTGTGTGGTTTATGTTTCTATTTATTACCCCCTATGTTTCCTATTTTCATTAGTTTTCTACACTTAAGGCCTGGATAAATTTTACATGGTTTTGTAATGCTAAAATTGGTGTTTTTTGTTCAGTTTGCCAGTTTAGCGTGGATATCTGTCATATATATTTAAACAACGAGTGTCTCATGTTGGGTTCTCCAGTGGGGCACCTGTCTCAGGTCTTGCCCTTCCATTGATCATGAGTTGAATCTCTGTTATTCCGCAGTCAAAAAGTAGCTAATTATGGTTGATATTTGTCACAGTTTTTTCGTGTTCATGTTGCCGTCTTTACATAAGCGATATGAACTCATTTATATTACAGTATTTCTTGATATAATCTGCAGACAATTACCATGTAAAATCATGATATACAAAAAACAAAATAAGAGGAATAATAATAATAATAATAATAATAATAAAATAAACAGCTCAGGTTTGTGTTGAATTTGTTGCAGTTTTGCCATTTTTGGGCTTCTCACAATATTCACAAAGTGGTAACATCCATGTCATGTGACAACAGCATACTGGTTATCAGTTGCAGTATAATAAGGACCTTAACCTCATAAATTCTAGGGGTCAATTTCCCAGACTCAGATTAAGCATGAGCCTAGACTGAGACAACAATTTAGTCCAAGACTAGGCTTCATCTACGTCTGGGAAGCCATCCTTGGTTGTCTGTTTCCTGGACATGGATTAAGCATAATCTTGGACTAAAACTAAGCGTCAATGTTGAAATACTACTAGCAATTCTCTTTAATCTAGGCTTAGACTTAAACTGGCCCTGGGAACCGGCCCTAGGGATATTATACGAGAGTGAGCATCCACTGATGGGTAACTTGAGGTTAAAAGTTTTTAAGAAGTTAGGACGGTAGAAATGTGCGATTAGATCTTGGTGCTGGTATTGGTCACAGTTTGAGATGTGGTGGTAGATCAGAAAGGCTTGTCTAATGCATCAAATACCACACAGTGACCGGTACATTTTTACAGAGAGAGGTTTTTAGGAGACATAGTTTAAGGTTGAAATCTGATGCCTACTTTCAGTTGGTGATCTCTTCCTCCTACGAGCCTCTGCCGGCAGAAAGCAGCAGCCCCTCCCCTCTCCATGCTCATTGGCTGACATTCCTTCTCTGTTAGTTTCCCGTTTCTTCACCATGCTCTTTTTGCCTCTTGTTAGCTGCTCTTTGTGCAGGCGAACTGAGGCCTTCCTCAGGCATGTCCAGGCGCTCTCTTTCTCTCTCGCTTCACTGCTGCTCTCCCAGCTTCCCTGCGGCTGACCAACTGTTGCTTTTGTCTTTTTACTTCCGCATTTCATCTTCTATTGCTGACTGATCTGTGAGTACAGAGCACTAGCCGAACGGGCCGTTAGCTAACCTGTTTGTTTTCTTTTTCTGCTCCTCTCTCTCTTCCCCTCCACCCTCTGTGCTTGTTTCTCTCTCTCTCTCTTTCTCTCTGTTCTTTCTCTTTCTCTTTTGTTGCAGACCACAGGGTTTGACATTAAAGCATCCTTTGTTTCTGTTTAGCTAACAGCACTACAAGAAGCCTGTTAGGTATGTGAGGGCCTGATGAAGAGCAGTACTTAGACATTAGACTTAGTTATGTTGAACACAGATGTTAAAATGTTAAGTCAGATGACTGGTTTTGATTATTGAAGAATCATCTAAAAGTGCTGTTGCTGTGATCAAGATATTTGCAGTTGGGTCCTGGGAGCAGGGTTTTTGTTTGTGCCGTGTTTCATCTTGGCCATATGGAGATCTAGCTCACTAAACTGCTAACTACAATAATGAAGCAAATGTATAAACTACTACAGCTACAAACTGCTAAAGTTCAATTTACATTAAAAGATTTGACATTGGACTTTGCCTTTGTATTGATCTAAAGTTGTTTTTGAAAGGCCAGCATTGCTCTGAATTCTCTCTCACTGTCTTTTCTTCTCTTTTCCTTTCCAGCGTACTAATCTATTCACTCAAGTCACCGCTACTGGACCCAGAAACATGTCAGCGATGCCTTCGTCCCGTGGCCCCAAACCTCAAGGACAGCGTCGCGGGACAGCTTCTGCAGGCCGGTGCGGGCGCTCTCAGCAGACGGGCATGGAGCAGCTGGAGAGCCTGCTGGACAAACCTCAGCTAGTGGTGGTGGAGCAGCCCAAAGAGCGCGGCATGAGGTTCCGTTACGAGTGTGAAGGCCGCTCAGCCGGCAGCATCCTGGGAGCCTCCAGCACCGATGTTAACAAAACGCTACCTGCCATTGAGGTGAGTCTGGAAAAATGCCTTAGATGCCAGTGCTTGCCAGTGTTGTCCTGTCCTGGTCCTGGAGGACCCCTGGAGTTACACATTTTGATGCTCTCACAGTGGTTCTCAAACTGGTCCTTAGGCCCCCTCAGACAGTCCACATTTTAGCTGTATCTCACAACACTTGGGAAAAGAGCAAGAAGATGGATGGTCTGGAGGTCCTGAAGACTGGTTTGAGAGCTACTGCTCTAACAACACTCTGGATTTAAGGAATATTCCAGCATTTTTAACCTAATTGCTATCTGTTGAATTTGTAGCATGCAATTATTAGAGACAAATTAATGTTTTGTTGATTTTCTAAGTTAAAATAAGTTAACACATACTCTACAGGGAACATATTTGTAACATTTTATACAAATTTTAGTGTACAATTTCTATTTATCTGTTGAGTTTAACTTATGGTAAAAAATGGTACAAGCCACAAATAGTTATTTTTTTCCCCAGTATATTAAATTCAGCAAATAAATAGTTATTGTGCATTCAAATGTGTAGAATGTTGTTCTTTGTAGAGGACGTGTTAATTTATGTTCACTTAGAATATCAACAAAACATGCTGTTTTACCAGGGGCACCTAACATTTTGCATACAACTGTAAGTTCTGAGTGAAGTTTTCTGTTCTGTTTTGAGTACAGGGTGACTATTGTTCCTGGTAATCAATCATATCATTGCAAAAAAACCCATGTGTCTCAAAAATAGTATCTTTACAGGAGAAGGCAAAAACATTCTTAATTTTTAATGCAGTTAATTAGCAATATAAAGAGATTTTATTCAAGGCACTTTTGGAGCATTTCTGTGGGTACATTCACCATGAAGCATTCAGACAACAGATAAAAGTTTAAGATATGAGAAGCCCTTGCTAAGTAGAAACAGGTGTTTAAGCAGGGAAAACAGTAAATTATGCAGGACAGGGGGTATGGCAGAACCAGGATTGGGAGCCGTTGGAGTATAATACAGATATTTGTGTTTGTGTGAACATGTGCATGTGCATCCTTCACTCATATGACTTATGGAATATGACCTAATCTTTGATCTCATGTGCCCATATTTTGTGAGTAAGCATCCTGCTTTTGTGATTCGGGTTGTTTTTAACATGGCCTGATTGATGCAATGTCAGCTCTTTGCCTACAAATGTATTTCAAGGGACCATATCCTACATTTTTCTACTACTTCTTCTTCCTGAGTTACCCTTATGATATTTCTATGTCTTTATTTACCAAAAATAGTTAGAATTCACTTTTACTTTTACCATTTCTTCAAGCTCTCTTTGTCCCTTAGAATTTAACAGGCTGTTTTTGTTACTGTGCCTGTAAGACTGATATATGTAAATCGTTTTTGTTCTGACAGGCTGTTCTGTATTGTGCCTCAAAAAGCAGTTCAGGGAGAAACACTCCTTATAATTTTAACATGAATAGATGGAGCTAAATAAGCAGATATACATGAATGTGTTAGTTTTCATGACATCACAGAAACAAGGACCCCAAAACAAGCTGTTTTTGCAGCTTAGTTTCCATATATAGACTGTATGGACTGGAGCATATACAGTATGTTTTGAAATTTTAGCAATGCTTACCTCAAACACTTTTATTTCAGAAAAGTGAGAAAATACAAGTGGTATATATTCATTGCCATGCTAACGTAGTTGCTTGGAATATGTCAGAGTGGGTTCAACACAACACTAAAAGACCGCAGTTTTGATTGAGGCTGTTGTTCCTTGTTGCTTTGTATGCCATTGGCTCTATACTTTAAATGTGGCTGGCAAAAGTTGTGGGACCTTTTGCTGTTTGAATAAGTGCATGCATTTGAATTTTACACTACTGATTAGCTTGTGATGAAAATGCTAAATGTTGTTGAGGCCGTTTCTAGAGCCGCTTCTGGAATGTACCGGCTACTCCAACTTAAAGGGGGTTCCCCTGTTATGGTCTAAGTGAATGGTGTTGCTGTAGAAGTGACAAAGTCAGAGTACACTAACGAAAGCTAACGCCCAACATGAAAGGTGTGTCTTTGGTGTGGTCTGAAAGAGGGAATTACCATTCACAAACAAACACAACTCACAGTTTCCAATGAGAAACTCACTGTTTTCCCATATATGGCTCAGAGTATTATGTCATCACTTTGAATAGTCTTACTTGGGACAAAACCATTTAAAAGCATTTCCTCTATTTCTGTAAATAGCTCCAAGGACCAGTCGAAGGGATTAAAAATGTGACAGTGACCGTGTCTCTGGTGACTAAGGACATCCCTCACCGCCCACACCCGCACTGCTTGGTTGGAAAAGACTGTGCAGACGGTATTTGTATCATCTGCATCAACCCCCAGACAACCCGATGCCACAGGTATAGTCCACAAATATTGCATATTGCTAATATTGCTGAAAATGTTTATACTGCACTCCACACATCTCTTACTAGTAGAGCCCTTAACATTTCTGTTGATGATTAATCACTACATTGTGAAAAGGCTGTATGAAATATGAATGCAATATAATAGAGAATTTAGCTCTTTTACCAAGGCCTCAAACAGCAGCATACATTGAAATGTTATTGTTGCTGTTGTTTCAGTTTTGTAAATTTAGGCATCCAGTGTGTTCGGAGGAAGGAATTAGATGTCTCACTGATGAAGAGGAAGAATAAAAATATTGATCCGTTCAACAGTAAGTTGATAACTTACACTAGCACTTTGTAAGAGGAAAACAAAGAAACAAAGAAGAAATCCTAAGAGATTTTGTGACGTGTTTGCTCAGTTTCATCTTTTTTTTTTCTCTGACAGCTGGGCAGTCAAAGAGCATTGAAGATATTGATATGAACGTGGTGAGGCTATGTTTCCAGTGTGAGCTGGAGAGAGAGGATGGGGACAGGATCCATCTCAGTCCTGTGGTGTCCAACCCCATCTACGACAAGAGTAAGAGTCAACAGTGTTGTTGTAAAACCAAACTCAAAGCTTAGAATATCCTCTGATGAGGAATTAATACTAATGTAGTAACATACGAAAATACTAATTATTTGTGTATCCTGAGCAGAAGCTACCACGACAGCAGAGCTGAAAATTAACAGACTGAATGTTGTCAGGGGTCCCTGTACAGGAAAAACTGAGATCTACATGCTGTGCGACAAAGTGCAAAAAGGTAAGCAAAACACCCACACAATACCAGGAACCACATGAATAAATAACTCGGAGGAAATCAATCTTGATGTTTTGTATTGTGCCATCATGGCAGTTTAAATATAAGCAGCTCTTACTATTCTGTTGCTTTGATTACAGTTCTTACATCCTGGTCTAAGATGAGAGCTACAAGAGTTAGGAAGAAACCTAACATTGACACATTTAAAAAGTGCAAGAATTAAACAATGCAGTAAGCCTTACGCTATGTTTAAAAAACAAGGGATTACTAGAGTTACATTCAGTGTTTAAAAAGGCAAAGGGCACTAGATTGGTGGGATTTTCAGACAGCACCCCCACAACACAGCATTAAGTTGTAAATTAATGGAAAAGACAACAGAAGAACCATCATTGTGGCAGCATTATGAGTGGTACTGTTATAGCCTAATGTATGGCTTTTTTAAATAGCAGAAGTAAATCAAGCTATATTCTTGTAAACTAATAAATGACCATTAAACAGTAAATCCAGTGTTTGAGGTCAGAGGTTTGGTTCTGTAGTTTTGTGTTACAAGGCTAATGTAGTAAACAAGTAATGGAAGCTTATAATCCGTCAATTCGCATCACGCAAATGGACACTGTATGACTGACTCTGACTCTGATACTCTGACATACATTGCTACAAACTATAGCAGCTTCTTGAAACCTGAATTTTATCTGTAGTTGTGTCCATTTTATAGATAAGTGTATCATGCTATGTCAGAAATGGCATAACAAAATGGCATATTTGCTTTTTCTAGTTTGAGGACTGAACGGCAAATGTAGTGCACTAGACTGCCTGTTAGTTTGTGATTGTTATGTCACAGCACATGGTTGTTTGGTTGCAGGCATTTCTTAATTATTTTGTCAGATTTCCCCTCTTAAAATGTGTTAAAACGACATTGTTGATAATGTAGGATGTAACTAAAATTTAATCTCTTGCAATTTGAAAATTGCACTCTTTCAAATTGCGCATTTTATTAGTCTTTCAGTCCTAGTAAGCAGTAACGTTAAACAGAAGTATGATAAAATGTTTGTCTGTTTGTTTTCTGTCTAACTGCTCAATCCACAAACTTAGACGACATTGAGATCGTCTTCAGTTTGGACGATTGGGAGGCCAAGGCGGAATTTGCGCAGACTGACGTTCATCGGCAGATCGCTATTGTCTTCAAGTCGCCGCCATATCAGGAGCAGGACATTAGTGAGGAAGTGGAGGTCAACGTGTCTCTGCGCCGCATTTCGGACCGCATGTACAGCGACCCGGTCAAGTTCACCTATCTTCCTTGCAACACAGGTCAGTGGCAGCACACAGCACGCTCAGCACATGCAGTGCAGGGCGGAGCAGCAGCATGTTGTTATTTGAATGATGAAACCAGTGGGTACTTTCTGCTCTGGTAGTAGTGGTTATTAGGCGTAATGATAGAAGCATTGTTCATACCCGATGGGCTTGTATATAAAATCCCCAATTAAACCTGACCTAGAAACAAATACTACTTTCACTTTTAGGTTATCTATTTATATGTAATATGGCTTTAAATTCACTTTCACTTAATGAATTGACTGTTGAAAATGTGGAAACCAAATATGCTTATGTTGTAGTAGAGAATAGTGAACAGACTGCATACAAAATTTGAATTTAGTGAAGTATTAGTAAAGGCATGCTTATCTTGGAGCAACAGTCATGAAGCCCTGAAACTGAAAGTGACTAAGAAGAAATGTTTTTCATCGCTTCAGTGGGTGATTTAAGGCTCAGCACGGGTACTTCTCTACAACTCTTTCTTAGTAACTCTAGTTTAGAAGTGAAACTGCCATATTAAGTCTGAAGCAACAGTTCCATTCAAGTGGTCTGACTGCTCCTACACAATAATTGAAATGGGTAGAGTGGGCGATGAGGCTTGTTGAGGCTTCACTTAATCATAGCAACGTTTTCTCTCTTAATGTTTCAGTCGTTTTCATCCAGTTAATGGCACTCTTTTTTTTCTGTAAAAGCATCATAAGTGAAAAACAGGTGGGGTGCATTCTGTCTGCTGATCAAAGCAAGGCTTCCTGTGCAGCTTTCAGTTCAGAAACACTGCCAAAAACAATACTTAAGTTACATGTATCTTCAGAACCACCCCTGTCTGAAATGAATAACCCGCCAGCCAAAAGCTTTGCTGAGTTTCCTGGCCAGTCATATTCATGGCTGCAATGCTTGACGGTTACAGACCGTTACTGCTGAAGCAGAGTGTGCTGGCGGCAGTCTGACTCTCAAGTGATTTTATATTGAAGAGGGGTTTTTTTTGCCTTTCCTGTTTGATCTGCAGATCCATATGAAGTAAACCGCAAGAGGAAAATAAAATCAGACATCAAGTTCAACGAGGACTGTCGTGTCCTCCCAGGTAGGGGATTTCAGCCATTGATCAAACACACAATGAAGTCATTCTTTAATCTTTTTTTTTATTAATATATGATGTTAAAAAAAGGAAAAAGATTTCTTCATTCATCCTCATTACATACACACACACATACATATATATATATATCTTCCACAGCGTTGGACTGTGGAGCTGTGGAACTGTGTTGTCTGTACCATTAAAGCAACACTGAATATTATTATTATTATTATTAGAGTAGCCTGCTAGCCTTGTTAGCTAGCTATCGGCCAAGCTGTTCATCCTAGATCAACTATTTCAACAAAACTGTTTTAACTGGAATATATTTAATCTGTCTTCAGTCGTTTACTTATTTTACACGCAATTTGTAACTGCAGAATGTATATGCATTAGTAAGATGCTACTAATGTGTTTATTTTCTTCTGTTTCAATGATACACACAAAAGATACTTGAGTGCTACTAGCTCCCCATTGTGGGCAGAATCATTAGCCTTAGTGAGTTACAAGCAAGTTTTCTGAGGTGCTTTATATGTATAGTTTTCCTTACAGAGTTTTTGTAAATTTAAACCACCTAATTTGGAAGTTTCAGTTTAATCCCTGAATGAAGTTTAACTTTGATTTTAAAATAATAATGCAGGATTAAATTAAATTTAGATTTACTTTAAAAGTAATTTAGGTTTAAAACGACAGTTTAAAAGTAACACTAATTATTTTTAAACTACGTTTAAAGTTTAGTGCAACAGGAGTAATTGATGAACCTTGATTTAATCCAAGTTTAAGCTTAATCCTTGTTGGTGCAACCCACCCACAGTGTATAATATTGCCCACCCCTATTTAGAGTGTTTGTTTTATTGATTAACATGAATTATTAATCAATCAGTAATTGATTTTGGTTTTATTGATTAATGTGAATATCCAAAAAATCCAATTTTTATTTCATTGTTTTTTCAGCTACAGACATGATGGTGAATAAACCGGCTCCATCTCACCAGTTTGATCCATTCTGTTTCGCCACCTTGGACTGTGGCATTCCGTCGGCAACTCCTGCCCAGGAAGAGAGCCAGCCTTTAATGGCTCAGATACTGGAGGACAACCCTTATGTAGAAGATGATCTCAAACAAGAGGATGGCTGTGTGAGTTTGGATCTAGACACCATGAGCAACATCTTCTTTAGCATTAGTGAGTGCCTTGGTCATCAAAATGTTCTCCAGCTTTTAAATAACCAAGATCCCAACTCCAACTTCATGTTTGATGGTACAGATCCAAACTTCAGTTCAACCAGCCAGCCTCCAATGAACATGACCTCCTACTACGACGCACATTTCAACCAGATGGTAAGTGCGGGCCAGAGCCACGGCATAGATCACGACTCCCTGCCGCAAGACTTGCTGGGCATTTCCTTAAATCAAGTAAAGACTGAAAACGAAGAAGACTCTTAAAAGTCCTCTCTAGTTGCTTAGAAAAGAGGCAACCTTCATTTTTCTATTGTGGAACCTATGACACTGATGTGTTCATATATGTTTTGATCCATGCCAGATACCATACACTGTCCTTTGAAGGGCTCTCAAAATGAACATGAACCAGGAAGGGGCAGATCTGTATGGTCAAACTGAGCCCATTCTGTTGGACCTCTTGACAAGTGATGGCTGTGTGTTTTCATGCAGAAAGTGTCCCCTCAGGGCCAGGCCCAGGCCTTTCTCCATTTGTTTTGGAGTGTGAGAGGAAACAGTGGATTCTGAGCTTGGTACCCACCAGAAAAAAAGGCAGTATTCCTGCTGTGATAATGTAGAACATGCTTGCTGCAGATTATCTGGGAGAAGCAGGTAGCCATTTGGTAGTCGTGCACTAAAGAAAGGGAAAATGACAGTTATTGCTCAAAATAAAATAGGAGATTCGTTAGCTAATTGTACAGGCTTCACAGCATTCCCACTAACCAGTCTGTCAGAATTTAGTTGGATCAAATCCCACATTCATCCACCTAACCTGTGGTTGACAGTAGTCAGTTGTATGTGATGGAGAATATTTACATCTGTTTGAATCTGTTTTACATTAACGTTTCTGTTGGAACCGCTTTATCTTAGAAGAATGTCAAGTAATAGCATTAAATAATATGCATTTAAAGCAGGCATTTAAGTAGAGCTTACTTATGTACTTGACTACATGAAGTAAATATTGAGCAGCAGAGGTGGGTAGAGTAGCCTGAACTCCTACTGAAGTAAAAGTACCTTGTGAGAAAACAAGCAGAAGAATAGGTCAAAAACTAGTTAAGTACTCAGTAACTTATAGAACTCCAGTCTTTTACTATTCTTATCTGTTTGATGCATAAAATAAAATGATAAAACTCGAACGTGAGAGTTGTGACCAATCATAAAGCAGTACAGGTGCTATGACCAATGTAACTTAACAAAGTTAAACCCCAAAAAAAGATTAGTAACTAAATGTTAATGATTAAAATGTAACTGAGTAGAAAGTAGATTCCTTTCTTCACATATATACTTGAGTGGTAGTAAAAGTATAGTATTATGAATTGAAAATACTCAGGAAAGTACAGATCCATCATAAGTTTACTTGAGTACAAGTAACCAAGTAAATGTGACTAGTTACTACCCACCTCTGCCTCAAGATTCCCGCACTGGCATCTATCTAAAGTGTGCATTTTGAAAGAGAGACGTAGCAGATTAAACAGTGAAGATCTTTGTTGTTCTACACCTAAATATGTAATTATGCTTGTAGAATATGCTGTTGTAAGCTGAGTGAAATGAGCTGTTTCTCCTATATCGGAAAACTGCTTATTTTGTGTCTTATTAAAAGCTTGGTTTGAAACCTTTTGTTTTGAATCTAAATGACATTTCCATATTGGCTTTTGCTAAATTTGGGGTAGGCTTGCAGTTGTGAAATCTCATTATCTTTAGAAGTATTTAGATCTTGTGATTTTGACTACATTTAGGTTCATAAATGAGTCAGTGAGTTTTGTGGGAGTTGTCAGCTTTGGCTTTTGTGTGTGTTTTTTCCCACCCACAGATTCTTGACAACTTGAGGCAGAATAACAAGCAACTTCCTCATTGCCTAATTTTTTTGTCTTCAGCTTTGTTTGGGCCTCAGTGGCTCTATTAATAGAACGTCTGAACACGTACTTTCACTAACTAGCCAGTTAAACCAGACACCAGATGGACTGGGTCAGTTTAGGCATGAGTTTCAAAGAAGGATGATTTCATATACACGACACAACTAGTTATTTATTTTCTGTCAGTATATATCCTGTCTTTTGTCACACATATAATGATTGATACATGTGTAATCGTTTTGATGCAAGGAGGCTCGTTTCAGATATTACTCCTTTACATGTAAATACATCTTACATGTATAATGGTGGTAAAATATGTGATGTGAGTCACATGGATGGGAAACATCAGTCATGCGCCCAAGGTTGAATGCCCTTCCCCTTTCCTCTGCATTCTTACTGGTGGATGGAAAGATTATTGTGGCTACAATTTGACTTCATGGTTTGATGGGTAAAAACAAAGAAGAGGGCTTTCTTGAGCTTGTGAGTTTACCTTGGGTATACCTCAAGGTTAACGGGATCAGTGCTGAGGCTAAATATTTAACCAGCTCATGTACTGCAGCAGCTCCATTCCACACTTGAACTTTTTAAGGGCAGCTAATACTATGGTTTAGCTCAAAGTGAGAAAAATCTGGTTCTCAATCAACAAAATCCAAACATCATATATATATCTCCAAAAGAGTAATTGAAAAAAATATTTTGTCAGTAAAAAAAAAATGATGACAAACTTTAAGCTGTTTTGTTCTACTTGACTGCCTATGTGTGGTGCTTCATTCAAAAAGCAGTTCAGGCTGAAACACTCCTTACAATTTAAACGTGAAGGGGTGGAGCTAAACTGCAGAAGGCTAAAGAAGGAAGGTACATGTAAATGTGTTGGTTTTCCTGACATCACAAATACAATGAATTCAAAACCGGTTGTTATTGCAACTCAGTTTCCATAGACTGTATGGACTGGGGAGTGAATGGTACTTTTTGAAGCTTCACGAACTGCGTCAGGTACTGTTTCATTTCAAAATAGCGAGCAAATTTCAATTTTTCATGAGACAGGGATTCTTTAACTGTGTCAACAGAGCAAATGTAGCTAGCTGTTTAAAAGGCCTTAAGGTAAATCAAGATACAGAATAAGGTGCTCAAGCAGCAAAACATGACACGTACAGACATGGAGCTGGGAAACACCAGTCTATTTAGGCTTACATTACACAAATTTATCTCGATTTGGCCCTTTTGACAAATTTTCGCAATCTGAACCCAGTTAGCATCTCAGTCAGCATCAATGAGCTACCAGCCCAGTTGGGGCCCACAAAGGCAGGGCCGAACAGTTCTAAGTGCAGAGAGTAACCATTCCAGTGGCATTTTCACATGAACATGGTTTGACACAGAACTTTCTGTGATATTACTGTGATATTTTAAGTGGCTCCAACCCATTTGCACTGTGTAATTGACAACAGGCATCACTTTTGTATCGCAACATAATACAGAATGCCAAGTCTGTGTACTTTCATACTGTGAATTCGTTTATTAATTAAAGGCAATGTGATATAATACAAAATACTGTTTTACAAAACAAATATAGCTTCATAGTGTGCAGTGTCCTCTGCATCACATTATAAAAAAGGAAAAAAGAGAAAATGTTATTTTACTTTAAAGAGCAATGCAGTACGTTACCACAATACTTTAAGCAAGATATCTGCAAGTATCGCCATATGAAATGTAAGATCTTTTTATGCCACATTTAAAGTGGACTAAATGCCTTAGATCCAGTAATTTCATTAGGGTTTTTTTTTATGTACAACAGCCTTGGGGACGATATTGCAGATTTCCACAAACAGCCCAGTGTTGCAGTGTTCTGTTGGCGCCATAGTAAACAGAAGTTTGCAGTCACTGCACACTGGGTTTAATGCTACTCATGACAATTCTAGCTTTAAAATATATTTAAAGCTTGTAAAACACATTCAAGTAAAATAATTTTCCTTCGTATGTTGTAATTTTCAATGAATCACTCAGTAAAGCCCTCAACTTAAAGCTTAACTGAATATTATTGAACAAGCTTGTTACCCTGTTAGCTAGTTATCTGCAAAACTGCCTTTATATAGCATATAACATACACGTTTGTACCAGAACCTAAACTGAACTAGATTTTATAAGTCCTTAATCAACAAGATAAAATGTTTTGAATAGTCTGTATAGATAAGGACTATCAAAAATAAAGTCAGATGGATATTTGAAAGCGGTTTACCTAGCCACATGGCTAACTGGCTTTTTGCAAATGTTTACGGTTCACTGGCTTACAGGCTCAACTTTCAGTCTTTTGGAATAATATCTTTTCAACAAAATATTCCATTTTAGTTGCAATAGCAGTGGAACTGTACTAAATATCACTTTCTTACCTCCGTAATTCTGTTAATTCTCAGCAGTGGAAGTTTAGTTTTATCAGTCAGTTTGAAAATCTTTAGCATTTTGAACCAGTCTCACCAGCAATGTGGAAAAGCAAAGACATTTACAGTCTATGTCTTATACTCATGTTAAGTGGGCTGAGGCATATTAATAGAAAATAAATGCAAGAAATTATTTCAAAACAACTTCTAGGACTCACACATGAATGAACACCTTGACTTAGTGATGCATGACTCCAGGTTTTCTGGAGTCCACTCTGACTCTCGACTCCTGCCGCTGGAACTGACTGAGTCGGCTCCTCGACTCTACTCAGTTTTAGCCAAGACAGCACTACAACCAGCAATAAAGGGATACAGCAGGTATTAAACCAGCCTAATCTTATTACTCATTTTTTGTGATATATCATTATATCATTACAGTGATATGATCAGAATTTGTAAAGTATACCAAGTAAAATCAGGTAGCTTGACAAATCTTCTTACTCCAGAATTTACATAATTTAACTTGTTTCACATAGTTAATGAGCATTCTCAAACAAACTCAAGCTTTGATGGGAAACTCAGTGATGTGCTGAGAAAATCATTACTTTAGTCACAATTCTATGAAAAAGAAACTATTATTAGCCAATTTTACAGATTTATAGTAAAGTTTTCACTCCAGAGCATTTAGTTTCTTATTCCAATTTTCCAGAGATGATGGATGGATGGATGGATGGATGGATGGATGGATCATGGTCACTATATTGATCCCAGAGGGAAATTCTTCTATTGCAGCAGAACAAAGTACAGTAAAGAGCAAAATAAAACAGGGGCAAAGTATTGCTGTACTCTATTTACAGATGCATAAATAGAAAGTAAAGATACATAATAAAATATACTAAAACAGCAATAAAAATAAATGGGCAGTGCAAAAATAATTAAATTGCATAAATAATATGCTGTTGACAGTGCAGTGGTGCATGTCCCCTCCAGTGAATGAACCAGTGACTATGTACTGTTAATGATAGCATGTGTTAACAGTTGTGCAATATGACATTTATGGACGCAAGGCTGCAGAGAGACAGACGTATCATTTTTGGCAGCTACAGGTGAACAGCACTGGCATTTCATAAGCTGATAAACAAACTCATGTTACTGAAACTCAACAAGCCTCCATCAAAATGCCCCTAGAGCCAAATACAATGAAAAATAGTCAAAGAGTAGTGAAAGAGTCGACTCCAAGCTCTTCAACTCACAGAGTCTTTGGTAAAGACTCGATCCTGACTCCCATATGAGTTGTATTTAAAGAATCTACTCTTTTGGAATCGACTCCACATCACTAGCATGATCGGGGCCCACAACAGTAACCCAACCGGGGCCCATGAGCGTAGCCTAATTTGGGCCACGACTATAACCCAGTTGGGGCTCACACAAAGCCCATGGCCAGGTAAGACCCACAAATCCCAGGCAAAACCCACATGGGGCCTACATGGACATGTTAGCTGGGAAGCGATTTTCGGAAGCTTGATCTGAAGCGAATGGCAGAGCAGATGATCTGTAGTGTGAGAGGAAAAACGAGTGACTCTTTAGCCTTCCAGCTCCACAGTGATCCGGGTTCTTCTGATAATATCAATTCAGCTTGTACAGAGAAACTGCTTGAGTTCAGTTTCAGAGTAAATAATCACACTCTTTACAGTTTAAAGTCTGCAGCCAGTTCATAGTAGCATCCAGCTCTGACCATGATATCTGCGTTTCAGCCTCATATTCATCCCCACTTTGCGTTTTTTGTGTTTGCTGTTGTCTTAAAAAAAAAAACAATCAGATAGGTAGGTAGGTAGGTGGGTAGTTAGGTAGGTAGGTGGGTTTGCGGATAGGTAGGTAGGTAGGTAAGTAGGTTGGTAGGTAGGTAAGTAGGTTGGTGGGTGGGTGGGTAGGTAGATAGGTAGGTGGGTGGGTGGATAGTTCGGTAGGTAGGTAAGCTAGCTAGCACAAACGGTCCGGTTCAGTGCAGCCTAGCGCAGCCAGAGAACTTGTTTACGTCACGTGATGACGCGGGGAGATCTGGTATTCTGAGTGCTTTTCGGAACCGAAACTCGTCCCCCAAAATCATCTATTTGTTGTACCAGAGACGTTATAAAGTACCCTCTTTTTTACCTTATCGTCTAGTGAGCGGGTCCTCACCACAAAACAACAGGAAATCCTGTTAAATTCAGTTAAAGGCGGATATTAAGTGTCTGTTAGGATTTTAAGCCCAGGCAGCATGAAGCTGAACACATCGCACTATCAGCCAGATTTAACGGTCGCCTTCAGTGTGCACTGCGCATGCTCAGAGTCTTTCTGGGAATGTTTGGCTTGCTGAATTTAGCTTTCGTCAGGAAAACCTCCTAAATTGGCCAAAAGTGGTTCACCCCACAGCTCTGACACGACACTTGGCCCAGAGCCAGAGGGAAACTCCGCCATTAAGTCAACTGCTCTCTGTGCTGACTTCTGTATTGGTTGGCAAACACATCGCTTTCCTCTCTAATGGTTACGCCATCGGAATATGAAGTGATGTGCTTGGTCGGCTGTAGAAGAAGACAGACAGCCTTCATCTTCTCTGGAAATTCCCTGAACAGTTCCTGAGAGTCTTCAAGTATTCATTTGAGTTGTAAACATATGTGAGCTTTGTATATAAGCTTTTATAGACAAGCAGCTGATGATTTATTCAGATATTCATGGTCTTAACATGAGTTTGAAGGAGAGCAGTTTACAAGCTGCGAGTCAACTGCCTTACAAACCTTGACTGAATGTAACGTTACAGTAGGGTATCCTCTTATTTAACCCTCCTGTTATCCTCAAATTCACTAACATCTTTTATACTTTCTTTTTTTTTTGGTAAACAGTTTAAACCTCTGGGAAATATTAATGTTCTGGTGGGAATTTTGTTTTCCCCTCCACCATGTAGTGTGAACTATAAGTGGTTCTCGCACTACAGCAGGTTTATTTATGTTAGGTCAGGGCCCTGAAGCAGAGGGAACGTTCTGAAGATGATAAATGTGCATTTTATCCAAATATCCAAAACAAATGTGTGTAAAATGTTGATATTTCTTGTTTTACACAGCATAAATAGCCTGGGGCCAAACTGATCCTAAAGAACAGTGATACGAACAATATGTGTACAGGACGTTGACAACATATCATGTTAATTTTATGTGCACCCACGTATCCCCATTAAATTAGGAAAAGTCATTAAATATGAAGAAAAAAAAAATGATGTCAGTCATTTGTTTAGAGACGTTAAAAATTGAGTGACCTCAGAGATAATAGGAGGGTTAGCTACATTTTAAATACTCCAGCAGACTAGAGCGTTTATGTAGGGGTCGAAAAAGTACAAAGAAATTTGTCAAATTCTGCCAGTTTTTCAAAATTTCTGCATAATTCAATCATTGAGATGTAAAGTAAGTCAAGGTGGTTTGATATGATTGACATGTTGTTCCTGTCACCACCACTGTGAACAATTCTGACCTCAATGGACAATTTTATATCAAGCCACTCCGAATGACTTTGTTTACATCTTAATCATTTTATTATGCAGACACTCCAGTGGGTTTCCTCTATAAGTGAAAGTGTGGTTACAGTGTCAAAATCTTACACAATGAAAAGTGAAAGTATGGAGACAAAATTTACTTTAGTGCAAGTAATAACCTATTTACATTTAAACGTATGTAAGTATATAAAAGTAAAATGTAAATGTTGTAACAGGTAAGTCAGGACATTTTACTTTTCATCAAGTAACCAGCCTTTTTTCTTTTTAACAAACTCTGGATGTTGTGACTAATGCACACCACATAAACATAATGGATGGGAACTAGACTGATGAGAAAAAAAGAAAAACAGAAAAATCTCCTGGTGTTTGAGATTTGAAATGAGTACTCTGAAGGCCTAAATGAAAATGTAAGGAGTGAAAAGTATGTTTAAAAGTAAAGGTACAAGTATTCAGCTTAAATAATACTTAAGTACAATAACAAAGTACAATCACTTAAGTATTTTCCACTACTTCCATTATAACACAAGAAAGGACTCGTGGTAGACGAGACGTTGTGGTGTTTGGATCAATAACAGGCCCAGGATGACAAAGCAGCTTCACTCAGATGTGACGTCATACACAGAAATCCATGCCATCTACTGGAGTGAAGGAGAATGGACAGTGAAGCATCCAACCAACCAAGCAGTAATCGTTGGTCACAATTTGTGTCCATATGACTGTAATCAGACAAACAAAAGAATATTTCATCTGACAAATCTGAGGATGATTTTATTGTTTGAGCAGTTGTTAAGATATTTACAGAAAAGTGACAAACTGTAACTGCCATCAATACAAAAGTGAAAGGCAAACACAAATAAATACAATTTTATTTATACGGTCAAAGGATGTTACTGCATTGATCCCATCGTCAGTCTTTCTTTCCCACAATCTGGGGATCTGACAGTTTCTGTATGGCGAGCTCCTTCACAAGTTTGTCCACGCAGCTCCTGTACAGCGGCTCAGGGTCCTGGGACAGAATAAAAGAAAAGACAGGTTGAGTAAAGGATGTGGGGATCTACACTGGATGTTACGTCTGTATATTTTAATCATTGTGTAAAGCCTCGGACTTGGTTTCAACTCGCATCCATCAAAGCGTGACCCTGTCTTGTTCTTTTAAATGTACTACGTCTATTTTTTCCACACCATGCGCATACATGAGAAGTGGAAAAACTCAAAAAGGAAACATAAGGTCTGCTTTCTATGTGGGTTTCAACATTTAGTAAAACATTTTCACGAGGCATTAAAATCACACTAGTCATGAGCATAAGAGAGCGAGTTTCCTGTTTCTAAAGAAAAAAAAAATCAAAAAACAACAACAACAAAAAAAAAAATTAGCAATGGTGAACAAGCTGTTAGCTTATCCAGCTAGCTGGTTTGGCAGATTTGTTAGCAAGACAACAGCTCGCTTTGTTTACTTTGCTTCCAACTGCAAACTGTTTATGAGCAACCTACTGTTCTGGTATTAGAGGCACTGCGCTCCTTCTCTATTAGAGTCAAAGGTGCTAAACTTATATTGAAAAGCAATTCTGTTACATGCTCATGCAGTTCTGTACACAAAAAGTTATGTGAACTTATTCGTGTCATTTGCAAACAAGTCAGCTCTTTGGGCCAACTCTTTTAAATGAACACAGAACCGACACTGAAGAGTTGAATTTTATTTATTTTTTTTTTGGTAATTTAAGACAAAACAAATGGGTAGATATTTTAAAGGCTATAGCTGACCACCCCTCTGAATCTCCTTGGAACCCCCTTCTAAACCCCCTCAGTATCCCCAAATCTGTTGCTTGTTGTGCCAGTCTCTGGTTTTGTTCTTGCTGTTTTAATGTAAATCTTATCCATGTTTCCAAGCATGCCCCATTAGTTCTTCTGATTCTTGACTCTTATCTGCCTTTATTGGATGATGACTGGTTGATGGATTTGCCTGTGTTTTGCCCATCTGCCTATCTTGATACCTCTGAAATCAATCCAGTTAGGGCTACTTATGAGTTAATGCATTTTTTTAATAACAGACATGATGCCATTTTTATTTTATTAAAAATTAAATGAATTATAACCAAAAATCGATGTTACTACAGAACGAAGAGCCGTTTTGGAGCCGAAAGAGAGAGGTGAACTGAGCTGACTGATCTGACTCACTGGAATGTCCATTACTAAGTTGAATAAAAGGTGGAGGAACAAATGCTTAAGTCTGCTTCCCTCTTATTAACGTAGCTCCATTGTTCAGGCATGTAAGGCCACAGAGCTGATACGTAACAGTCCTCCAGAGGATGGTAAAACTGACTCAGTGCGTCACTGGGTGCCCAATCACACTCAACTCTAACACCTTTAAGGTCAACATGAATCAGAAATTCTAATGCATTTTCCTTTTGCACCATGACACATTTATGAGTGTAGCCTGTTATCAGGGAGGGTCCCTGAGCTAGTCAACTGATCGTTTCACTTGATAATGGTGAGCGGGTGAGGTGAAACACTATCTTATTGGTTAACACTTTTTTTCTTGGGCTGCTGGTGCACGTGGATGTAATCAAAACAGGGAAATAAGATTTTGATGTGTTATGATGAATCATGTGCTTGACCAGAGACATGAAAAAAGTAAAAGTCAATTTTGGTTTCAGGTCTGGTGTACTTTTTTTCTGGTTTACTGAAATGAAGAGTGGAAGGCAGGTACTTTAGGAACATTAGTCTGTTTCATGTTTTTGAGCTCAGCGAATTAGTTTCTCCATGTTTTACATACAGCAAGGCAGTCAGTCGTAAGGCAACACAATTCATGGAGATACTGTTTATTGGAGCATCCAGTATCAGGAACTTCTACCTCCAGGTCAGGCTTTCTTATGAATTCATAACAAACCCTTCCTACTCACTTTAACAGTATTTTGTCCTTCCACAAGAAATGTGCACTGCTAATATCTACAGCACTTTAATGCTTAACGTCTGTTTACAGTGTTCAATGTCCAATGTCTCAGTATTAACCTTAATTATTAAACTAAATAAATTACATATTTACGTTTTCTGTACTTTGTTGTTGGTGCAGATACTGGGACAGTATAAACTCTTAGGGATCTGATGTTTACAGATATAGGCCTTGTGTAGATTCCCAAAGTGCAAGGTCTCCCATGCTAATGAACAGTGTATAATATCACCTTATGTTCCAGAAGTCTCTGCTTCTCCACAGCCTCTTCCAGACTCAGTCCTACCCACTCCGCCTCCTCAGCTGGAATCTCAAACTGCTGCTTTGCCGCAATGCAGAGGCCAAGGGGGGAAAAGGACAAATATAAAGGAAAGCATTTAATATCCAACCACATTACACACTCAAAATAAATGATACAATGAGTACTTTTACCAACCAGAAAGCATCACAGTTTTCATGAATTCAGTGTACCTTATACTTGTTGTAGATCTTCTCCCTTTGAACGGGATCATCTGGGTAGAGCTCTGTGTCTTTCCGTGCTAGCCGGAGAAGCATTGCACGTTTGAGGTCCATCCCAAACTTGGAGTTTAAATCCTGCTTTGGTGTCTGAGCAAACACAAAAATACAGAAAAAACCTTCTTCAGCAAGTAAATTACAGTTATCAATCCTAAGAGACTTTTTTTGATTGTTCCTCTGATTAGCTTACTAAATCACAATATATTAGAGATGCACATTACCTTCAGAATGTAGAAGTCAAAGCCATAAGCAGCATCAATAAGATCCAGCGTATGAGCCGTGACTGTGATGGTGAACTTTTGGTTGAGGATTTCACTGTACAGCTCCTTCTTGAAGAGTTGAGGCTTCCAGATCTTCTTCACCTTAGCAGAGAGCTGCAAATAAACAGTATTTAACGTTATTCCTGAACGTACCTATAGAAAATGCTGATTTTTCAGGGAAATGTACTGATGTAGGCAGTTTAATTCTTCCATATGTTAAAGCAGAAATGTCAGGTTCCAGTCATGAAAGGCCTTAATACTATACTGCTTCCCTAATTTACCACACCTGATTCAACCAGTCGAACAAACTTCTGAAAACTGAAGTTCTTCATAAAGCATATTAGAAAAGAGTGTTAGAAAAGAGACTACAATCAGTGCATTCATGTGACCCTCTAAGTCTTGAGGTTGCCAATCCTGCAATTTAACCTCAAAATCATAACACACCCTTTACAACAGCTCACCTTGTCATTATTGGCATATCTGTATCCTGTTATCCAGCCCTCTCCACCCCAAAGGCCATCCTGGGACTCTGGTGGGTAATAAATCGGGATGGGGATGTCCTGCACCCGCTCCCGCTGGCCTGTTTTGGGGTTAACCCTGTATTTTACCCCTAGAGGTTTCCAGTGCACAGGGGTAGGAGGGGTTGTGTCCTGCAGAGCTTTGAGATAGTGCTGCGGCAGACGAGCGTAGATGCCCTTCTTTAACTTCATGGCTTCCCATAGTCGTGGAGGGTACTTATGTAAAGGCATCTTCTTTCAGTTGGTGGTCACAAAGACTGATAAAGAAAGCAGTTTAGTGGGTCAGAAGGTGTACTCGTTAATGATATGCAATGACACCTATTGTAGTAGCTAATTTTTCCCTATTTGATCTGTAGCTAGTTTCAGGTTGCTGCTGTGTAGTAGTTCACCAGAGATAGGAACTTCTAAAGTGTTAGCCTCAACAGAATGACAGAATTCATGATTTTGCATCATGTTGTGTTGTCCATAAGTGTCCTCTCACTACAACACCCAGCATGCATTAAGCAAATATGTCGTACAACACCTGGGAATACAACCAACGGTGATCGCATAGTTCTGACTGCTAATATAGCCACTGAAGTAGAGGCAAGAAAATCTATAGCTACTTGGTTTTTTCTGAATTAGCTAGCTACTTCCAAGCACCTGTTCTCATCTGTCTATCCCATAGTGCTTGAAGTTATTCAAAAGTTGCTCTCCCCTTCAAGATACGGGGTTCTAGTTTTTAAACTGTAAAAAAACTCACCCTAGAGATAATTGTAAGCGTTAAAACATACACGTTCAGAACGGATGTAGCAAGGGTTATATTTTCACTTTAGCTGGAGTGTCTCTTTACGTTCAAAAGATTTTGCAAAATGAAACAAGGCATCCAGAACGACATCAGGGCAACTACACTGATGTAACTTAGCTACAATGCTCATATGATCTGGATGAATATTTGAACCAAACCACAAACCCTTGTCCTCCAGTAAGATGAACTCAAACAGTTCTCCTGTCTTCACATAAGACTTTATTTTACTGTCTAAACAGGACTGTTACTGTCTGTAAACAACTTCTGTTGCAGCTGCTGTCCAAGCAGTTAGCATGGTGCTAACTCCGGTCTATTCCTGCAGCATGGCCGATTGAAGGGGCTGTTCCCCCGAGGAAAGTACTGCAGCTAAAACCACCAACACGTACCTGAGGAAACGCGGACGAAGTTTATTTTGAGCGTGTCTGGCCTGGTTAACTAGCCACCTGCATTACTCATTTCAAACAGCCGAACTCGCACCACTGTCAGCTCACATGCTAGTCAAGGGCACGTTCGGCCACTGCCGATGACGTTGAGGTAGAAGGACCATTGTGATTGGCTGTGAGAAATGTCTAAAACGGCTATTGGTCCGTTTCCCCACTTCTCAAGCCAGGAGGTGAATTCGTGGCAGAGTCTCGAAGTGTTTTTAGAAAAATAATTTCTCCGTGAAAGTGTTGCGCCTCGTGCGTGTACATCAGACGTCATTTAGTCATGACAGCCGCAAGACACTGTGAGAACGAGAGAGAGGCAGTCATGGTTTAGTGGGTCATAAAGGCGCCATAATGCTGTAAATCGACGACATTTCAGTCGCTCTTAAGGAGTCAGCTTCTTATTCGAATTGATCCGTTCCACCTTAAATAGTGCAGCAGTCACATTCTGAGAGGTCGGAATGTACCTGCAGTGCCGTTTTGGTTGGAGAGGGAAAGTCGAATAGTTAGCTGACTTCAGCCTCGGCGCCTTTTGTATAAGCGCGCCACCCGATTCCTCCTCCGGCCGCTTTCGGTGGGGGTGGTTGGATATGGCAACTCATGGTGCACGTTCTAGCATTTCGGTGGTACAAGCCGCCTCTCTTCTCACTCAAAACGCAGCTCTTGCGGACTTCTCCAACGCCCGAAAGGTGGAATTGAACCACTCTGCCGCTAAGCAGCTACAGGTTTGAAGCCTGCACCCCGGACCACCGAGGTTCATCCGGGCATTTAAAGCTGACCCTGACGTAACTATATATACCTCGCCATTGTACTAGATGTTGCGTCCATGGTTGGGTAAAAATATCTTCTTTTCATCATATATTATATTATATAATACATAGCTCATATTATGACATATTTAGCTATTTTTTACGAAAGAATACAATATGCGAGATGACAAACAAGAATCAGAAAGTAGCGTCGCAAGGCATTATTGGCCATTGAATGCAAATGAGCTGTACGCCGGCTCGTTGTGGGCGGAGTGTGTTTGGGCAGTGAGGGGAATGATTAGTCTGCTTTGTTTCGGACAGATCAATCATGAAACTCCCTCTGGACCAATGATAACCCACATTACATGGAATTAGGTACCAGATCAAATGGATTCAGATTACTTCAGTTCAGACATCGCACCTTTAGTGATGAAGACCCTTCAGTGTTAAATTGTTCATGTCAGTGATTATATGTGTGTCTTTACGCAGAGAATATGTGTTTTCATTTCAGTCTGGCGCTTAGCACAGACTACACAGTATATGAATACTCTTTTCCTGTAAGTCCAGGAATAAACAGCAGTGGGCGTTACGGGTGGCATAAACTGGAATTCTGATTCATCCCGAACTCTGCCGTTTGCCTTTCATATCTGGAAACCAAAAGACCGCAGGACTTCCCTCTCTTTTTTCTACATTGTACGAAGATTGTAAAAAAAAAACTAATGATGTTGCATTCTTTAGCAATAATTCTTTGCGTTCTCTTGCAAATGTTTTGCTTTCCTTTGCAATAATTGTGTATTTACTCGCGCTGATTGTGCATTCTGTTGCAAATGCAATGGATTTTGAAAGGGAATGCAAAACCTTTATGAGAGAATGCAAAACATTTCCAAGGGAAGGCAAAATCATTGCAAGTGAATACAAAATTATTGCAAGGTAATGCAATGCCATTGCAATTTTTTTTTTCCCACAGTGGCCTCCTCTAATGAAGGCATTTGACTGGGCAGACTCTTAACTACAACACAGATAACTAAATCTAATAATAAATAAACTATAACTAAATCTTCATTGAGAGACAGGGGGGAGTATATATATATATATATATATATATATATATATATCTATATATATATATATATATATATATATATTGACCTATAATGTATATAGGGGGGAGTATATATATATATATATATTGACCTATAATGTTCCTGCTTAAATAATGTATTTTAATTCAATAACTGAGAAAAGGTTATTAGACCTGTTTGGTAAAGTGTCTTTTTTGTCAGCTTTGTAAGGACTTTTCTTCTTTAATGTTGTTTACACTAAGAACCAGGTAGACATAAAAGATAGAGAATTGAATCAATAAAAATGCTGTTTGAAAGCATAAAAGTAATTTATATTCATAATAATAATAATTTATGCTGTTTATATTAGGTGTAGTTGAAGTGTTGCTTGAATATATGACACTATCTGCTAAAGTCTTCTGGCAACCTGATTTTGTTAAGTACCATTATCAAATGTATTTTAATTCAGTGCATTAACAAGTGTACAAAATACAAAAAAAACCTATAAAAATATATAAAAGGACCCATATCCTGCACAATTCATGTACTTTATATTTCCCCTTTAAGTCCACTTATTACATTTATTTCATTTTATATACCAGACAAGATCTTAGTTCTTTTTATGTCTATTTTCCAGCCTGTCTTTATCCCTTGAAACAGGCTGCTTTTGTTTCTGTCCCTTTAAGACTGATACATGTAAATGAGCTCTGTTCTCGCATGGACCACCGAATGTACTGATGAAGGAAGAACCCGTTTCTGTTTAAACTGAGGGGCTGGCGACTTACATCCTTAACTAGAACCAGGGTGGTCAGCTAGCTAACAGGCGAAAACATAGCCAACAGCCTAAACAAGCCCATCATTAATATCACAGCCTTTGAATTAAAGTACTTACCACATGATTCACTGTAAAACTGCAGTGTAAAAGTGTAAAGAATGTCACCTGAATGGATCACACGCTTCAGATGTCCGTGTTTCAGTCAGAAGTAGCGTCAAACCCAGGCTGAATCCCAAACGACTCCATACTCCCTAATTAGTGTGCTAGCTATATAGGTTTAGAATGGATGCGGCTGAATCCCTTTTAGCTATATTATGCATTGTTGGGGTGCAGGATCTAGTAGTCAATTTCCTCCGTAGTTAGCGTACTATGTAGGGAGCAGGGAGCTATTCGAGTTTCGGCCCCAGCGTGAGAAGAGGGGCGCGGCCAGATTGGCGCTAAGACTCTCGGTGGTAATTTTGTGACCAAAAAGTATTTATAAAGCGAACGTTTTTGCCTTAAACAGTGCTGTGTTATCATAAGTTCACTGTTACAGGACAAAAAGGTAAAAGGTTAATGAAAGGACTGCAGTATACACTGATGGGCGACTAAACGTTCTTCTCCTGCAGGTCCATAGTTGCTTGGCAACGATACCAAAGGAACTACATTTGTCGGCGGAATACTTGTTTATGTCGTTTCCGCTTCGCGTCCTACCTAAGAACAGCCGTCCCCGTAATAAAATCGTAGTAAGGCCCGGCTTCTCTTGGCTTGTTGCTTCATCATACTGCAAAATGGTTTCCATATGTGGACTATATGTACCTGGTAGTGAACGGTATGTTTTGAAACTTTGACAATATATATTGTCATTTAACTCCTTTATTCAAAAAAAGTGATGGAAATTTGTTTTTCCATGATATGGGCCCTGTAATACAGACCAAACACCCCTAGCCACCCCTACCGTGGTTGTTCAGTCTCTACTCGCTAGGCTACTTCTGTCACTTTGGTGACACGTTCTTCCACAAATGTTGTCAGTACTAGTGAAAAATACAACATGCTGTTTATTTCATATTTGCTATCTATGAGGTAGCTGGCTAAAATAATCCAGCTTGAATAAAGAATCTAAACTGCATTCTAGCTAGTTTGCTAGCTAAACATAGGCCTGAGGGCAGATATCTGTTTTGTGAGAAACAAAGCTCCACATTATGGTGCATTCTTACGATTAATATTCATTTCAAACTGAAATAATACACCACAACCACAGCGTACTTTTCCCAACAAATATACTGTGAGTTCATTTGGAGGTGAGCAGCAAAAGAACAAACACTGAAAGACATGTAGACGTTGTATTACGTGTAAGCAAATACACCAGCCGGCCACTTCATTAAGTATATCTCCTTGTTTTTACACTCATTGCCCATTTTATCAGCTCCACTTACCATATAGGTAAACTTCTACCGTGTACTGTAGTCCATCTGTTTCTCTGCATACTTTGTCAGCCCCCTTTTACCCTGTTATTCAATGGTCCCAGGACCCCCCACAGAGCAGTTATTATTTAGGTGGTGGGTCATTCTCAGAACTGCAGTGACACTAATGGTGGTGGTGGTGTGTTAGTGTGCGGTGCTGCTGGAGCTTTTAAGCTCCTCAGTGTCAGTGCTGGACTTAGAATAGTCCACCAACCAAAAATATCCAGCCAACAGCTTCCTGTGACCACTGATGAAGAACTACAGGATGACCAGCACAAACTGTGCAGCAACAGATGAGCTATCATCTCTGACAAGGTGTAAAAAACAAGGTAGGAGTGTCTAATAGAGTGGACAGTGAGTCAACACAGTGGTTAAAAACTCCTGCAGCACTGCTGTGTCTGATCCACTCATACCAGCACAACACACACTAATACACCGCCACCACGTTAGTGTCACTGCAATGCTGAAAATGACTCACCACCTATATAATACTAATAGTGAAAAACAGGGTAAAGAGGGGCTAACAAGTATGCAGAGATACAGATAAACTACAGTCTGTAATTGTAGAACTACAAAAGTGCACCTATGTGGTAAATGGAGCTGATAAAATGGACAATGAGTGCAGATACGAAGTAGAATTAAAAAAAAAAAACGAAGTAGTATTTAATGATGTGGTCTGTTGGTGTATATGTGACTTCAGTTATATGTTTCTGCACATATGTTCTGGAGAGTTTACTAACTGTAATGCCTTAATGCTGCTCTGGTGTAAAACAGAGGGAAGTGAGACAGCTGGTTACCATATTGGAGAGGAACAAGTCAGGTGGATGTCACTTCAGTGTCATTTGATTAGGAGGTAAGCAGGATAGGAGCAAACACTGATAGTAAGGATGACACAGCACCATCACTCCTTTTATCCTTAAATAAACGTATATCATGACCACTGAATGCTTTCCAAACAGACGTCATTATAGACAGCAAAAACGTAAATAAGCAAGAAAATTGAATGCGTCGGACTTCAGTTCACCGAAGCACCCTGCTTTATATTATGTAGTAAGGATCCCTGTATAATCACTGTGGGGGGGAAAGCTGCCTCCCCCACTAAAGTACCACTGTATGTTTCACAATCTTTATTATGAAATATAATCAGTAACAAGCAGTTACACATTTACAGGCCAGTACACAGGCCAGACTAGGACTGCAGCCTGTTCTGCCTTTTCAGTGCTAAAGACTCTTTTTTACTGATGTACCACCATCTACTGGACAAACAGTATTTTACACACAGAAGGTTGTCAGCTGGAAACTTAAAAGACCGAAAAATCAAATCTCCCCCAGTCTACACCACATGTAGTTGATCAGCCAAGACATATTTACTGTCTGAAGTTTGCTTCTATAGTTTTGCACTAAACTTTGACACTTATGTACCTGATTAGCAATAGAAGCTTATAGCCAGCCAACTAACATTGTGTAAAAAATACACCTTAATCAACCAATCATTTCAAACTGCACTGTGTTGTTAAACAATCTAAAAAAACTTGCTTATGTGGTTTCTCACACTGTATGATGTACTGTTATCTATTAAGACTGACAAAAGTACAGATGAAATTTAGGTTTGGGATCAATTTAGGCTGCTATTTTAGCAATGAAAAAAAAGTATTTGGAGCCAAAAAATGACAAAAAAACTGCAGAAAATATCTCCTAATTTGGTCAAGATTATTTGGAAGTTATGTTGGACGCCAGCTAATCTACTGCAACAGTTAATCCATAATGGAATAATTTGTATTTTTATGCTGTCAGAAAATGAAACCAGCATGAAAATGTTTAAATTCTTTCAAATTTGAGCTTTTTTCCCCCCTGAGCATTTTATCTTTCGTCTGATGTTGATCCCTTTTAAATCTCACATATCATATACTGTTCTTTCACCGCCCGTTTGTTGTCTTGTCTGACATAGTTGCACAATCTAAACCTGTATTATTATTTAATAGAAATGACTGGGTCTTTAGATGTTCACATGACTTGCATGTGCTGTCTTACATTCAGATTATGCAAATGGTGAGGGAAGAAAAAAATACTATTCGTCCCTTTACTCAAATGAGTGACGTCCAGAGATACAGTGCACTGAAAGACCGACACCTGAAGTCAAAGCCATATCAGTCTCCTTAAAAGACATCTTTATTTTGCAAGGAAATAAATTATACAACTTAAAAAAAAAAAGAAACTCATTCAAAGAAAAATAAATGAATGGAGTACACCAAAACAGTTCACCCAGACTGCAAGATAAACGTCCACTCGGGCACTCCGCGGCTCCAAACCCTCACTGCAGCTAGCGGCACACATTCGCTTGATATATTCAGTATAGGATTCGAAAACCCAACTCTTCAAGTTTACAGATCTGCACATCCTAAAAAGTATATTTAGACAATCCTAGGCAGAGTAAATGCACGTTTAATAATTAAATTAATATTTTTTTATTGTCACAGAGGTGGCATCCCACACTAAGCATACTCAATATCTTGCTTTCATTTTCCTGGAGGAAAAAAAAATGCTGAGTGCAGAAACTTAGTCACTTACTTAGAAATTAACACTGAAAATCATTCCGACAACTCTATTCAACCTTTTGCGACGCCTGTCGATACAAAAACAATTAAGATGACAAATACTGATTATATGCCTCACTGCAGCATATAGGCTATGTCTGGATAAAGTAACAGTAGAAAGTATGTGAAAAGTGGGCAGAAGAATGAACACACACAGACTCCCACACTTCTTTACAGATTTTGAAAACCAGTGTCAAGTTTGGATAACGATCCGTTTTGCAAAATAACTGTAAAACTGCAAGGACAGTGGAAGCAGATGAAGGAAAAGAGATGCATGCGCTTTGTAACTTTGTGTGAGATAAAAGTGGGGCAGCCAATGCTGGAAATGAGTGCAAATTCTCATGCAACACTCCTATTCCACTTCAGTACAAGCCTCAATGTTACAAACACAACATGACATCCTCTTATCTACGTATAATGGCAGAACTCCCCATGTCCTACTGCCTTTCACTTAAAGCGATACTAAAAGCACTGCAAAAGGGAAATTCTAGGCAGTCATGATCAGGGCTCAGATGTATCCAGAACAAATTCTGCCAGCTTTCTTCAAGTGTTTAATGCTTGCCTGATTATTGCTCATTCTGGTTTTGTGTGAATGTATTTCTATTAGGACATGCATCTGTTAGTATGCCTGAAATAGGCTTGCAAAAATGATTCAAAATGCTTAATATACTATGCCTTCATTCGGAAGTTAATACAAATTTCCAATCTCATCATTCTCTCTTTAAAGGCCTAACATTCAAACCACCTGTTGCCAGAAATCAACAAAAAAATCCCTACCAAAGTGTTTAACTTCACAAGCAATACAGGCCAGTCAGAGGAAAGGGAAGAATAAACCCTCTCCACAAATTGTAAATTAAGCAATGAATCATGTAGAAACAGAACTTCACTGTGTCTCACTGATCAGTGGCTCCCAATTACCCAATGCACACATACACATCCGTTCCCACACCCCCACTCACATTATAATTCTGAATAAATAAAGTGAACAACATTATATTATCATTTTACTGGCTTTCTGCTGCTCTGAAGGAATTGTATGTAAGATTACACAGGCAACAAGGCTTTTGATTTCCTAAAAGCTCAGAATTAAACACCCAAGCTTGCAACAGTCTTTCCTGTCTGGTCTGTGAACCTGCACTATTTGTCACATTCTCATTAACGTGGCATGAATTTCCAGCTGATTACAACACATTACAGTGACCACTGTGCTATGCTGATTAATCAAGTTCATCATTCATGTCTGAGGCCAATTTATAAGGATTTTAAGGGAATCTTAATGACCATTAAATAAAATTAGATAAATTAGAAAACTTTTATGTAGCCCACTTAAACCTGAACAAAAAGCTCAGGCTATTTTGGCATTATCCATACGAACATCTTAAATTTCATCAAGACTTATAACATGCTACACAGACAGGGAAGATAATTGGAAAAACATAACAACACTGAATTGCTACTGCATCAGGGAAGAAAAATGGTTGTCTTTTAGAAAGGCAGCTGTGTAAAACTGTTAGAAATATTATGGACGGGTTGTTTTAGGAAACAAATTATGTCCCAAAAATTGAACTATTCCATGTATACACTTTGCTTTTGGTTAACACAAGTTCTTCTGTGTAATATTTAATGACTTTTACATTATAATCACATGCCAAATGATGCCAGGTATGAGACAAGCTAAAAAAAAATAAACGATCTCAGATCACTTGCTACTCCCGGTAAGGAGACAAATGTCTCAACTAATGACTGGTGTGAAACATTTTAGATAGGTTGAAGACACATTAGCAGCTACACTTTTAAACGAATCTCATCACATAACGCAATATCACTAAGTTCACAGGTCTGGCTAGTGATTACAATGTGTCAAATATTACATAATAAAGCTCAGAGTGTGTCAGTGCACCAAACAACTCTCTTAACCTGCTTATTGGCTTTTCTGTTCAAGGGTGTAGCATCAAAAGCAAGTACTACATAACCTGATATAACAGCAGAGCTGAAAAGGCCCAACTATAGCAAATTGCTCCAATTTGTTAATACATGATGTGGCTGTTTTGCAGGAAATTCAAAAAAGTGACAAGATAATTAAGACACAGTCATTAAGTCTGTCGGACAGAACCAATCCAAAACGAGGGGGGTAAAAAGGACATACTACAAAATATTTTTCTATATCATTCCTGTGTAATATTAATATTAACCCCTCCATGTTTTACTTTGGCAATGTGCAATTAGTAAGGGAGTAAGCAAACCAGTACTGTGAGCTGCTTCAAGCACAGAAAACATTCCAACAACATCTGCTTGAAATAACTTGGCTGCCCCACTGTGCCTGAGGTTTACAGAGTAAAGATTAGACGGACATAACTTGGACCTAACCTTTTTTTTAAACTCAAATATCCACTTATGTGCTTCATAAGCTTGAAGGTCAAAGTTGGAGTGAACAAACTCTCCTGGACAAATCTGAATGGAGAGATACTATTTCATGTGAGGTTTTTCATCTGCCTCCACTCGAGAGAAAAACACACAAAAATAAAAGTTCAGTGACCTTACTGGCTTGTAATACCTCAATAACAACAATAACTAACAACAGCAACCACCTGTTAACACCTACTAAACATCCATATCATCCTCCTCCTAAAGGAGGAGTAGAGGCAGATGATGCTTGATGCAGTGTAGGCCAGGGAAAGGAAATGAAGGTTTTTTTGTGACATCTGGATGGACATCCTGCAGCATAAACACACTGTGTCAATCAGCTATCTTGAGTTCAAAAGTGATCTCGCAAGAAGAAAGAAAACAAAGAAAAATACACCCACGCATACACACACACACACACAATAGATGAAAGAAAGAAAGCCATGCTGACATAGTGTGGCAGAGTGTGTAAAGTGCTAACGCTCAAGTCCTCCATCCTGGTGAGGGCTCCTGTGTGGCTGCAGTGGGAGCTGTAGGAACCTGTAAGAATGGCCAATGTCCACTGGAGGATGGTGACAGCAGCAGGCGCAGTGTGAGCTGTGGGCCAGGGGAGGAGGAGAAGAGTGGACACAGTCTGGCCCAGACGGATGGCTGGGAGAGAGAGGGGGGCACACAAACACAGCACACACAAACAGGTCCTTGGATGACTAAGACATTCCCACTGACGGCATGCTGTTGGAGATGTAGACACTCACGAAAAAAAAAAAAGGCAAACCACCCACCATGCATACTGACTACCAGTTGGCAAAAATAGAGTCAATTTTGTCTTTTTTTCCTCTGAAATCTCCCATCCTCAACTCATGTTTCTTTACTGTAAGGTAAGGCAGGGATTTTCTTTAAATGAGCTATTCTGGTGTGTGACTGTCGGTCATTAAAAACAAGCCCGTCGCTCCACGAGAAGATCAGCAGCCAGTGTGGTTTCTCCACGGCTTCAGCACCCCTCTCCCACTGCTGACCTCCTGCAGGTTTCACCATCTTCACCTTGATCAGAACAATAAGCATCTCCAGCGTAAACCTCAGCGCTACGCCATGTAAATGAAGGTGTTAATGTCCGACTCATCTCGCTTTATGTACTTGTGCTCGATAAGCCACTCGATCTGCTCCTTGATCATCTTCTTTTGGGGAAGAAACATGTTCTTCAGGATCTCCACCAGCTCTGTCTGCAGCTGGGCGTTGGTGATCTTCTTCCGCATCTTCATGATCTGGATGATAGCCTCCTAAAAGATCAAAAAGGAAAGGGGGGAAAAATGAAGAAAGAAAATGCTTTTGCATGTTATGTTAAAAATAAAATGGCAATTTTCCCCCAATGATCACATACCTGTGTTCTTAATATCCTAAGTTGAACAATGCCTTCATTTTCCTCTTCCCTCATTCGTTCTGTAGTCAACTGTAGGCGGCCAATCAAGTTAATCTTTCCCCTCTTCTGCACCTTTGAGTTTTTTCTGGAGAGCAAAAGAAAAAAAAACAGTGTAGCACTAAGAGTTTATTGACACCACTTACTCATAAATCAAGAAACATGGGACTAAAAAACTCAGAACTGCAAATCCATTTAAATGACCCAAGAATAGATACGTACATCAAGGAGAACTCCTGATTAACAAAGAACAATGTACTGTCTGTGAAATCTTTGGGAGAGCTCACTTGAGGTTCATACGACAAGACCTGTCGTTTGAGTTTTGGAAAGGCAACAAGCGACTAAAGGGAAAGAGAAACAGAAAGTCAGAATGGCATATGTAATCAGGACTTGAATTACTCAACTTCAAAGTCAAGCACACATGCAAGAAAACCTGGACATCTGAGAACCTGACCAGGGAAACTAAGCCACTTCCTTCTCCATCTACGTAATTTAGCCTGGAAAGGCCAACACTAGGCTACACTATCATCATCCTGTTGGATATTATATTTTTGTGCAAAGTTAGTATTTGGTCACTTATTGAAGTGGTCAGACTCAGATACAACCAACCATTATCTGAGCGTTTGTGAAAAGGACATGAGAATTTGAGATTGAAGGAATGCATAAACAATCATGACATTCACTGCAAATGAAATGTTTTGTTTTCAGACAGTGGAGAAAGTGTTTGTTTTAAATTTTTTCTTTTTTCAGACAGTGGGAACCATGAAAAATATTCAATGCTTTTGTGTTGCCAAATTATAAAATTCAGAATATAAATCTGAATTAAACTAGCCGAATTACATATTTTTTTACAGATATTTATAAAAAAATTAAAACAATCACTCAACCCTAGCCTACACTATGCTTTGACACTTGATCTCTTACCCAGAGCGTGCGTCTCAGCTCGGCGTCAGGTAGCTCCGTGGCAAGCTTGAGGTTCTCAAAGCTAATCTTTTCCCTGGGTCTTTGGTTCCAGGCAAAGAGAACGGCCAGCTGGAAAGTAGTGACCTCCAAGTCATACTGGCCCACTTCGTTTTTAAATGTGATCTATGGGAAAGACAGAAAGATGCTGTACTAATCTACAGGTGCTGCTTTATATTGATCGCTATCAGAATTTACCATCAGGTGGAAGGAAAAATAACTGAATCAGAATTCCAACTCACAATGCCATTGGACATAAGGTGGTGCCAATGGAGCTTTCTGCCACTGTGATTCTTCTTGTAGAAGTCTTCTACTTCAGGAATAAGGTCCTCCAGCTCAGTGGGCAGCGACACAAAGACCTTCTCCGAGCTGCGAGACCATGCTCCAGCATTCAAGATCTTGATGTTGACTGAATCCGCTGCACCAGAGAACAATTAAGATAACAAAAACTGATTGAATACAAATACTAATGCCTTGAATGGGTTCAGACATGAACATTGTGCAGTGACGTCACCTGGTAAAGCAAGCTTGTTGTGTTTGTGCATCTCCTTGAAGACCTGGTTTAGATCCTCCGAGACTTTAATGTCCTGGAACATTCTAGCCAACTTGTTGACATAATCAGCAGGCATACCAACTTCCTGCAAAATGCAAAGGAAAAACTAAACATTTTTGGGAAAAAAGCAGTAATAATGAAAATTGATGACAAGAAAAAGAACTGTTCATTTCTCCCACCTATTCCATCACATCCATTCTCTATCACCTAAATAAAAAGTTAATCACATCATCCTAGTACAATACTTACCCTCAACCACTCAACCATGTTCTCCTCTATCTCGCTATCAGCTGAAATGTCCAGGATCAGCCTCCTTGTCAGGTGAGCTTTATGGTATCTCATGAACACATCCTTATTCTGGACGTATTTCAGCACCAGTAACTACAACACAACTTAAATTAGTAAATCAGGCATTCTCAGGAAAAGGATGTTTTTGTTGTATAGACTGTTTAATAAATGTTAGAACCATACCACTTCTTTTAATTTCAGCTCGATCTCCTCAGACGTAAGCTTCTTGCTAAGTGGGGTCTTTCTTAGCAGCATGTCACAGTAGTTGGCTAGCAGCTCTGGACACTTAGACTCAGGTTGTGTTTTGAGGCCCACTCTGCATGTAAGCATAGGTCCACAGAGTCAATTTAACAAAGAGAGGCGCACATTTATATAAAAATCATATAGATATTGGTAGAATATTGCTTAAAAATGTGTACATTTGAGTGGTATTTGATGATGTATTTATTGAACTGTGGAAGTGCAGAAAACCTAGGCAATGCTGTATTAATAAAATGTCTGCATTTTTATTAATTTTACTGCGTTTCTAACCGGGATAGACACTGTCTATTTTCCGGTGACCCTGGCCACAATATTTCATATTTTGGGCACTTCAATTGCACAGCCTGTGGCCGGAGTGGCCAGTTACTTTGGAGATTTGTTTTGCATTTATTAACGTAACCACCACGTTAGTCAAAGTGGCAGTGTATTGACTGTGGTGGTCCCTCCAGCTGAGCTAGTTCATCTGGCATCACAGACAAAAGACAAAAGTTTGCTAATTTAACTCTGTGAAATTAGGTCTTTTTTCAAATGAGGTTAAAAAATTTGTTAAATAAGCTGGCATTTCACAGAAGCTGTCACTGCAGTAGCTAAACAGTACCTAATGACCACAACGGCAATATTCTTATTAATGTAAAGCTTTTAAATAAATATTTCTGCTTTCAAAGCAACACGACAGGCTTTTGGTACTGAAGCAGACTTGTTAATTGTAAATGCAATGTACACACAATAAACATTTTTCTGCTATTCTGGCCACAAATTCGTCAGTTTGCCTATAAGATAAATTGGCTTGGTGGCCTGTATAGCCAGTGCAATATTTTTTATTTATTTATTTTTTTAAAACATCTGACTAGCCCTGTTTGTGACTCTACAAAAATAAATGTTATATTTCTCTGTAATGCTATTCAAGGTAGATGACCCAATTTATACATTTTATAAATGCTAATACATTTAGCTTTATCAGTGTATCGCTATTAGCAAACAAACATTAAAAAATAGGCAACGGCTAACAAGACAAAAAGAGAAGCAGATAAAAGTGTACAGTCTCTAAAAATGGAGTGAATAAGGAACCAACAACTTAACAATGCATGAAGTTTCTGAGTAAATGGCATATGAAAGTCTGAACAACACAGCTGCATTTACTCACCCTTTCTGCTTCATTGGCAGCTCCAGCTTAAATATTGTGGCATCATTTACAACTGCTTTGTATGCCTAAGACATGCAAGCACATTGTAAGCTCATCTGTTCCAAAATGTGTTTCAAAAATGCATGTATGCATATGTGTCCTTTAGACTTGGATTAATTGAGATTTTGATTAGCATTTTGATAAATGATCATCATGGTTACTGTAAAAGACTGCAGTCATGAATCTAACAATGCCCAGTAAATCACAGTGAGCATTTAAGAGCCTTTGCATCAACACAAAACAGACGCAGCAGCATACTCACTTTATCTCTGGCTGTGAGGAATCGAGGATCATCCTGGAACGCTTCCTTCACAAGTTTACTAAAGCGGTTGAAGAGAGTAAGAAGCTGCTCCACATACTTCTCCGAGTCCTGAATAGAGGCATATTAGTTGCTAGTTTATGTGTGTCTGTGGCAACATGTTCTATCCCAATATGCAATTTCAACAGACCTACTCTGGGGGTATTGAGCCAGACACCCTAAGTCAAAAGTCAACTCTGTCTAATAGGAGAGGATACTGGTGACAGTCCTCACTGTGGGCTTAAATTATCCTGCTTTACAGCAATAATGTACTTTAAATATCCTCCTGGAGTGCCATTAAGAAGACACAAGTTCCACAAACATCAAATATGGTAACTGTCTTTATAGTTTTGTTCTCCACTCACAGTTGTGATGGTCTCAGCAGCAGCAACCATGTCGGCCAGCCCAGCACTAATTATGTGTTCCTCCAGGTCCTTTAGCATAGGCTCAATTCCACTGGGAACTTTATCCATCAGGGAGAACATCAGATGCAGCTCTGCACAGATGTGTAGAACAATTTACATATCAGCAAACTATTACCCAATTTAAAAAAACATACATAAATGTGTCGTAAGCTCAGCTGAACCAGTGCTTACTGTCAGTCTCGTTGCGTTTGATCATGCCAGGACATTCTGCCAAGATGGTTTCTTTGAATGACGTCACCAGTGCATTTACACAACATTCCATAAGCTAGAACAAAAGTCCAATGTCATTCAGTAATTCTTAATAGAAAAATATGGCACAATATTGTATATGATACAGAGGGAAAAAAGAAATAAGCTTAAGATGTGAATAGGAACAGAGAAACAAATTTTCCAAGACTAAGATTTTCGACATGGGGGTGGGGGGGGATGAAAATTGGTAATGGACGCAAGCTAAATACTCACTGCTTGAACAGAATTACATTCACGTCGGGTCTCTAAATACCGTAGTGCGCGTTTTTCCTCCTCCCTTAACTTAGCGTCTGCCTGCAGTTAACAAACACGAAACCAAACAAAGAGACAAAATGATTATTTAAGTCCAGGTATTACAGTACTTGTCCACTTGCAACCTCACCTTGCCGCATCCTATTCATTTAAATGGAGAGCGAAATCTTACCACAGCAAAGTTTACATGGTTCGAGCGATAAAGTAAAGTTTAAATCATACAGGACTCGTAGGTTACTTGCTAAGGTAGCTAGCTAGCATGTTAGGGAGATTGAGCAAGCGAACATTCTAGCTTGTGTGGATGATCGATGCATTCTGAAAATTATTTAGTGCCCCAGATATGTTCAGTATGGTTTCTTCATTTCCATAATGACACAGAAACGCCTACCAGTAGCAAGCAGAGATCTGGTGCAGTGAAATGCGGTGAGAAAAAGTGCAAGTGGACACGTACAGTTACAAGAAGTAAACTGAAGTTGAAGACCAGTATGTCTATTTAGTTTTCTTCTCACAAACCAACTTGTCATGAACTAGATATGTCATTAACAGTGAAATTCCCTATAACAAAATATCAGAGAATCATAACTTGACATACTGAGCAAAATGTAAAACACATACATATTTCATGTAGTTTTGTACTCCATTCTGCTGCAGGTAGGAGGGTGCCTGTGTTCTATAGAACCTCTCAGTGGAGTCAAGGTAGGCTTTCTCAAAGTTATCCCTGTAGATTTGCAGCTTATCATCAGGGTTGGAACACAGGTTCACTGTTAAAAAAAAGGTATATTAGGAATCTTCTATTGGACTATACATATACAGCCACACCCCATATCATGTCTCTGCAGTCAAAGTATACCAACAGTAGGCTGCAGCTTCTCCCAAAGAAAAGGTTATATTCTTGTAAAATACATATTTTCCTATACCACCCCCCCACACATGTATATAACACCTCCAACATTAAACACTACATGGTATAACAATAACATAATTTTCTAATATTTCTCTCTCACCATAGGACTCGCGCACCCCAATGACCAATTGAGAGTCAAAAGCTTCTCCAAGCCTTTCGGCATGAACCAACTTCATTGCACTATCCTGCAACCTATTCTTAATGTTGGAAAAGATGGATTCGTTCCAAGTGTCTAACATCAGCTACGAATAGACAAAAACAGAGAGGAGAGAGGACAAAGGTCAAACTGAATGTATTGCTTGCTCAGGCCACAAATCCTGCTAAACAAAGCGCTAACAACACCAGTCCTTTTTGTCCCTGCTCACCTTCCGCACTATGCTGTCCTCCACATTGGATTTCTTGTTGCTACCTTGCTTGCCCATCAAGGTGATCTCAAGCTGGCAAAATGGCTTAGGCAGAATGTCACACTGCGTGAAGAACTTCCTCCACTCCACGATGTAAGCCTTGAGGAGAGCAGTGTCATCTTGGTGACTGAGCACCCTCTGAAAACCAGAGAGTTGGACAAACAGAAGAACAGGTGCAAGCTGGCGTCAGTGTCAGCGAGAATCACTCAAACTGCTAACTATTTGAATCACAACCTAAGTGTTTCTGAGTGAACAATTCAGCTATTAAAAGGAAGCCTTGTGAGGAACCTCAGTATAACCCTTAGCATTCCTTACCGCCTGGGCTTGCTTAATAAAATCTAGGATGTCCTCCTTAAGAGCCTGGTGGATCTTTGCAGGGCCTTTGTCATCCCATAAGCAGACTGCATGAACATCTCTGTGGCAGAGAAGAAAATGACAAAGCAATGACACCGATGCCAAGGTAAAACTATAAGGAAAGGGCTAAAAAAATTATAAAAAAAAAAAAACAGAATTCGTCATCTTACGAGAATAGATCGAACCACTGCTGCTTAGTTACGGACTCCTGGCGAAGCAACTTAAGGACAATTGGGCGCATCTGATCCCACTTGTCCTCAAACTGGAGGGACCCTTTGTTCTGAGGGAGGGATTGAGAAAGATCAAAGAAGGCTTGATAAGCTACTTAGCCTATATTCCACACTACAGGAGAAAATGAGGATTGAGAGAGAGAGAGAGAGAGAGAGAGAAAACAGAAAAGCAGACTGTGACTGTGCTCAAATACTTCTTCTTATAGGACCCCCACTTAGAACAGTCAGAACGTTTTGGTTAAAAGATTTGTCTCAAAACGTAATTGTCTTGCACTGCCATTAGACAGATCTTCTTTCATGTAAATCCCAAAGCGATTAGCGCACCAGCTATACAATTCTAGAAAACTGCAGATACGTTACCTACCTAATTATAAAACCCATGCTAAACTAGACACCCTTGGGTAACAAACTGACAAGTAATGGGGTTAACGTCCTTGCTAAAAAAAAATAATAATAAAAACCATTAACAGTTTCTCTTGGTTCCTGTTGGTGTCCAATAGCCACTAATGGTATTTTGGCTTTTCCTGATGGGTTGATTTCACAGTGTACATGATTCTAATGGTTTAACAGGTGTTCTGTGACTGATTCCAGATCCATTTGATGGTTTCCTAACGGGATCTAAAGGTGTCCTACAGGAAACTAGTAGTTTGTAATAGTAACCAAGCTAACTCCCATTAAAAAGCAAAACCATCAGGCCTTAATCCTAATGTTATGGTCTTTTTTCAGCATCGGTTACCCACTGATGAGCGTGTAAAATAGGGTTCAGTGACAGCTGCCTACAGGTAACTGTACCTTAACCTGGGTAATTTAAGCAGCCATTCTTACGTATTCTTTACCGAGCTGGTGAGATAACGGAGGATTCAGAGGGGCTAGTGACAGAACCATAGATAATCTCCGTCATGGTTTAACTTTCTAAGGCTCTCTGTAAACGTAGAAACATGCAACGACGTTAGTAGCTCCCTGAATATTGCCGTCAGCTTACGTTAGCGAGAAAGCTAACCTAGCTACCTTAAAATTCATATCGCAAACACCAATAACTCGACTTTAAAATGTCGACAGAGTTAGTGGTGCACGGCCTTTCCGTCTGAGCCAGGAAAATATAATCTAACGTGAGATATCAGGTAAATGGCTACTAGCCGGTGACTATCCGCAGGTATCTGCTTACTGAGCAGCCTAGCCAGTTCGCTAACTGTCCATCTCGGATTCACTCAGACTTATTTTCGAAACTATGCCGCTGTAGAACAGCAGCAAATTAGAGGACGGACGAAAAAAATGCCCAGACATAAATCACAATCTTACTGTGTGTGCTACTAAGCTAACTGCCCCCCTACTATGCCACCATTAGCACAGGCTAAGCTAGCTAGCCTAGCATTATGAGCTTTAGCCTGACTAGCAAAAACAGCCTGCTAGCAAGTCTCATAAAGTGGCTTTGCAAGAAGGCGCCCGAGCAAACTGTCATGGATAATGTCCGAGAGACAGTCGTCTGCTGCGTTCAAAGCATTATTTATGCACAGAGCCTCAGTTCAGTACGCGTAATTTGAATGCAGTAAGCTGTAGTCTCTCTTACCTTTAACAAATTAGACATCGCCATGTTTCCTTAACTTACTCTCCCTCGTTTGATCTCGCGAGTCTTGGCTTGGCATAAGAATGGAGTCTGGACAGGGGGGCTAGGTAGGCCAGTGTAGCTCAGCTAGCCCACCATTTGGCTGTGACACTGTCAAAAATGGAAATACTAAACTGTCAGGACAATGACAGACCACAGCTGAGACATTTTAAACGCATTACTCGGTCTGTGGCATCTGTAATAACAGTAGCTGGGCAAATTTAATTCTAAACTTATTACAAAAAAACTTCAACCGCATACAAGGAGGACATCACTGTGTTTAACAAAGGAGAAAAACTTTTTTATGTCAGTCAAAATGACCATTTAAGTTATTAATTACCCAACATCAGAAAAAAACACAGAAATACAACAGCTAAACACTATATCAACTTTTTCAGCATTTAATGTGTCCTTGCCTTTATTTGAGCTTCCATTCTTTTTTGAAAGACTTGCTTTCAGTTTTTCAAAGAAATCTGCAAAGACATTTTCCTCTAAATTTCAGTCTTAAAAGGTTGGATTTTCTGCTTCTCACAATACAAGTAATCCCAAACACATTGAATGATGTGGGTGATCTGGGGTGGTCAGTCCATTGCTCTGAAAACACCAGCAGCGTCTTTGCTTAGCAAATTTTTTTGTCATTTTCTCAGTAACAGCTTCTTGACAGCTAACAGCTCGTACGTTTGTTAGGAGTCTTATTTTCTCTGTAGTTTCTAATCATTTCACTTTTGGAAACTCCTGTTCTTTTGGTTTTTTTACTTATTTGCCTTTTACTTTCCACTTCCTTATGCAAGTGAATTGTCTTCCTAATCTCAGAAATATCTCCTGAAAAGTAAATAATTTACACTTTTTGCACAGTTCTGTATTCCAAATATACACTTACTGAGCACTTTTATTGGGTGTACCTACTTTGTATCTACATTTTTTGTCCATTTTATCAGCTCCATTTACCATATAGGTGCATTTTGTAGTTCTACAATTACAGACTGTAGTTCATCTGTTTCTTTGCAGAATTTGTTATCCTGCCTTTACCCCATTCATCAATGGTCAGGCCCCCACAGGACACTACAGAGCAGGTATGATTTGGGTGGTGGATCATTCTCAGCTTGTGGTGGTGTGTTAGTGTGTGTTGTGCTGGTACGAGAGGATCAGACACAGCAGTGCTGCTGGAATGTGTGTATATATGAGACACACACATGAGACACAGTTTGACAATATTTTATACATATGTTCTTTAGGCTTGAGCACATTGGATTTGAAATTAACCATTGACTGTGAGGTTAAAATGCAGAAATACTGAGCGAAGCAGTATTTCTGCATTATACTTGGCTGCATAACTGTTTCTTATCTAGCTATACAATGTATTATATTATTAGTTATTGCTTAACAGAGCAAAGAGTGTTGAGCTCATCCTGTCTGTCACTGATGTCTCTCAAAAGGAAGACCAGATAAGTGTCAGTGCCAGTAAAGCAGACCATCATGAGACTTACAAACATATTAATCAAGAACAGCCAAACCATGAGCTGTGCTAAAATCAGCTCTTTAGTGCATTTTAATAGAACCATCATCTACATTTTCTATATAAATATTGTCTTTTTTTTATTCTAAAACGTTGTAGATCCATTTGTACCAATTTTGGTTTTAACGGCTGACATAATAAAAAATACATTTTTATTTCTTTGATAAGGATTGTGGGATTAATCACAATATAGTAATAATATTTCTTATATGTGTAAAGGTCACTTCAAAAAAAAACAAACAAAAAAAAACGAAAATTCTTGGAAGTGGCCTATAATGCATTTTGGAGCAAAACCCTTCAATTAATTTTTACCTGTCTATTTTCCAAACTCATGTGATCCCAATTGTGAGTGAGAATAGTGGTTCTCAACTCCAGTCCTGGTGACCCTCTTCCATGCACATTTTCGAGTAATCCCTGCCCCAACACTCCCTGATGCAGCTCATATTAGGGCTTGATAATCAATTAATGAGCTCAGTCAGATGTTTTGGGGAAAGCAATAGCTTGAGGTAGTTGATAGCTTCAGATAGCTGGGATTAAGAACCACTGCATAACAGGTGTCAGACTTTAGTCCTGGAGGGAAATAGCACTCCAGAGTTTGGCATCCTACCTCATTTACCACACCTCATCAGCTCATCATAAAGGCCTTAATGAGTTGAATCCAGAGTGTTGGAGACTGATACATTGTAAATTACCTCTATTGTTATTTGTCGAAATGATGCATACAGTGTTCAAAACAAATCTGGTTGGAAATGTATGAAACAAACAAAGTCCTCAGGGACATCAGAAAATATAAACTTCAGTCACTCCTTCTGGATATCTAGATCCTTTTGGAAGGCTGTGTAATGATACATTTTCTTTTTGTTGGCCAGAAATATTACAACACCCCATCATCTTCCTCTCCACCAATTCAGTTATTGACTGTCCGCATTAACAACACTCCTTATCACCTCAGTGTGAATGGGTGGACTAAACTGCAGTAGGCCGCTTGGGTGGTCATGTGTTAACACGCTTATGGTTGTAAAAATACACAGATAGGTCAAAAACTACCAAAATGAAAATACACTAGAATGCCTCAGGGGGTTTACCATAATGTGCAAACTACTGGTAAGCCTTAAAAACAAAAAGATTATATTATAGTTTGCTATAAAAAAGGAAATAATAAAAAAGCACCTTAACTGATTGGATCAAAACTCACTGGACAGTGCTTCACCTTGTAGCAGGGCAGTGACCCCAAACGCACTAATTAGTAAGTATTTAAGTATAAGTATTTCTGAGCCTAAAAGAGGAATGTTCTTGACTGGCCAAGTCAGTCACCCAACCTGAATCCCGCTGAGAATGCATGTTAATTACTGAATGGAACACTACAGGCCAAAAGCCAAAAAAACACAGTCTTCAGCCAGTCCAGTGGTCATTGAAAAAAAATACTCTTCAGGACAATTTTATTAGTTTATTAAGTCAATCACATGTGGTTCAATGAAATTTACAAATGATTAATTAAATGTAGAAATGTGTATTTGTAAAAAATAAAATGGATATATCTCAAAGTAAAACTGGCATTCTGCACCTTACCCTCATAGTCATTCTTACTCATCCACTGTGCTGGAGGGACTTGTCACTGTCCACTATATTGCACTATGCATTATGTTCATTACCTTGCATTATTGTTTTGCATGCTGGGTGCTGGCTTGCATGCTGGTCTGGGCTGAGTTCTTATTCAGACTGGCAGGGGGTTCCCTTACATCTGAAAGACCTGTGATTTTGAAGCTCTATTGAAGTTCTATCAGTTTCATCCATATTTTCACACAATAAATCTGATGCTTAATTAGTTGTTCCTGGCAACATGTAATCAGGTCCACTTGCTGATTCATTGTTTAAGAGCCCTATCTGATTAATTCTCAATCACACAAATTCTGTCACTCTCTGGGCTTTGGTTAAATCTCTATTCTAATCCATCTGTTTGAGGATTATAGATGGAGCGTGTTATTTTACCTGGGGCAGCCAGTAGAGGTCAGGCACGAGCCTGGATGCAGAGGTTGTTCCTCAATGTTTGAGCAGAGCTTGTGATCAAAATGATCAGTTTCCTTATTTCAGTGGAATAGCCTCTGTATATCATGTGGGATCATCAGCCAGCACCACAATGTTTTAATGACCAATGGCTAACTTTTCGAGGCTCCACAATATCCTTCCTCAGAATACATTCTGAATGAATACCTTGGGACAGTGCAGTATGTGGTGTTTTGGAAGGTGGGACACATTGGCAGAAACTGAACACCTCAGTTGCATAGCTCTGGAAAATATTCTTACAGCCCAGATGCTCATGTATGCACCAAGTTGGTTGAGGTTTGACTAGGAATGGCTAGTTATCAAAGCATGTGTGTACAAAAAGGATACAGGCTCATTGATTAATATTCCAGATTTTATTAAAACACAAAGATTCAACTTTTTTTTTACAATTCAGTCTATAAATATGAAATATTGCAAGATATGAAAAGTTTTCATGAAATAACATAACCTAGTTCACTTTAATAAAATTCCTTAATATTTCCTAATATAAAGATATGGGACTAGAAATGCATAATGGCACAATATCTGCAATTTTCATAATAATCAAACGTTTGTGCAGATGTGTTTGTCAACGCCTTGTCTGTGATAAAGGAAGGGCAGGTTGGCATTCTGCAAATCCTCAGTGTGTACTTGGCGTACGTTCCATACGACGCCGTCGCCGGAAAAAGCCACACTGCAGATAAGAGGACACACATGGAATATTAACATAGTTCATTTATTCATGTTTCATTTGAATAAAACTTTGAGTGGTCAGAGGAGAACCCTTCATTTTACCTTGACAAGAATAACGATGATGATGATTAGAAGGACAAAACCTCCAATGGAGCCACCTATAATAGGTGCAGTTGATTTCACAACAATCAGTTTTTTAATTGCCACCTCTACCTGCATTCAGACAAAAACATATGAGAGAGTGAACCAGTTATTATTATTATTAGATGAAAAAACTGAGAGTATGTTTGGGTGTGTGGTAGATAACTTTCACCCACTTTCTCTGTCTTCCTTATGTCTTTTCCGTAAAAGACGTTCTCATCAAAGCTGAGCTCTGCTGTAGCAGTAATCTTCTCATGTGTATCCTGCTTAAGTTAAAAAGATATTATCTCAGACCAAACATGAAAATTGCTCGAACTTTATTGGCCAATAAACTTATTAAGTATGAAGCAAACTTTTTAAAATTAAATTCTTAATACCAGCTTTCACAACTAGATTCTTTGTTAGTCAGGAGGACACTATATTAAGTGACTTTAGTGATTTTATTCATGCCAGTCAAATACTTGCAAAGATCTGGTGAGATGGGATATACTGCTTTCTTCGCTACCTTCTGGTGCTCGCAACATTTCAGGCTCACAAGACCTCACAATGAAATTACACCAGATCTCTGACATTTTGGACTAATGGGCCTTAGATTTGTCAAGTCAAGGTTGTTTCTGATAACAAACAACAATAACAACAATAATAGCCAGTTTTTCTACTGTACCTCAACGTGGATAAGAGCAGTAGCCTTAATGTTTATGTCTTGCAGGTCTGTCAGAGTGCACATAATATGGTAGTTGTCCTAGTAGACACGGCAAACAAATAAAAAAGTAACACATACTGTGCATGATTAATTCAAACATTGCTAAAGAACTAGAAAACACTGATTTTGGAAGAGGAAGTCCCTTACCTTGTCATCAAACTGTGCACAGTTCTGAGAAAAAGGAAAGTCACAAATTAATATTAAAACTTTGTAGGCTATTGTAATTTATCATTCATGTGCATACCTTTGGTTCGAAACCCGTTATTGTCAGATCTGTTTTCTGTTTCTGCTTTGGGATTGTTACAGTCACATTTATTTCGGCCTTGTACTTGTTTTCACCCAGCAGCTGAAAGACAGAGCACAAAGACACATCAGATCTATGTTTAAAACACAACCAGCATATAGGAAAAGCCATGCCTCTGCAGTAAAAATGATATTCTCTGCCTTGTTATTCGTAACTGTGACCGAACTTAATCTTTCCCATCATTGCCTTCCCATACCGTACCTTAAAACTGAACTGCAGCTCTTTTGACAACTTTTTTTTTGCCCCTTCTTCAATAGTTATTATGTTTGGGGAGGCTATGCTGTTGAAATATAAAAAAAAATGCCTATAAGCAATATGGGTAAACACAACTTTGACTAATCAACTGAAAAATGTACAATGTTTTTACCCAGTAAGCTGAAGTTCAAGTGCATTCTTTATTCCAAAAACATACGACTCGGAGTCAAGTTCTTCAGTGCCATTAATTCCACTGAAAGTAAAAAGAGAAAGTAAAAATATTTGAGTAGAACATACAGCAAATAGTTTCTTCCAATCAGTAAACTTACAGAGAGAGTAATTCAAGATGACAAACCCTGTTAAAACAGCAGTGATGGTACCCATTGCTCAGGTCTGACTTTTTGTCTATAGGCTGCCAGGTGATGTTGACCATGGTCTGTTATGGTACAGAATAGAGAAAGAATAACAAAATGCAGAAGCCATATTTAAAGTTGAGAAATTCCAAAGTCACAAAAATTCTGAATTTATTGCCACAGCATGCTTGATTCATACCCGTGCATCTTTTTTGAAAACAGGATGCAGGAGTTTGCAAACTATTTGAAGTTCATCTTTTTCACCTCACATTGTCCGCCCTCATTTTTCTGTGCACACAGACGAAAATGTTGAAGTCAGCTACCAACAATGCTGTCCATAAACAGAAGTATGTGTGCAAGCATGATTTACCTTTGACTGAAGTATTTCAGGATAACTCAGAGTCAGAGTGGTCATATACGAGTTGTCCCCAGAGTTTCTGAAGATCGAAAGTTATATGTAGGGTTTCAGAGGAGCCAATTGTGATCAAGTCAGTACTGTAATGAAATGTATATATATGTATACTTAAAAGTCAGTAGTCACAAAAGTAAGTACACTCACATACAGTCCAAAATGGCTCCCTACTGGACTGAGTGCAATATTTGAGAACTGGCGCCATTATTTCATGACATGTCACTAGTGCAAATTCAAGAAGGGATGGAGGTGGAGGGGAGGGTCATTTTTCCTTCTAGTTTTTTAAATCATGCAAGATCATTTTGGGGGTCATGAGATAATTATCAAAAAAAAGTACAAAGCGTAGTTTCAAAAGAGCTTTCAGATATAATAAATTATAAAGGATAGCTGACAACAGCAGTTTAAAACTTTAATTAAACCCAAATTAGATTGTCGTTCTGTTTATTTATAGTCAGTTCTGACAAACAGAAAGAAGCACTGGCCTGTCCTGGAATCGTTTTTTTAAAACCTATTTACTGTACTATGATCGTTTGGTGTCTTATTACAGTTGAATGATCCATAACAGTTATTAATAGTACTCCATTTTTTCAAAAAAAAATTCTACAGATCTAATTATCACCATATTTATCACAATTGGGGTATGTTCCAAAGATTTTGTAACAACATACAGATCGGACAAAGACTTTAAAGCTGGCTTTACACAGTGAAACTTTCAAGCAACTTTAGTACCTACATGAAACTAAATTGGTCTTGAGTTGCATAATGTCATGCAACTCATTTGAAACTCAACCACAACAGTTGCAAGTGTCCCAACCTCATGGAACAAGTTTCATGAATCAGCCAATCAAAATGAAAATAGCACATTGTGTGATAACATCAAGCCACTGATCAGGTAGCCTATAATCATAATGATTAACAATAATTTTCTTAACATAAACACAACAGATATAAGAATCATATAATAAAGATCCCCTAGAGAGACAAAAGACACATATAGATATTGGAAAAATGATCAGCAATGATCTAGCTGGAAAAGCATGTGAAGCTGATAAAAATGCTGCAGATAAGCACATAAAAAATATGTGCTGATAATTTGGCTAACTAGTGCAGTAACTGAATGTGTTTTGTGTAATACTGATTGTTTTTGAATTGCTTTTGCTTGAATTGCAATTGAAAATTTAGTTGCACAACATGCAACTAGTTGCATGAAAGCTTTACCATGTAGAGTCAGCCTTACACAATTGAATGAAATGGAATACACAATGGTGACACAATGGAAAGAAAAAAATGCCATTAAAACAGGCAACAAAATCGAATCTTTATGCTGAATATATACAATATTATTTTTCATTTTAATAATATTGATTATTTTGTATAATAATACTAATATTTAATTTTGTATAACAATATTACTTTTTAATTTTTTTTAAATATTGACATATGAAGCATGAGATATCAGTGTGACAAGTGTACAGATTTATGTTTGAATTGTTGAATGCAACCTATAGCCTTCTAACGTTGGTCTCCTCACTTGGTCAGACCAATTTTTCCCCTCTGCATGTGGTGCACTATTTTGAGGGAGCAATCTGAGCTTCATCCCAGTGTTTCCTAGTTTTGTTCCTGCTATAGTCCTGCAGTGAATGGTTTTGTGTTCTCCCTGCTCTAATACAGCCATTATAAAAATACAAAAGTCTTGTTACTGAGCTTTTGAGTGGGTCAGGTATGTTAAGACCAGGAAAAATAATGGGCAGTGCAGTGATACTCCAGGATAATGGCTTGTGATCTGATCTGAGTAGCACTCTCAAAGAACAGTTTCAAATCTGAATGGCAGACTCACCTGAGTATTGAATCCAATGAAATAACTGACTTGCAGTTTGGATCTTTGCACTCTTTTTCAAATGGAATCTGAATCATTGAAAAGACAAAGACGTAATGTTAAAAGTAAGCAGACAAAAGTAAGCACTCCTGTTAAGATTAAATATACATGTAAAACTGACCTAACAGTAAGTGCTGGACTTTCTCAAGGAGAGGTTTGGAAATGGTAGAGCTAACACACTGACACAAATGTACTGTTTGTCTGTTTGTTTATTTGTATTTATTCTAATGTTAGTGTTTATATATGCTTACTGCCCAGATAAATAGCTTAACATATATTTTTAAGACTAACCTAAGGCAAGTAAACTTTTATAAAAAAAAATATATACATGCATACACAGTACTGTTTTAGTCACCTGAGGAAATTAATGCAAATAAAATTAGTACAATAAGCAGTTATTTATGTCTGTCAGTGTGCTTGCTTACCCATTTCCAACCCTTTCCTCAGATCAGTAATAATTGTGATTATAATCTAATAGGTGACTTGGCTAATTAGTCTTTTAATATATTAAATCAGGTGTGCTGGTGATGGATTGGAACCAAACTACACAATGGCTGGGGCTAATTAGCCCAAAAGATATAATCAATTACTTTTTAAAACCAATAAGTTCTTGTTACTTTTTACTGCATTTACCTTCGTCTGAATTTATTCTAACGATATATGGTGGTTGTGAAAGCAGAAACACACTTATTGCCCAGATAAATAGTTCTTAGTTGTGCTAAATAGTGCTTATTTGCTCAGAAAAATACAAATAAGATTAGTACAAAAAGTAGTGGTTTTATATATGTCATTGTGTTTGTTTAACCATTTCCAGACCATTCCTTATGACTTATTGTAGTTATCATCCAATCTCTTGGGTCTGTCTCACGAAGCAGGATTTATGGCTTAGCCAGCTAACTTCAAGCTTTCTTTGATTTAACCTTAGATTTTCTGTCTCACAGATTACTGTGGATCCCTTTTTAGCAGGATACAACTTGTACTTAGGCCTGGATCATCCAGTGCGCATGCCCAGGTGCCCGAGTCACTAGGGGGTCCCCCATGAGCAATTATGAGAAAATCTAAACAGCTGTTTTGACCCACGGTGGGAACTTTACTAATGGCACAGCAGTAAAAATGAACTAACACCATGTTCTAACAACAAGCAACATGAGTGAGAACAACAAAACCAAAACACTTCCATTACAATCATGGAGGATGTCTACACCAGTTGCGGACGGCAGAGCACGATGTGGTGAGATGCGATGCCAGAGAACCTGTAGAGCGGCAAATCTTTCAGCAACATTTACCTGCATTTGGCAGGAGGTAGGAGATCCTTTGGCTTTCATGCTGATGTATTAATTGATATAATAATGTATTTTCCATGACTTGCAAAATTGTATACCTGCTAATGCATTTTTAGCTTATTTGGTTAAAGTCTGGTTAATCATTTAATCTTTCAATTCACTGGCTGCACAACATATGGATTTTGTCCTGAACTAGGCCAGAAAAAAAGCATTTTGAATAGGCCTAATTCACGTAAACTGGAAGAAGAACTACAACCCATCTGCAATAACTGTTCTCGAGTAACCTGCAACCTGCTGTTTACTTATACTGGCGCATCCATCGGGCATGCTTAATAACAGGTCAGATCAAAAGTTAACCTACCTTTAAAACTATATGGTGCAGTACAACTAGATCTAAAATATAACCTAGATAATGAAATGAAAATGAAACCACCCTTTTCCCCCTAATGTTACACTCATAAATATGCATTAAAAGACAAAATCATAATTGTTTATATATTCATTAAACAGTTGGAGAGATCTAAAACATAATTTTGACTAGTAAGAATTAGAATTGTGGATCTCTAAACCTATATTTTAAATCTCAATAACTTAAATGAAGACATCTGTAAAGCTATTATGACTTAACCTTAATTGTAGATATAATAATGTCAAAACATAGTTACAGATATCTGTATCTAAATAGTAGTTATTACTTGTCAAAACTGCATTCTGACTAGTTCTAATTCTACATTTAGGTATCAATAATATTTATTCTTACTAATCAAAACAGAATTCTGGATATCTAGAACTGTATTTAGAGATCTAAATCTATACATATCTCTAATGCATATTATAACTAGTCATAACTATAGTAAAGATGTCTTGAATTAGTATTTCTACTAGTCAAAATGGCTTTGTAGATATGTATACTTGATATTATGACTAGTAAAAATTGCATAGTAGATATCTGGCATCATAGTTTTTACTAGTGAAAACTGCATTACAGATCTCTTGAATTAAATTTTTTACTAGTAAAAACAGGGTTATGTCTTGTATCACTGGTGTCATTTTAGGCTAAAATGGCTTGCCATAGAAGCGGGGCTAATAAACACATATTTAAACAGCAAACCTCGCCTAGTTAGCCGCTTAGCGACACTGCTAGGCTAGATAGCACCAGCAGCTGTAAACCCTAAACAGGACTCTTGAGTGTGTGTTACATTAATAAATATGACAAATATTGCTCATAATGTTGGACATCAGCATAATCCTCTCTTGCAGTACTACACTCAGTATGATGTGCTTCGCCATGTTCAAGGTAGATCATTGCTCATGGACAGGATGTGGCTACGTATTTAGAAGACCTGTCACTCCAAATCAGTTGACCTATAAAGAGTACAGGTGAATGCCCTGTTAAAAAGTGCCAAAAGTCAGAAGCAAAACAAAAATTTCAGAAGCAAAAGAGGGATTCCAGAAGCAAAAAAGACATCGGCAAAATAAGCATATAGAAAAAAAATTAAAGCAAAAACTGGCAAAATTATTAATACATTTATATCAGAATGAGTGAAAAATCTGAGTAGAAATCTTTTTAAAAATATGTTTGATTTAACTCTCATTATTTGTATTTGCAACGTATTTTGGACATTTTGATAATACTTTGCTTGTGGATTTTATCATATTGTTTGAAACTTTTGGCACAAAATTAACTCCATAAGAAAATCTTCCTTCAAGTGGAGAAGAAAGGGATCTCTATGACCCTTTCAGTAAACAATTTGAAGAGAAACAGGGAGAGCGCTGGAAGTTAGAGGTGAATACCGCTTGTTAGCTAGCTAGTTAGGTTGGCTAAGTAGATACAAGTTAGCACAACTGAGCTGCCCACCTTGGCGATAAAATACAATTTAAACTGTGTAATTTAGACTATTCAATCATGGGGATAAAACGTAACCCGTTACAAATGCTACTGAATATGTGCCCCAAACCACACCTGGCCAGCTCTGTCAGTCTGTCAGTGTCTACGGTTTGTTTACATTTTGACTTGTCACCTTTCCGGTGTAGACATCCTGAAGGCCTTGCACCATGATGCGATACTACATTTGAATGCTCAGTTGCTGTTAAGACATGGTATAATTTTGTGTTACGGCCGATCTTAATCCTGATGCTCTCCAACTCTTTCCTAAACATTTTTTCTCCTCCAATCACTGCTTAGTAATTGTTACACTATCCTTCATTATCTCGCTCGAGCTTTCAGGTTTTTAGCATTGAGCTAGCGTCCCTGTGAATGTAACTGGAATATGAAGCTCCAAGTATTGAAAAGATGTGCCTGAAGGAATCTGTAAAAGCCAGACCTGAAACTTCAACAGAGTATAAGATGCCTATTTCCAAACCCGAACATAAAATGTCAACCACTTGAGTTACAAAGTTGATTCGTCCTTGTTGGCAGTGATCTGTGTTATCAGAGGTAAGATATAAATGGAAAAAAACACAAACACGCCCACCATGGCAGTATACTTTAGCTAGACTGCTTGACTGTTTGGGTTTTTAAGTGTGCTGATTTTCTCCATCTTTATGTACATTTCTGTTGTACGATGGTAATTCTTCTCTTCTCTTCACTGGGGTCAGTGTTTTAATTGTCAAGAATGGATGCATGCTTTTGAATTTAAACATTTTGAGATGTCTGCTGGTGTTGAGGAGACATCGTAGAACAAACTTTGTTATTCAAACTAGCTCAAAAGATATAATTTATTTGTTTACATGTATTTATTCTAATGGTGTTTTTACCAACAAAAACACTTATTGCCAAGATAAATGGTTTTAAACAATGTGCTGAGATGTCTAAGACTTTTACTCTGTATTGTATGTGCCTGTAGAAGTCATGTACCTCTTTTATGGACACTGCTGGACTAAAAGCATCAAGAACTCGCACAGGGATTTCGTCAGAGACTGGGACCATGGTAAAATGTACTTTGATTTTGATAGGTGTAAAACAATCGTAGCAGCCCTGCAGACAGACAAGTGTAACATTCCAACGTGATAAACATTTTACTTTAAAAACAAACAAACAAAAACAGATTCAGGGGCCATATTACAGAAACTTCTTATCTTTTTGTCTTAAGATCTGACAGGTCAAGATAAGATTTCTCACAAGTTTGTTCTACAGAAGCAAATCTTATCTTAATTTAAGAATCTTATTTGATCGAAGTTGACAATCAACTGTCGTGTCTGTTACCTAGCAACCGACCATGTGCGCACAGCTGAAATGTAAACACGTAATCAAGTTAATTAGCCAGACAGCTAACATAAGCTACCATTAGTGATGTAAAAAAGGTCAAATAAAAAATAAAAATATAAATAATAAAAAAGGTCAAATAAAACTAAAGTGCGATAAACGGAAAGTTAAGAATATTGTGGCCGCGCTTCTTGCTGTTTTTTTCAGAGCGCTGCTGCTCTCCACTTTATGTTATTCCTCATACGTTTTATCATACATTAACACCCGAAGGCAATAAGAGGGGACAGTGGAGATCGCGTGTACAGCGTCTGGGTTTTTTAAAAACGCTGTAAAAAAAACCCTGCACAAGTCGAAGCACCATTTTCAGTGTAACGTTAGATAAATGTAGCATCATTATGCTAGTTATAGTGAACTATGCTGCCTGTTACTGCACAAAATGATAGAAACAGACGGTTAAAACAAGTTAAGACAGCTTAACAGTCTTAAATTTAGGACAGGATTTAGGAAATTCTGTCTAGTTAAGATGTTTCTGTAATACTGTTTTTCTATCTGGAGTTAGGATAAGATTATGAACTTAAGAACTGTAATAGCTTCTGTCCGAAATTCAGTCCTAACTAAAGTTGTCATGGTGACAGCAGATATAAGATAAGATTTCAGACTTAAGAAGTTTCTGTAATATGGCCCTAGGTCTTTCTGTCTGGCAACAAACTCTAGATAGATTCCAGTCTAAACTTACCACATATTCTAGATTTCTTGTTTCAAGGCAGGTTTTATCGTTTGTCAGTTTGAATATGAATCTCTTTTCTTGGTTATCAATAAGTCGCTTTTCTTCTTTATCAGAGTCCACATCAATTTGGCACTCAATGTTTAGTGTTTCGTCAGCTAAAAAGACAGTTGAAAAAATATATAAGAAAAAATGAATAATATATATATAAAATATATACATTTTCAAGCTTTTTTAATTAATTCAGTACTAGGTTTGAGAACTTACAAATAATTTTATTCCTCTGTTCATTAAAGCAGATATTGAGTTTCATCTCAAACTTGCTTGATTTGTCTTTGCCTTGCTGTTCGAGGGAAATCTGTGCTTGATCAACTGTTATTTGTGGTTCAAGAATGATGACAGGAACTGTCCTGTTAAGAAAAATACATAAAACAAGCCCAATTATCAGGAAAGTCACTACAGAGTTCAAAGGCAACAAATCTCCCAACCCAAATAATAAATGTGAAATAGATAAACATATCCAATCATTTTCATGTTAGTCTCTTAGTGGAATAATGTTGAACAATACTTTTTTCCCCTACAGTTCCTTTTTTTCACTCACTTAAAGACGGTTACGACCCCATCACTCCCAACACTGAAGTAATTTTTTTTGTTCTCTCCAGAGTGAGACATGGCACTCACTGCCTGGCCAAAATGCACAAGCTTCATCCCGAAATCTGAAGGTGCAATTCTCTGCAAAGAAAAAATAATCAGGAATGCTTTGAAATGGAAGTGACATGAATGAGCTGAAACAGATCATTTGGATGATCAGTGCCAAAAACAGGACATAAGTGATAAGTGGGTTTCACGTATGATGTGTGAAGTGCAGTAGACAGTAAAGACAGTCAGTCCATAAACAGTTCACTTTTCATTTTGGAACTATATGATGCTGTAGGTCTGTGATGGTTCTGAGTGCTTTACTTGGCTACACAGCATTACTACACAAAGAAATCAAATGTTACATTTACTTAAAAATGTTATGTCAAATGGTCCCATGCAGGTGTGTTGAGTAGGTTCTAAGATACTTCACTGTATGTGTACCATTGGAGTTAATAACACAAGGGTGATTTGAGTGCATACCGACTGAGTGTATATACTACAGTGTATACTAGACTGATGTTTTTATGGATTGTTCTTACAGTCAACTTATTAAGATTGGGTTTAACTAATGGAAGTAGAAGCAGGTCAAATTGTGTTTAGGATTGCTCTTTGTAATTATGTGAAAAATACTATACAACTCAGTTGAAGTAGAAGCAGACTCAGCAGTGGGGTGCATGATAACATATCATATAAAGGCTCATTTATGCTCAACGTTAAATACAGATAAATAAGTGAAAGGAATTCTCCGTCCACATGTCACAAAGTATTTAATGACCTCACAGACCACCACTGTCTACAGAGCTTCCTGTGTCATCTCGTTCATAGTTGGTACATTATTACCAGAGCTGGTTTATGAGGAGCTTGGCCTCTTCCTGTTTCCCCCGTTATATCAAAAACATGACTGCAAAATGCCAGAGGGTGACTGCGAGTGAGTCCTCAATGAATGGGGGTGAATGAAGCTAAACAGCTAAAAAGGAAGAGTTAAAATTGTTTCTAATCACTTGTCCATAACGTTCCTTTAATTTTAGGAGGACGCTTTTAACTAAAAAAGCAGAGAAAAAATACTTGTATGGTTCCTTTTTTCTACAGCGAAGTATTTATAACTATTATTTATAAGTATTTATAAATAATAAAATAAAAATATAATATAAAAATAAAATATAAATTATGAATTATAATGAGGTTCAGATATTCAGGCCGTGATTAATCCAGGTTTAGATATTCAGACTATAATTATCCAGGTTTAGGTACTCGGGCTGTGATCATGTAGAAATTAAAGCATTTATAATGGTAACAAAGCAACACTGCCATCATTGTCACGAGGATTAGATCAAACTAATCACAGTTAGCTGGGTAAATTAGAAATACTGCGTCGTCATGAGACAGACCCCTGGATTGAGAATGGTAAGAAGGTTAGAAGATCTGTAATATAATTGTATTGTTTTATACCCCAAACGAGCATCTAATCATTTGCAATACATTATAGATTGTAGATAACTTGTGGTAGTCATTGTGTCCAGCTATGTTTACTGGATACATTTTGTGGATAAGTTTGTAAGAAACCTCCTTTATTTATTTACCAACACTGTGATCTTGTGCGTGTGTACATGAATGTGTGATGTTTATGACGAACAGGCAATCATATGAAACATGATGAGCAGTTTAGCAGCTTCTAATTATACAGTACATCAAGTAACAAGACTGGAGGCCCCCCCAAAAAAATCTTGCTTATGGCCCCCAAAAGGCTAGAGCTGGCCCTGCTAAAAGGTGATGCCAGGAGCCAACAGGAAGGATGCTGAGTTCTTAAAAAAGGTTGCCAAAAAATAAATGCTTATCAAAGTGTACTTCATTGAAACAACACAACTCATACAGTTTCACATTTACATGCATTAGTTGAGTAAAATCAATGAAGGAAAGCTGATTAACCAGAGCGATTTCTTTTTTGAATGTATCCTTGAATTGTAATTAATCCAAATGATTACTGAGAACTACATTTCCGTGTTCATGCATTATTAGGTAACCTTGCCTTAATGGGCAGTCTGGATAGAAATTGTTGCTGTAATATTGGGGTAAATCAACACAAAATATTCTGCTATGCACACAAAATTTAAGCAGCTTTCTGTGTGTGTATCTACAGTTAACTGTCCCATTGCATAATATGATATTTCTGTATAGCAGTGGTCATCAATCCTGGGCCAGGAGATCTGCCTTTCTACAGAATTTGAATCCAACTGCAATCCACCACACCTGCTCCAGAAGTCTTTGATTGGCTGGATCATATGCATTAAATGTTAAATAAAGAGGAAGGTACATGTTAGATGCAGGTTGGAACTAAACTATGCAGGAAAATATATCTCCAGGAGTTGATGATCACTGCTGTATAGCAATAAGTTGTGCTTTAGACAAGTAGAAAATATTCTGGAATAGCAATAATAAATGCAAATGCTGCAAAACTGACAATCATAATGCAATAATAAAAAACCTAATGATTGTAGGCCACTCTTTAATAAAGGCCTGCAACATCCAGAATAGATAAGGAGAAGGTAAAACGCAGAGATTTAGCTCACCTGTGAAAACTGTTGCTTTAATCCATCTTTAAATCCATTATATATGTAAATGCTTCCTGAGATATCAGTCACGTCATCTGCTTCAAGAGGAGCCCCTATTGCCACGTCACTGTATTTGTTCCCATCAATGTCTCCGATATCCGCTATGGCAGAGCCAAACCTTGCAAAGATGTATTTTCCCACTCCATGTAATACATAGCCTTCTTTCTCAAACTTCCCCTGGGGTGGCATCCCAAAGAGTTGTTGTTAGGTTGAGTTATACTTTCAAAATACAAGATATTCAGAAGGCATGGTAGAATTAGTGGGCATACCTGATGCAGTTTGTACACCAACACTCTGCCTTCTTCCACTTTTTCATGATAATATGGTGCTCCGACTAACAGGTAATCTGTATTCTGATCGTTATCAATGTCCAAGGCACATAGAACAGATCCAAAGTAAGACCCTACCTGTAAAAGCAATATTTATATCAGCTGACAGACAGAGATTTGCAATGACGACTTGTTTGAACCAGGTGAGACATTAAACTGAGAATGGACATTAATGTAAAACAGAATGCTAGCCGTGTTGTCCCCAGTAATTTTCCCTTACCCCCTGGTTGATCAGCCAAGGCATGTTTGGTATCTAAAGTTTGCTTTTTCAGTTTTGCACTTCATATATGATTGTAATGTAGCTAACAAGTAGTGGAGGTCTGTGTCACCCAACTTCTATTGTATTAGCCTTGTAACACCATTGCAAAACTAAACAAGAAAACTACAGACACCAAACTTGTCTTGGCTTATTAACTATTAGGGCTGCCACCTCAGCTCTGTAAAGTTCCTGAATGCCCAATCAGAAACTTTTTGAACTAAATTCAGTGGATGGGTACCTGTGTTCGTGGTGCAATCAGAGATAGATAAATGTCAGTTCAGCTACAGAACCTAGTCTTCTCAGTTCTTTGTTGGTTGCTGCCTTGTGCCTAAACGTATTACAAACAGTGCTCCTTTCTGTTCCTATATTTAGGGAGATCTGAACCAAACTTATTCTTTGTAGACAAATTGTTTGAATGGATATAAGAAGTAGTTTAAATTGCAAAGAAAATAATTAAATGTGAAAATTTGGTGTGCAAGAATGGAATTTGGTTTTTTTTTTCCCCAGACAGACAACTAAAATCCAAGATGAACCATGAAAACCCTGGACAGGTGGCAACCCTAGCATCATCCCACTCTTAAAAGATAAATAGTTTAACAAAGAATAGAGGATTAAAGTATGTGTGCTGCATTTTTTCAAACCTGATCTCCTTCTATTAAATCCTGATTGGTTCCATCAAAAATGAAGACTGCACCGGTCAAGTTATACCTTGGAGCTCCAGATATGTACAGTGTTTTAGTGCCTAAGTGTGCAGATGTCACACTGTAACCTGTAATAAGCAAAGAGATTTCGAATTTGTTCAAAAGGACTATTGCCTTAATACATTCAACAGTCATACTATCCCAAGATCTTACCCAGATAAGAAAATCTTGGTTCCTCCTTTGTTGCATTTAAAAATGTCACAGTGTTCTCTTCCGTCCTTTTCAGAATGATCCCTCCACTCCAGTCATAGGCCCCCACTGCCCCAAAAAGCATAGAGCCCTACAGTTGAGGGAGAAATCCGTGTAGTGTTCAGATGTCTCTAAGAAGTAACATGAAAACTATGTGCATTTTAAAAAACCTGCCTGTTACTTCTTACTTAGAAACATCCAGAACTTACTTCGTGAGTTAAATGAGAGCTGAATCCGGCCTCTGCAAGTTCAAACTGAAATCCTACGCCCTTGTTAATGCCTGAGAAAAGAAGGAAGTGGTGATGGAAGTGGAAGTGGCATGTGCAGTTTACAAGTGTGAGTGACACCTGCCAAGGTGCCGCCATTTTAAATTTATTACCATTTTAATTTTTATTAGTATTACTTTCTGCAACCCCAAAAGGCTAAAATTTGAAATTGTGACTTACCTTCAAGGTTAATTATGCTTTTTTCTATATTAGAAAGAATGGTTTCCAGAGCAGCATAATTAGACACATTGAAGAATCTCTTTGCATCACCAGCTATCTGTATCATCTCTTTTATTGCTTTAGGACTGCCCAGAATTTCAGGTCCAACCTGTAAATAGAACAGCACTGTTTTAGTAATGTGTCTATGTTATATATATGTAATGCCAAAAACATCATTGCTTTATTGTGTCTCTCCTTAAAAATGGCAATTTGTAACAATTCACCACTGCGTAAAGATTTTCAAATTGGGATTTTATGCATAATTGTCTTGAATTAAAACAATGAATTCAGATGCAATTTTTGCATGCTTGTTTACTTGCTCCCATAGAGTTTTTAATGTCAGTAGGCTAGTATGTCTGTACTTTTACACAGTTCTTTATTACTAAAAGTAAAAATGTTGAAAATCTAGATACTATTTTAGTACTGAATTTGGCACTTCACATACTGCACATAGTTCATAGTTTGATGAACTCTTTGCTTAAGCCTGTGGTTTAAGTATATTAAGTGGAAATCAAAGCTACATGTCTAAGTACAAGCAACGGAGTTGTCATTAACAAATCGCTAAAATCTTACACTCATATAACTACAAAGTTAACTTTTTTGCACAAGCTTGATGAAACCTGGTCAGGAACTTTGTCTAAATTGAACTTGCTTTGTGAGGGCTTTGTGCAGGCCCCAGGACTACATCCCAATAGCTTTCTAAAGGAAGGAATGAAACTTCCTTGGTGTTCTACGTTCCTTATTTTTGTTTGCTTTGTAGCCAGAGGCCTCACTAAATATATTGGCAGAGTTGACTAGTATGTAGATCCACATGACTACCGGATCAGGCAAAATCAAGGAACACAGTTATGACAGGACATTTTATTATAAATATTGGGACGCAGCCCATGTTTAGACACTCAGGCTGTGATTAAACCTCATGCACATTCATATGAAAGCATGACATTTCTGATGAAACATTCATGTGAAAAATAAGGAGGAGTCACCAAGCAAGTAAAATAAAGTTATACTACCTAAACATGGAGAAAGTAAAGCATGACAGTAAAAAAGCTATGCTGTTGTTACTGCCACCAGGGTTAGATTAAACTAAACTTAAAGATCAGAACAAAGACAAGATATTTAATGTTTTATCTTGTCAAGATAAATGCCACAACTGCTCTCTGAAATGGACTAATGCACAGTAGAAACTCTCAGTTATGGAAATAATGAAAATTGTGCTTTCTGGGCCAAAGAAAAAAAATACCATCCAGATTGTTACTGGCATAAATTTGAATGACCAGGGTCTTTTGTGGTATGTGGGATATTGGTACCCATGGCATGGGTAGCTTGCACATCTGTAAAGGCTGCTGTATGCTTTTTTAGGGATGTCCCTTGTTTCAGCATGGGCACACCAAGCCACTTTCTGCACGGGTTACAACAACATGGTTGTGTAATCAGAGAGTGCAGGTGCTGGACTGGCTTGCCCCAAGCCTGGATCATCCAGTGGGTTTCATGGGCACATGCCCAGGTGCCTGAGCCACTCGGGGGTCCCCCGTGAGCAATTATGAGAAAATCTAAATAGCTGTTTTGACTCACGGTGGAAACAGCAGTAAAAATGAACTAACATCATGTCCTAACAACAAGCGATGCGAGCGGGAGCAACAACACCAAAACGCTAACATTATAGTCAGTGAGGATGTCTACATCAGCTGTGGGCAGCAGAGCAGTGACATGCAATGCACCGTTTTTGACAGATGCCCCGTTTCTGTTTTTTCTACAATTCCACCCCTTACACTGGATTAGAAGAAAATCTTCCATGAAGTGGAGAAGAGATTGATCTCTCTTCTTCTCTATTTTGAGAGAAACAGCGAGAGCGCTGGAAGTTAGAAGTGAATACCGCTTGTCAGCCCGCTATTTAAGTTAGCTAAATAGAAACAAGTTAGCATAACCAAGCTGCCCACCACAGCAGTAAAATGTTATTTAAAATGTAGGCTACTGATGTTAAATGTGGGGAAAATGTAGCATACAAATGCTTCCCCAAACTACAGCTGGCCAGCTCTGTCAGTAAAGCAGCTCTTATAAGAGAGGTCTGTGGTTTGCTTACATCTGTGGTTTGGCTTACAGTGTAGACATCCTGCAGGCCTTGCACCATGATGCTATACTACATTTGAATGCTCAGTTGCTGTTAGGGCATGGTATAATTTTGTGTTACATCCGATCTTAATCCTGATGCTCTCCAAGTCTTTCCTAAATGTCAGTTTATTTTTCTCCTCCAATCACTGCTTAGTAACTGTTACACTATTCTTCATTATCTCACTCAAGCTTTCAGGTTTTTAGCATTGAGCTAGCGTCCCTGTGAATGTAACTTGAATATAAAGCTCCAAATAATCAAAACTATGCCTGAGGAATCTGTAAAAGCCAGACCTGAAGCCTCAACAAGATATTAAGATGATTATATTCAGAGTATAAGATGCCCGTTTCCAAAGCTAAATATAAATATATATATAATATATCAACCACCTGAGTTGAAAAGTTGATTTGTCCTGGTTGGCAGTGATCTGTGTCATTAAAGGTAAGATATAAATGGAAAAAACAAACACATCCACCACGGCACCATACTTTAGCTAGACTGCTTGACTGTTTGAGTTTTTAAGTTCGCTGATTGCTTCTGTCTGATTGTAGTTCATCTCATCTTCACTGAGGTTAATGTTTTTATTGTCAAGAATGTTTGCATGCTTTATAGGGAAGTGTTGCATTGGTTGTTGGGTTCATTTTAACCTGCATTCTCATTAAGTAATCTTGCTACAGATTTCTCAGATTTTCTTGATTGGAAAAACAAATGCGCTCATTGTGGTGATGTGCCAACACTGTGGTTAGTATGCTGCCATGGTGGTGCTGCATAGTCACATTTAAACTGGTGTGATATCCTAAAAAAAAAATCACTGGCCACCCAAAAAAGGTTGCCAGGTAGGGGCCCACCAAACATTTGTGTCCAGGGGCCCTTAACTAGGTGATCTGGGCCTGGCTTGCCCTCAGTCCAGATCTGTGCCCCACTAAAAAGTGAAAAATACAAAAAAGAAGGACCCGTATGATGCTACAACTGAAGACTGTGCTAAACATGCTCTTGTCCCAACTTTTGGAATGTACTGCAGGCAACAAATTTGGAATGAGTGTATGAAAAACATTGGTTCATAAGATAAAACGAAATCTAGTGCTTTGTACTGTTTTGAATTTAAGGTAATTTACAAAATTTACAAATCACAAATCATTCATAAATACTCTTTAGTAGTCTAGTGGGAGCAGTACCCTGCCTATATATGTAATGAAATTCAGTAAAACAAAATTCAGTACTTACTCCTATAGCAAAGCGAAGAACTCCTTCCATCTCTTTCATTTTCAAGACCCCTGTTAGGTTTTTCTGGTCTTTTGACATTTCTCCATCAGATAATACAATGATCATTTTGCTGGCTTCCTTTTTTGATCCTTTTTCAGGAACAAAAACTTCTGTGCTGTAAAGTAGTGGCACAGTAGCTAGTAAGGACTTTGTGGTAAGATGATGTAGTAAACACTGATAGATGCTGACGGGGCTGTTTGTATATTTTTGGTGAACTCTTAATTTCAAAGTTTGGTTCACTGTACTTACAGAACGTGGTAGAGGGCTGAGGCTGTCTTGGTTCGGTTGCCAATCTGTGTTATGCTCTTCACCTTATCCAAAGCTTTGGCAACATCATCATTTTCTTGCAGTGAGAGTTCGGTTCTGATATCACTTCCAAACTGCACTACTGCAAAGTTACACTGAGGAAAAAATACATGCATTCATTTGAGAAAACCCAGCAGTGAAAATGACGCCGTGCATGAAATGTGTTACTGTACTTAGGTATGTTTTTCAATATCAGTTTTTTATAAAAGCTATTAAAGTATATGTACTTTATTTTTAGTTTCTCTCAACTACATTTCAAAATACAGTATTTTACTTTTCATTACGCTACTTTGGGCAGCAGGTGCCAACACTCACAGCTCTGAAAAAACTCAATTGTCTAAATATCTGAAAGAGATAGATCTACTTTCTAATTGAAGCAAACCCATCATAGCACAGTGCCCCTTTTAAATTGCTCAGTGGTTTGAGCCTATATAAGAAGCAGTTACAGCTGTACAGCTACAACTTTAAAAGTCAGAAAGATGAAAGATGTTAGAGGAGTCTTATACAGTGCTGTTGGCTGTGGGGGCGGGGCAGTGTACCACTGCTATGTTTGTTCTTTTTCCGTTGTGCTGTATGGGACTTGTGTAGCTGGGAAAGCTCTGTGTAGTGAACAGGACTTTTGGCCTTGCAAGAGTAACAGAAGCTCTACTGAGTTACTCTGAAAAATTTAAAATGTATCTCGTTCCAAAATTTGCCATTTTCAATAAACAGGAAGATTTTCCTCTATTTTTTTAAAACTGTTTCCATGTCTGTAGCCACGCAGGTCTTAATAAATAACATCATAATATCATAAATTGTTCATCAAACTCAAATAACATTATACAGTTACATGCAAAGGTTCAAACACCCCTGGTCTAATTACATGCTTTGTTAATTTTCTACAACCCCATTTCCAAAAAAGTTGGGACGCTGTGCAAAATGTAAATAAAAACAAATGGCAATGATGTGCAAATCATTTAAACCCTATATTTAATTGAAAATAGTACAAAGACAACATATATATGCCCATTTTGAATTTGATGCCAGCAACACGTTCCAAAAAAGTTGGGACGGGGTCAACAAAAGGCTGGTAAAGTTGTGTAATGCTGTAATAAATACACCTGGCAGTTAATTGGCAACAGGTCAATAACATGATTGGGTATAAAATGAGCATCCCAGAGAAGCTGAGTCTTGCAGAAGTAAAGATCAGGACGGGCTCACCACTCTGTGAAAGACTGCATGGGCAAATAGTGCAACAATTCAAGATGAATGTTTCTCAACATAAAATAGCAAAGAACTTTTGCTTTTCATCATCTACAGTACATAATAACATTAAAAGATTCAGAGAATCTGGAGAAATCTCTGTATGCAAGGGACAAGGCCAAAAACCAGTACTCGCTGGTCATGATCTTTGGGCCTTCAGGTGGCACTGCATTAAAAACAGACATGATTCTATAGTTGAAATCACTGTATGGGCTCAGGAACACTTCTGAACAACACTGTGTGAAAACAGTTCATCACTGCATCCACAAATGCTAATTAAAACTCTTAAATGCAAAGATGAAATCATATATAAACAGCAACCAGAAACGTTGCCACCTTCTCTGGGCCCAAGCTCATTTAAAATGGACTGAGGGGAACAACAAATCAAATTTTGTACATTTTTTGGGAAATCATGGACACTGTGTCCTCCAGGCTAAAGACCACTTGTTATCAGTGCACAGTTCAAAAGCCAGTATTCATGATGGTATAGGGGTGCATTAGTGCACATGGCATGGGTGACATGCACATCTGTGAAGGCACCATTAATGCCGAATGATATATACATGTTTTGGCAACATATGCTGCCATATGGATGACGTCTTTTTCAGTGAAGGACTTGCTTATTTCAGCAAGACAATGCCAAACCATATTCTGCATGTATTATAGCAGCATGGCTCTGTATTAAAAGAGTCTGGGTGCTAAACTGACCTGCCTGCAGTCCAGACCTGTCACCACTGAAAACATTTGGCACATTATAAAATGAAAAATATGACAAAGGAGTCTGAACTGTTGAGCAGCTGATCCTATATCAAAGAAGAATGGGAAAGCATTTCACTTTCAAAACTACAGCAGTGTCTCCTCAGTTCCCAAACATTATAGAGTGTTGTTAAAAGAAGAGGTGATGAAACACAGTGGTAAACATGCCCCCGTCCCAACTTTTTTGGAACGTGAAAATGGGCAAATATTTTTCAAAAAGCAATAAAATTTCTCAGTTTTAACATTTGATTTGTTGTCTTCATACTATTTTCAACATAGAATATTGAAAATTATAGGGTTGAAATGATTTGCACAACATTAAGTTTTGTTTTTTCTTTACATTTTGCACAGCGTCCTAACTTTTTTGGAAATGGGGTTGTAAGTGAAAATAAGTTAACTCATCCTTGACAGGGAACAAACTCAAATATGGCATTTTCCTGCAAATTTTATTGTACAGATTCAATTTAGTGTAATGTATTGAAAAATAAATAACTAAAATATAAAATGTGCCATAACTTTTACACAGGCCACAATTTTATTTTTTGATATGTTAAATTCAGCGAATAAACAGTAATTGTACATTAAAATGAGCTGTACAATAAAAATCAACAAGCATTAATTTGACCAGCGTGATTTGTACTTCAACTTACTATAAATAGAAGAAACATAAAAAGAGGAATTTTACTTTTACTCTAATATTACCTTATTTGAGTTATATTATTGGCTTTTATAATAAAAAGTGTATTTCTATTTTCACTCACATACAGGATTTGATCACACTGTCCACCACTTTAAACTATATATTGTTCAAACTAAGGCTAAACTAATTTGCTGAGACTAAAAGTGAAAAATCTACTTACTGTAAAACATGATGTCCAGACATTTTTCATCACATTAGACATAAATTCTTTGGCCCGTGTAAAATCTTCACGCTCAATGCTGCCAGAGCCGTCCAGCACGAAAGCAATCTCTGTCCCAGGATCTTCAGACAGACGCAACAGTCTTAATGCTTTTGTTTTTTTTCCCAAAAGTTTTTTTTTTCTATACTGAAATATTGTCTAATCTTATAGAGCCCAAATTCCTCTTTTTGAAATAAAGCAGTTTGAAATAACACGGAACATTGTTAAAGTGTCAAAATGTACAGTTTCAAAAAATCAGGAACAGTTTGCTTGAATTCATTGTTCCTGTGATGCCACAACAACAATCTCATTTACATATGTCCACCTACAGCACTTTAGCCCCACCCATTTACACTGAAGTTATAAGGAGTGTTTTTGCTCTAAGTCTTTTTCAAATGAGGCACAATACAGGGTAGCCAATCAGAACACAGCCCATTTATCTTATATCAGTCTTGAAGGCTCAGTAACAAAAACAGCCTGTTTAGGTTAAAAGGATAAAGAGGGGTTGGAAAATGTTATGTTAATTTTTTTTTGTACATAAAACCACACAGATGTTGTAAGTGGACCTTAAGGAGAAAAACTAAAATACAATGAAAATGTAGGGTATGGGCCCTGTAAGGCAAAAGTCTTCTAAGGCAGTGACATTCACCATGCACATTAGTCATGACCTATTTTCACAGAACGGATGAGAAAAATGAAAAATACCTTCATCGTCTTCGCCCTCATCCACATCACCGCCATTTTGCTCAGCCTGTCTTCTCTTTCTCAAGGAAGCTAATTACAAAAGCCGTATGTTTTCAGAGTTAGACAAAAAGTGTGATAAAGAAAAGACAAAATAGGACGTACAGTGGATGCTTCTGGTTGTTTCTTTTACTTCCTCAAATGCGTTTACCTTTACTGGGATCATTTGCAGCAGTTCGCTTGAGTTGCTCTGAAACTGAAGAGGTAAAAGCACAATGAGTGGGAATCAAGGGCAGTTTCTAGAAAACACAATTCTTAATCATGATTTGGTGCAGAATTCCAATACCTAAGTCGGCAGGATTGATTTTATCCTCCTTCTTTTGATTTTTATGTGCACAAAGTCCATTGAAATTCTCAGGTGAGGCCCTCTTTTTGGTCCGAACTTGATTACAGACCTTGAAAGTTGAGAAAACAGTAATTATTTTATTTGAAGTAAAATATGTTCATGCAGTTGATGCAAAATCGTCTTTGGTATAGCTTGAAATAAATGGCTCGGTTGTGTTTAAGGCCGTGACCTGCTTCAGTAATGCTGTGCAGCTCAACTGCTGATTGCTTTGTCCCATTTTTGACACCTGGCCAAAATTGCAAAAGTAGGTCCCAGAGGATGTTTTCAGTGAGTGAGTAAGATCAAAATCACTTTACATAACTCTACTGAGGGTCTGGTGACCAGCAAACCTCACCCTAAACATTAAGTGGCTGTGATGGACGCTCACTTTTTTTCATTACTGCTAATTTTGTAATAAACAGGTCTGCTGCTGCACATGAGAGAACCCACATATTCTGTCTGACTTCACATTCAATGTTTGTCTGAGAAAACGACTCATTATCTAAAAGAGAAGTCAGCCAGACTGACGCCTTTGGCAGAGGAAACTGTGGTTTTCCTCAGAACACTAACTGTCATGAGAATCAGACGGCGTACTGCCCGCATGATATATATTCGATATGTCTGATTTACAGCATGAGCACAATTCACTTTGATAAAAAAAACTGTACTGATAATGGAATAGACAACCAATTAGTTAGTCAATTAATTAATCAGTCATTTAAAGTCCTTAAACACAAACTCCACCATACATTTTTTAAACAAATGTGTAACTTATTAAAGACATGAATTTGGTACCAGGAGTTGCTCCTCCTTTTCACTCAGGCTGGATGATATAGATGTTATTGGTCTCTGGGTTACTTTCTTCCCCTTAACTGAAAGTTCTTTATTAAGATAAAGATAATATATGTACATTATTTTTTTTTATTACAATGTGGAAATATTTTAATGGTTCAGTATTAAAATTTGTTCATAATTTCTTCTATTATTGAAAGTATAATCCTCGTAACAATACAATTTTACTAGCCTATGCATAAATAAATATGCATAAATCTCTCTGGTCTATTTTTTACACGGATACAAATCAATCAATAAATGTAATCAAACCTACCAGTAGGGTTAACATTCACTGGGGAACAGTCTTTTTCCAGTGTACAATTAAAAACCTCTCCATTTGTAGGAGAAGGAACAAAAACTCTGTAAAAAAACATTTCTCAGTTATGGTTTTTGGGCTTTGAATTTTTTCATCGCTTACAAAACATTAAATGCTTCACTTACAAGTTACATTATTATGAACTCAGTTCAGTATGTCAATGTCCAAAGAAAAATGTGTGTCTCCGAAATAGTAAATACAAAATTGTAATTTAGAGAGGCTTTACTCCAAGCGATTTTGAAGCACATCTATTGGTCTATTCCTTGTGAAATTTCCACATGATGTAAATTTCAGCCACCTTGTTGAAGGTTTACAAAAATTATGTAGAAAAATAACCTCTCCCTCCCAAAAAAAAAAAATTTAAAAAGAGGTACATTTTGTTCTGGACAGTGACAAACATATGTATGAAGAAATTGAAATGTCTAAATTTTAACCATTTCACTGTTTATTATTTGTTAAATAAACTTTAAAAAAGACTTGGAAACAACTAACCCAATTTTTGACTTAATGATGGTTTGTCCAAACAGTTTGTCATTGTTTGTAAAATTCTTCACTGGCGTCGTCAATATGTTAAAACCTGCCGTGGTGTATATCCCTACAATTCAGAGAATATAGAAGGATGCAAGCACACCAGTTAAGGAGTTACAAAGAATTAAGCCCACTGTGCTGAAAAGCAAATGAATACGATGAAATTATTCAAGGTTTTTTTAGTTTTATCAAGTTTCTGCCTTTCTACATTTTTATCTTTTTATACATTTATATGTAAAAATGTCAAATTCTTTCAGACGTACCTGTTATTAGTAACACTACTGCAAACATCTTGATGTGATAACCCATCTGAGACGTCAGCTGTGAGAACAGGAGACTGAAAATCAACTTCTCATTGTGGTCTTGAGCAACGACTGACATGTGCCACAAGCGCTTGTCAAGCATTTGACACACTTGAAAGCTTGCTTCCGGATCTGCCTGCTCTTTGAAGGTAACTTTGGAAACCGTCAAAACTTTGGAGTAAGGAAGTAAGTTTTTCTCTGAACAGATGCAGATGTTGTTGTGACTTTCCACAAAGCGATGAGGCAGAAGACACTGACACAAATTTATCCAATAATGTATTTCATTACAACACATAAAAAAGTAACTTATTCACTAACATGTTCCTTTAGAACACATTTAGAACACATTGATAAGACTCTATGGTTCACATTCCATCCATTTATTGTTTGGAGGGGTCACTGATTGGTGACATGGGAGCCCACCGATAGGTGGTGCTGTTAGAAAGAGAGGAAAAACCTCACAACATCAGAGAGCCATCATGTCAAAATATTCTGACTCAAGGCTTAGGCAGACAGAAACTGAACCCCTTTTCACTCCATTGACTTGAAAAGGCATGCACAGTCTTGTTGAGATGCATCCAACTGCCTTAGAAGTTCCCTGCAAAGTGGACTGCACAGGGCATTCAGGCATTTTAAAAGTAATTACAAACTATAGGGAGTGAAAAAGTTCCTTTGGATAGGAACTTTAAACTGCACAGGGAGTAGTGAACAATGGTTAATGACCATGACCATGGTTAATATGTTAGGACCATGAATTTTATTAACCAGTTCTGATTTCTGATTTTATTAGCCTTTTTTAATTTGAAGCTCACACTGTAAATGAACACATGACACACAATAGAACATTCCCAGTACTTTCTATTAGCCAAAGTCACAATATAAATATTGTTGTTTAATGTGCCAAATTGGCATTATAAATTTGCAAACTATAAAATCAGTTGCATTTTTAAATAACGTGAATCAAAAAATGTGCTGTATCGAAATTAAGAGGCGATTGAAGATTTAGCACATCGAGTATTTAATAATAATGTAATAACAGAAATCTTTTCGTTTATAGAGCACTTTTCCTACTGGTGGCAGTTCATAGAGCTTTACAGACAAGTGATAAAGCTTAACAGTAATAGAAGAAATAATGAGTGTTAATTTAAAGTGACACAGATCAAATGAATGAGGCCTCTCCGTGTTTTCTGTATTTTATGGATGGTATTTGCAGAAGGCCAGTATCTGCAGATCTAAGATCATGCACTGGAACATAAACAGCCAGACATTCTGTGGGATAAAATCTATCCTATAAAAGGTACAGATAGCCAATGCAGTTCTTTCAAAATGGGAGGGCTCTCGTTTTTATGATTCGTGCTGCTGCGTTTTGTATGAGTTGTATAAGATATATTGTTTTCCCTCTACACTAGAGCTCTACACTATTCAACTTGACTCGTAACGAATGCATGAAGAAGTGACTTTATATGTGGATTAAATCAGAGCTTAGAGTCCAAGATTACACCCAGGTTTTTTACTTCAGGTGTGGAAATGAAGCCAAGAACCAAACTTCTCAAAAGGCACTTTTATTCCTGAATTTTAGTATTAAGGATCAGTGTGTCATTTTTTTGTGACTTAGTTGTAGACTGAGAAATATCTGACACACTGCGGTTAAGCCTGTCAATGGAGTAAATGTATAATTGTGTGTCATCAGCATAGCTGTGAAAATTGACATTATGTTTCTTTGTGATATCAGAAAGAGGTAACATGTACATAGAGAAAAAGGCCCTAAAACTGAACCTTGTTAGACACCACAAGAAACGTTCATTTTTTTCATGAATGATTTCCCAGTGAAACCAAGAACTGTCATTAAATGTGATTTAAACCATTTAAAGCAGTACCTGTCACGGAGCACACGAGGAAGAGCTTTTTTTGTTTATAACAGTAGTAAGCTCAACATTATTATCTATCTGTCCATATCTATTTTAAGAACTGAGAACAACCAAAAATAAAACTGGGTTATACTCCACAAAACAGGAGACAACCTAGTTAATTTAGCTAATATAGACTCTGCTAATGTTTCTTCTAATCATTTACATTAAAACATCTCATCATAGCCTGTTCCCTTAAACTGAGCTCAGAAAGACAGCTAGTTAATAAATAAAAGTAAACACAAAAAAGATTATTCATTAAATACTAGTCAAACCCAATTAGCTTTATACGCTCCTGTTAATGCACAGCCACGTGGGTGCACCGACCATAATTCTCAGCTTGTATCAAATATGACAATGATTTCTTCACACAGCCAAGCTGTGATTTCCTGTCAAATACATTGTGACGTATTACACAAACTGAAACACCTCCTTGAGACGTTACCCATTTGGGCTGAATTTTTAGGCACACTATGCTTCACTGTGCCTTCCCACAGTCTGCAGTCAGAACTTTTTGGGGTGGGTAGGTCAGTTCTAAAATCTGCTATAGATATATTTATTTGACCAAAAACCTCAGCTGTGCTGTTGTGTAATAATCCTCCAGACAGAGTAAAGCTGTTACACTTTGGTCCTTGGGAAGTTGTAATGTCTGTAATTTAATCCTTGGTTTTTGTTTTATGTAAATAAAAGTTGAAATTATTCTTTTCCATTCACTAAATTGCTTAAACTACATGCAATGACTGAAAAAGCAGCCTAGGTAATATATTTATCTTTAGATTGTCTTTATGATTGTATATTTGCGCATGATTTAAGTCTGGTTATGGTATTGTAGTTGTGCTCATAGGTGGCAGATAAAACCCTGTGTATTTGTACTCCTATTTAATTGTGTTACCTTTCCATTTAAATTTACACATTCTGTAAATGTTTTCCTGAAGATTACAGTTGAAGGTAAGAGTTTGAGTTTTGTGTAAGTATAGTTTCTAGCTGGAGTGTTAACCAAAGTTCTTAAGCAGAGATAATAATTTAGGCAAATTGCATTAGGCTTGGTAAGGGTCCTAAGAATGTCATCCACATAAAAGCATATATTATATTAAAGCAATAACCCACAAGAGGCCATGGGTTACTGCAATTTTATCACGGGGTAGAGTGTTCTTTAGCACAACGTGAAGCAGAGTGCCTAAAACTCCCTTCCCCATGAAAAAATCGCAGTAACGCAGTAACTGCCTGGCTTATTGCTTTTATACAATGGTGGCCAACACAAAATATATTAAAATACATAATGTTTTATATAATTATATAAGTTATTATTAATAATAATCAACATAAACAAGTATTCCCACAAGAAATGTAGTTCCTTTAGAGTACGGTATCATTGCTAAGCAACCATTGACTGCTGAATGAGGAGAAGAACGTTTGGTCACCAATCACTGTAAACTGCAGACATTTCATGATTTTTTAAACAACTTTTTTCATATAACAGTGAACATATGTAACATAGCACTGTTTAATGCAAATACTTTCAGTTTATAAGTACTTTTTGGTCACCAAATTACCACCGCGAGTCTGATGACGCCACTTTTCTCACGCTGGGGCTGAATCTCAAACAGCTCCCAGCTCCCTACATAGCACACTACATAGAAACCCAACAATGCATAATATAGCTAAAAAAATGGTCATTTGGGATTCATCCACATTCATACTCAACAAGCAGTGCACTATTTGACAGCAGAAGCTAGAATTTCTAAACTTAATGTTAGACAGTACACTATTTAGCTAGGGAACACAGAGCCGTTTGGGATGTTTCTGAATGAAACGTGGACATTTGAAGCGTGTAATCCATTCAGGTAACATTCTTCAGACTTTATATTGTATTGCCTTTTTTCAGTGATTCATATCATGAGTACTTTACTTCAAGCCTGTGATATTAATGTTGGAGTTGTTTAGCATGTTTGCTATCTTTTAGTTTGTTGGCTAGCTGACCAACCTTTTACAACGGCTTCGAACATGACTCAGCCAATCAGATTTTAGGTCCGGAACTATCCGTTTTATAATCTGTTTTTATTTCATAGGCCTGTTATATCCTTATCTTCTCTAATTGCCTGTACCAGCAGCTCAATAAAAAGAGTGAAAAGTGTGGGGCTAAGGGGGCACGCTTGTCGACATCCCCTTCCAAGAAATACTGTTTTGGATAAATAACCATTCATTTTAATTCTGGCTGTAGGAGAGCGATATAGAGAATTCAGATATGCAACGACCTGGTTAGAACGTGGGCTCTTGTCTGTTTGCATGCTTTTGATAGCGTCTTCAGCTTCCTCTACTGATAGCACATTCTTAAGGCAAGGCTTTTCAGACTCATTTTACTGAGGAAGAATTAAACCTTCAAAAAAGGAGTCAATTGTCCTTGGGTTGCTTTCATATTATGAAGTATACAATTTCATGTAATAATCATGAACCACATTATTAATCTGAATAGGATCAGAGACTACAGAGCCAAGAGAAGTTTTAATCTGTCTTATTAGCCATGAAGTTAAAGATTTGCCGTGCCTGATGCGCCATGAGCTTACCAGATTTATCACCATACTGTCTGCCCTTGCTGTAGAGGCCAATTCAGATTTTGTATGGAGACTAATTCTAGTTGTTGAATATTTAAATCTCCATGGATCATGCAAGCCTGACTGTATGCTGAAATTCCTTAGGACAGATACCATTTTTGATGTTTAAGCAGGTCTACAAGATGAGCAGTCCAAATTAGGACTCAATATGCTGTTATAATCGTTCCCTTTTAGAGAGAATGGCTGAATACATTTGGTAATGAAGAGAAGAAAGAGTTAATGAATGCTTCATCATCCCGCTTTGGAGCATAAATGCATGGCACAGTCATAGATTTGTTAAACAGTTAGTATAATATATCTACCATTTAGGTCAGCAATAGTTTTCCTGGTTTCAAAAAGAATGTCCTATATTAAATGTCTTTATTAAATATCGCTGTGCCCCTGGTTTTGGAGTTAAATCTGGAATGAAACAGTTCCCAGCCATTATTAATTCTATTAATATCCTTAATACAAAGGTGTGTTTCCTGTAGAAGTGCTATGCCAACATTAAGTTGCAAAAGATGAGTTTTGCTTCCATTTGCGAATGCTATGTGCCCCGCTAATATTTCATGAAATCAAAATGACCTTTCTACTCATCAACAAAAGCCAGTGGTGCTATATAGAATTAATTCTAGAGAAGCTGTATCTATCTGCATAGTTAACAAATTGAGTGTAGGAACTATATCTACAAATACAGAAACCAGTGTAGAAAACAGAACAGAGAACTAAAAACAGTGATGTGGCTCACCCCCCTCCCACACCCTCTCACCCAAACTAAGTTTAACAGAATTAAATGGTTCAACAAAATTTGAAGGCCGTATTGACTTTTTCATCACAAACATAACAAAGAATAGTTTAAAAACAGTTGTATTTTTGTGTCCATGTATGTCCAGCCATGGCACATTATGCTGTCTGTTAGGGATAAATAAACCCTCAAATACAAAATCAGGGAAAGGTCATTGTTTAGCTGCTTCAGCCACAGTTGAGCTTCTGTCTTTGGTATACTTAACTAGATCTGCAGCACTGGTCTGCCTCAGGGTGGCGTTTTAGCAGATTGGTTCACCCAGTTTGTTTTTCATAGCCTAGCAACTGTAACTATGCCCGTGATACCTATTTGTCAATCTTAAACTTGCCCAATTTCTCAAGAGACTGGTGGAAAGAATGAATTGTTTCTCATTTTTTAAACCAAAAACAGAATAGGAGATGTGTAAGATCTCAATTAATGTGTGGAAGACTGTATTACCATGCTAGACAAGAGCATTTCCCAAAAAAAAAAAAAATGAAACCAAACATTTTGTTGCAAGCTGAAGCTAGCATCGCTATGGTGAGTGAGTTAACAGTCAACCAGTGCTGGAGTATTCATGGGACCCCTCCAAATACCAGGGGGTATTTTGCACACTGACAGCAGGTATGACAAAATTGCCACATACTGCAACCTGTCAATGCTTACTCCTCCATTGACAGCATGACCTTTAGTTTGGTGTTTTTGGGGGGATGTTGGGGGATTGTTGGGTCATTGTTTTGGAATGGGATGTCCAACAATTACATGTAGGTGTGATGCTCAGGTGTCTACATACTTTTTCGCACTATGTTAACGGGTGCTTTAGCAGCAGTACAAGGGTACTTGAAGCGTATAATAGATATTTAAAGCTTGTTTAAAAATGCTTGCAACAAACATTCAGGTAAGACATTTTATAATATATATTTTGCTGTTGGATGGAGTCTTCAGTAAAGATTTCAACTGAAATGCTCATGTTCTGCTTATGTATTCGTTGGTAAAAAGTACAGTAGAGCTCTTTATCCAAGGTCAGTTGTTGACCGATGAGCTGCTCTTGGCTGGAAATTTTTTGGGGGTGCAATATTCTCACCCCTGCAGTTACGCTGACGTATGTAAAACCCCCCGCAACACCTCCATGTTGACACATTCATACCAACACCAGACACACTACCATGCGCCTATCATGTCATTGTCACTGCTGTGCTGGAAATGGTCCCATTACCCAAATAATATCTGGCCAGTAGTGTCCTGCAAATGAATAGGGCAGAGAGTGACTGACAGTTTACACATGATATCAGATGGATTACATTCTGTAATAGTACATCTATATAGTGAACTTTAAAGGGGAATTTCACCAATTTTTGTGAAGTTTCTCCATAATTAAGTCCTTAAGATGTAACCAAAGTCACTGAGAGTGGTTTGATGTAAAATGCTTTGTTCTAGAGAAACTTGCTGAGTTTTGAGATTAGATTTTAAATCCATTCATGGTGGAGAGGCACATGCAGGGGGTTATAAAGCAAAATAGTCCCCAAAAGAAGCTTGTTTTTTTCAGATTTACTACTATTTAACAAAGAACATTACATATAAAAACTCAGAAGACACACATAGGTTTGCTGGTGTTATTGGAAAGTAAATAAAATGGCTATATCAGTGATAGTGGAAACAGCATGACCTCTGGTTCCTATCACTACCAATGTAAAAAAATCTTCTACAATGAACCATTTCACATCAGACCACTCTGAATGACTTTTTTTGTATCTCATTTTTTTTTACATCTTTACAAAATTGGTGGATTTAATCTTTAAAATTAGAATCTTTAAGACCTTATGAGTGGAAGGTCATGTTTCTACTTTACATGTAGGCAGTGGATCTGCTTCAACAAAGAACAACAATATGTATCATGTAATCTCCATAGCAATTGTAGAGGTAGTAAGCAGAAAACAGATAGCACTAAGAGGAAACCCTGTGGTTTGAAGTGTTCAGAAAAGATCACATGATTCTTGTGGGCTGCATGCAACTCTGTGTTGCAAAGCTGAACTGAAAATATGCTGTGTTTCATCAAGCCTGACTTTGACTTTTGGGTGAAAATGTCCTTGTTTGACAGAGGCAGTTGACACTCTTTTGAGCCGTTGTAAGCTTTTAAATAAATAAATAAATAGAAAGGTTTGAACGCTGCTGGTCAAAGAGTGAAAATAAGTTAAAACGTCTTCAGCAAATAAATAGAAACTGTGCTCTAAAATAAAAAAGTGCCAGATTTATTTGTTTTCTCTGTAGAGGATGTGTTAACATATTATCACTTTGAAAATATACAGAAAAACTATGTAATTTGACTGGGGGTATTCAAACTTTTGCATATGTAAGATTCTAGTATTTATTAGTATGTACTATTTACACATCATACAGAAATTTGCACTGCACTATAGTATTAAGTAGTGATGGCTAAAAACTGAATACACTGTACTGAATGTTTTCGGTAACATATTCTGTTACCAAACATAACAATGTAACATATTCAGAATGCAATTAAAATACATTTACAATTCATTTTGAACACATAGGAAAGAACTCATTTTAATGGTTCTACACTGTTACTGGTGGGCAAATTTTTTCATGTAATTTTCTGTTAATATTTTTTATTTAAAATTACTTAGAATTTGAAATTCTCAACTGTTTTTGTTTTTGCTCTTATCGCCTGCTTTAGTCCACCACAACTCCCACAATCCCCCTGAGTGGAACCACCGTCTGTCCAGGGGCCCTCTGAGAGGACTGTTCACTTCAACCATTCCTCAAAAGAGCTTAAAGATTAATAATTGATCATCAGTTGACTTGCCAGTCTACTCAGGCTTTAGTAGAGCTCAGTAAAACTGAGATTAATAACTGATCATCACATTGATTTATCAGTCTACTTAGGCTTTAGCAGAGCTCAGTAACAATGGGCCTCATTCACCAATATCTTCCAGTTTTTTTCTTAAATTTGTAAGAAAAATTTTAGAAAAAGTCTATGTCAGGTTCATCATATGTTCTTAAACCGCAGAATTGTTCGGATCTTCAGTGTTTGTAAACAATCTGTTGATTGAGCTCTGTTTCGGGGGCAGTCGTGAGCTGGAGGTTAGGGTACCAGCCTTGTGGCCGGAAGTTGGCAGGTTCAATCCCCTGAGCTGACAGTACATGACTGAAGTGCCCTTGAGCAAGCCACCGAACCCTCAACTGCTTTCTGGGTGCTGTGGATAGGGCTGCCTTCTGCTCTGGGCAAGTGGGCACTGCCCCTTAGTGTGTGTGTGTGTGCTCAGTAGTGTGTATGTGGTGTTTCACTGCACGGATGGGTCGAATGCGGAAGTGAAATTTCCCCATTGTGGGACTAATAAGGGTCACTTAATTAAAATTAATTCATTAATTATTTCAGAGTGCGTCATGCACTGATTTTAAAATAGCAAATAAAAAGCGTTGATGGAGTTTCTTTTAAAGGTTGTATATATTTTTTATGTTGTCTGTGAATATTCTAAAAGTAATTCTTAAAAACGTAAAAAGTGATATTCTGAATACTGCTGTTACAAATTGTAACATGGACTGAATGCAGAGACTCAATTTCTGTTTTCTGAATACGTATTCCCAATACTTATATTCTGTAAAATCCCAAACCTGATTGTCAGAAAAGGCATAAATGACATTTATTATAATAATCCAAATAAAAAAGTGAGCTTTTATTAAAAATGTTTTTTCTGTACGCTATTCTGGTGATTCTGGTAATGCAAGTGATGGTGCCTTGTGCACCTAGCTTTCATCTTCTGACAGGATGTGGTGAAAAGGTTTTGGAGGACACAAATACAGCCTCAGTGCAAGCTAAACTCAACCTGTCATCAGTAGCGAACCTACTAAACGTTTCTTTTGTGTCTGTGTTTATTTTCAACAGTGAGCGATGCTGATGTTACTGAATTAACAGCACAGCATTTTCGGCCCGTCACAAGCGCTGTGTCAGTAGTGTGTGATAAACAAAATTCAATCAAATCACTCTGGTGAAAGTGCTAATGCAATAGATGTCCACTCATTGGCTGTGGAAGTAGGTGTCTGTTTGCAGGAAATGACAAAGGACATCCACCTACAACGTATCTGTTTCTGTGCTGCCTTCAAATCTTGGTTGTAACGTGGTGTTAGTTACTGGTATGACATGCATGAGAAGTGCTTTATTCGGCTTTTGACATTTTTTGGTGTGCTCTCATCAACAAATGGTAAGTTCTGAACACTCTGCTTTAACAAATTATGTTTACACCTTCATGACTCCTACTGTAAATTGGTTTTGATGACTTTTCCATCGTGTGGGTATAAAGAGATATTGTGTGATTGGTTTCACACCACAAAGCATAAAGAGTACTAAGAGTAAAGGTTTGAGTGACTGCCTTTAGTATAAAACCTGAGCTGTAACATCCTGATGGTTCTTGTCTTTGCTGAGGACTAAAATGCGGAGAAACATGTAACAGCACCACTGTCAGCGTTACTCTGGGCTCAAGCGCGTCGCTCCCATGCCTCCTTCAGAAAACGAACCAAACAGACGAAGCAACATGGAGCCAGAATTCCAGCCTCCTGAGCATCAGGCCTGAGGGAAACGTCACCTTTGAGGATCCCAGAGGTGGCAGAGTGGTAGTGTTCCCCTACCTGTTTAACAGAGGAAACTTCTCCATCCTCATTCATAAGCTGCAGGCCTCTGACGTGGGCACGTACTGCTGCAGACTAAGCCAGGAGTGCCACAGAGTACAGCTTTCGCAGAGAGATGTACAGGGGGGAGGTAAGGCCACAGGTGGGCATCACAGCTGGGTAGTAGTACTCAAAGACAATTTTCAAAACTTCAAAATATATCACTTGTCTTAATGGTTACTAATTCGCTCTTTGTGTAAGAGAATTAGTGAACATTATAAATGATTACAACTATGTGATAAACATCAAGAACACCACATAGCTAAAGAGTAGGTTTTAAAAAGTAGTTTTTTTTCATCCTGAATAATTAAGAGTATGATCAGTTGCAAGTTGTTAGAAAATGACAAATTTGTCTGAATTTTAATTTATGGATCATTCACATCAGAGTTCAAAATACATCTGAAACTTAAAACTAAACTGGACTTTATACTAAAATCTTCCTGCTCTGAGTGACTCAATACCTTTATTAGGTTTATTTTATTAAAACAAATGACTGAACATTCCATTTTGTCATTATGAAAACAATCATAACTCTACTGGAACTTTACCAAATGTTTCAGTAGTGACTGTTTCGGTAGTGAACATTTTAGCTAATTGTGAGCATAACTCAAAAACACAGCTTTGAACACACATAAAATCACAATATTTTACATTAAAACAAAAAAGTTTACTTAATTACAGAAAGTATGTGTGTTTGATAGTGACAGCTCATACATGTTGAATTTGAGACTCTGGGACAAATTTACTCAAAACATTATCTAACTGCTCACTATGTGGTCATGAGGGACAGGGATGCAGTCTCACCTCCTGCTCTAAAAAGCAATGGTGTGTCTAAAATAAGGCTCCGTCTATGGACTAAAACTCTCAGTGTTTCGTTAGTGACATGAAAATGTGGGGCATCATTTTTTGAGTAAAGTTTTTTATTTAATTAAAAATGAAACTCATGATGAATCTAAATCTTTCAATTTCACTTTAAAGGAAATCAAAAGATCTTAAAAAGATTGAAAAAAATCTGTGATTATTTCATTATGTTTATTATATTTATTTCTTTTAAATCATTTCATAAAAAAATCCTCTGTCTGTCTTTATGTGGCAGGGTGGACATGTAATACTCGATGGAGGATAGAGAAATCAATTTTAAATAGCAGCTAAATTTACCAGAATTTGAAGTTCCTCTAAAGGTTTAAATGATATCGATTCTTCATCATGTCACTTAATATGACACTATATTATTTTTATGATTTGATCAATATTTTAATTTATATATATATATATATATGTATATATATATATATTATATATATATATATATATATATATAAAAGCAGGGTATTCAGACCTTATTTGCTGTGTTCTATTTAAACCCAAGGCATTTATAGTCATAAGCTAAATATGTCCAAAATCATCATTTATAGGATACTTTCTATTAGGAGGTCTCTGTCCCAACCCCTACCCTCAGTATGTACACTTGTGAAAATAAAGCTTTAATTTTATTGCCATTTTTTCATTTTTTGAGACATTTTTCTTTTAACGTAAAGTTAAAAGGTTTAGATTTACACTGCTAGTCTTCTAGTCTGCGTTTACTAGTTTGCATAGTACTGGCTAGCTTTTTTGAGTTCTGCTCAAAATGAGCTAAAATAGTCACTGCTGAAGCAGTCTCTACTGAAACATCTGGTAAAGTTTTGGTGGCGCTGTGTTTGTTTTGGTAGCGCCACAGTAGAATGCTCGATCATTTATTACAATAAAATAACATAATTAAGGCATAGGGTCACTCAGCGCAAATATATTTTACATTTAGTGTTTTGAACCCTGACTTTGAACCAATGCAGTAGAATAATCCATATACATTTGAGCAAAGCAAGGCCGTGATGTTATTTCAACTTTTATTTAGTAATATTTCACACGGACATGTAAAAAAACCTGCATTTAATAAAAATATGTTAAAAAAACTTTCCCCATACACACATAATGTGAAATTGTTTTGAAGTAATATATTTAAGCTTTTAAAAACATGCATAAGTTGATTTCTTTCTCTAACACAAGACATTGAATGTTGTGGATTCAAATGGCACGCTTTTCATGGAGTGACCCAGGGAAAGCATTAGCATTAGCTGTTTTTGCTGTTTTTGCTGGTGCAGGTTGGACTTTACAATGGTACTATATTGTTGCTGGAATAGGAGGCGTCATTCTGCTCATGATAGCATGTAGCCTCGCCTTTGAATTCAGAGGTGAGCGTTATTTGACTTCATTCCTTTTGATTGGTCATTTTCTTAAATTACAGGTCAAGAAAATAGTACTGTTTTTAATTTTGCAGGAATGTGTCTAAAAAGATCAACAGATTCTTATTACGTCAACTCGCCAGAAATCCAGGGTGAGTCCCATTTGGTGTCCAGCTGATTTTACACACCGGTGTTTATTCAACAATTTGACCTTTTTATGGATTTTCTCATATAACCAGGAGCCGAGAACAAAGAGAGAACAGCGCGTAACACAGAGAGAGAGGAAAGTGACGGTCACTATGAAGACATGGACGGAGAGGCACATGGGGAGGATTATGAAAACATGCAAGGAGAAGAGCGTGACAGCCGAAACGAAGATACAGACGGAGACGAGGACAATTATGTAAACGCTGAAAGGGGACCGTGTGAAGGCCAGTATAGTGGTTCTGAGAGGGCAGAACCCGATAGGCACCATGGACAGACAGGTATGCAATGTAATAGAAGGAGTTCAAATACCACCATTTTCAATTGGGGCATTTTAACTATTTTTGCTATTTGAATATGGGCATTTTTAAATGAATAGTGTTCAAATATCCCAGCATAATTATGAATAAAAACGAAAACTTGTTTTCTTGCATGCAGCTAGCATAAGAAGTTGGGTTTATTAAGTGATTTATCTTTGTGGTGCAGGCGTATGTGACTAGCTGACATACAGAACTTGCACAACATATGGTGGGCAAACTTGTTGTATTTTTGGTTATATTCTTGTTTGAAATATTTCCGTATTGTTTATACCCTAGATTTTGCTTAATGTGAGATGAATACGTAATTATGTAAACAAATACACTATACCGTCATGCCTATTTGAGCTTGTCGGGTGATCCCATTCAACTTCATGGCCAGTCAAATGCAGTTTGCTCCCCTTTGCGGCTGTAATAGCCACCACTCTTCTGGGAAGGCTTTCCACAAGGCTTTGTAGAGTGTGTGCGGAAATTTGTGCCCATTCAGGCAAATGAACATTTTTGAGGTCAGGTTGAAAAGGTCTTGGATGAGAAGGTCTGGCTTGCAATTGATGATCGAGTTCACCCTAAAGGTATTCAGTGGAGTTGAGGTCAGGACTCTGTTCAGGCCCCTGAAGTTCCTCCACACCAGACTTGTCAAAACATGTCTTAGGTAGTGAAGCATAATTAGTCACTCCAGATGATTCATTTCCACTGCTTCAGAGTCTAGTGGCGATATGCTTCACACCACCTTAATGCTCGTGTGCAGCTGTTTGGCCATGGAAACCCTTTTCATGAAGCTCCCAACGCACAGTTCTGGTGCTGGTGTTGCTTCCAGGGTCAGTTTGGAACTCTGTAGTGAGTGTGGCGTCTAGCAGATCAGTTTTACAAACTGATTTGTGGCAAAGCCGGCGTCCTATAACAGTGCCATGTTTAAAGTCACTGAGCTCATCAGTACCACCCATTCTACTGCCAGTTTTTGTCTATGCAGATTGTATGGCTATTGTTGGCAATGTGTGTGGCTAAAACACCTGAATTCAATATTTAGGAGGGGTGCCCACATGCTTTTGGTTATAAAGTGTACCAAAATGTGTTTGAATGCCCATATACTGAAATGCTGGCGTGGGTTGTTGATTTGTGCAGGTTGTTTGACTCTCACAACAATGCAACTATATTTGATGCCATAATTAACAGAATGTCCATTCTCCACAGTGCACCATCACATTTTTGCACTGCGGTATCACAAACTCATGATGCATTGTTGCACCCCTGATTGCAATATACTGTTGTATGCAAAGGTTTGGGCACCCCTTGTCAAATGACATATACAACAGAATGATGTTGCTATGTAAACTTAGTGTTCATAGTAGCATCATGCCATTTACACTTACACGATTATATGCTCTTTAATACAATTCTTGATATTGATTCAACAGTATTAGCCTATATGTCAGCAATACAATTTGTCCTCAAAAAAGCTCTTTCTCTTGAGGATACTGTCCCTGTTTGATTTGTTACAGATATTGCTTACATCTACACTTATATCTGTATATGTGCATTTTCTAAAATTAAATTTGTCTATATGACTACATTTTTGCACTTTGCAACAATTTGAGTTGATGTGAAGGAGTAATTGATTTTTTTTTATTTAAGACAATAATAATGGACATGGGCACATGGACAACTATGATGTCTTAATGTAAAGTTATATTATTTATCATTTATTTTTATTGTTTAGCAGAAAAGTTACTGTGTTGAGCTGGGCTACCTGAAAAAGACCACTCTTAACACACACAACATTTACCCCAACTTCCACAACATAAATCAAAATCGGACAGCTGAGAGATGTACCTAATAAAAGCCAAAGAAAACAACACCGGCAAGCTAAAAAAACTCAAACCATCAATCATCCTTAGCTGAAGCTTACAGCCTCAGTGGAAGTGGAAAATTTTTATGTGTGTATTTTACCTTTGAAGTAGAGAGTCTGTACACGCAGCAACTTTTTTCTTCAAGTCAGGCTGACATTTTTATTTGTATTTGACCATTTGTAAATGGACATTCTCCACTCTGCCTAAGTGTCGTGTATCTTTAACACATCTTTTCTCTATCTGGAGCATTTGTGTACTTCATTGAAATGCATATTCTGTATTTACCCAGATGGGAAATCAAACCCCAGTTCTCTAAAGGGCAGTAGTGTTATTCACTACACTATACCAACCAGCATCATTCTCTTGTCCAAGATAATGAATTTACCTTTAACAATTGTTACTGTTAGATTGATATTTTTAATTATTTATTCGCTTAATTATTATGTGGAGTAATGGAAATTACTCTCATTTATGTTCTGGTTAATACTAAATAACCTCACTCTACAATTCACCCTTGAACACAGCTTCTCCAGTAGCTGCCTCCTTTGTGCTCATGGAAAGCATGAAAATATAGGTGTTTTGGTGTGTTATAGTCACATGATTTACCAGGCAGGGTTAGGGCAAATAGCCAGGCGGTGTGGTCAATGCTATTTTGACTTAGTTTATGTTTAAGTACTGATTTTAATTAACATATTGAAAAAAAAACAAATATATATATATATATATATATATATATATATATATATATATATATATAAAATATTAAATTCAGCAAATAAAAAGAATTTACATATGAATAAACACATAGTTTTTGTATGTTTCACGTTATGTTTCACACACATGCAAAAAAAATGTGTGATTACATGTGAAAAAACGTTGTCAACGGAGGAGGTAGAACAAACAACACAAACCCCTTAGTCAAGTAAAAGTACAAGTGCTCTGGTGATATTCTGGTAAAAGTAGAAGTGTGATTTACATTTTAGTACATAAGAAGAAGTATAAAAGTACATGATTTTTTAAACTAGTGTTCTTTAGTAAGGGTTAATTAAATAGATGCAGCCATGGCATTGAATGTAAATAATGGTTTTTATTAGACCTGCATGCATCATCTTCAAAATCATACAAATGACTGATTTTAATATCAGTGTTTTTTTTTCTGGAATATGCCAGGAATTGTTTTTTTTTGAACCAATTAGATTCAGATGTGCAAATATATCTAAAGTGATCGATCATACTTCGTTATTTCCCACCCTGGTTGTCACATGTGGAAAAAAATGTGTCACCATGTGTCGTTTCATGTCACCTTACATGGTCATACTTTGTTCACACGTGTCTGCTTGCACACTTCACATGTGAAATCTATGTGACCTTTTTAAGGGGTGGAACTTATTTTCACTTAGAAATTTAACAAATCATGTCATTTGACTAAGGGTGCTTTTGCATACGACTGAAATACTTTAATGCAGGACAGATTATTCTCTCAGTGCGTTCACAAAGAACGTAAATCTGAACTGATAATAACTGATAACTGAAAGTGAAATACACCTGAGCAGAGCAGTTCAGATCGTACCTCTCTCCTCTTCTCTTTTTTTTCCCTACAGGTCACCGTAGTAATACAACTGTCTATGGTATGATATGCTCCTTTCTTTTTGTTATCCACGTTTGACAAATAAAACTACTTATAAGGACAGTCAAAAAGTTCACAGTGGGAAAAGATGCAGTTAGTTCAACATGCCAGTTCATTTGACCTTGGTGTAAATAGCAGTTGATATTGGTTTTGGATATCTGTGATACTTTTGCACATAGTATGATACATTGTATGATAAACTGTTTTCATGTTTTATTCATCTCTTGTTGCCATTTGGTAATCTAAACTTAATTTAAACTATGTTCCTGTTCTGTTTTAAAGAAAATGATGAGCATGATCCCCGCTCTGTTCGGATAAGGCCACAACCTCAAAACAATGGTAATTCATCATTTTTGGCATCATTATTCCCTCATGACATGCAGGTAAATACAATGAACAGGGTGACTGAAATGCCACTGTTGTCCTCAGCTTTCAGAGAAATACCTGATCAGTCAAGCTCAAGTCCATCATACTATGGTACGTCTGTGGTTTTTTCTTTAGCACCCATAACAGTGGCTGATAACAATGCTTTTTTATTAAACTATTAAAATCTTGTGCTCTGTAATCTTCCAGCCAACCAGTCAGAAATCTACAAGCCCAGCAGTGCTGGCAAGAGGAAAAAACAACGCAAGAGAAAAACACAATGTAAGTATTTTTTCTTTATTCAGGTTACTTAATAGATTGAGAAACAACAGTCACTGCAACATATAAGCTGCCTACAGGTACCATGATACTAACATAAGTTCATAGTGCCAAAAACTGCAGATGTAATACAACAAATAACAAATATGTTATTGTCAATATCTTTTGGACTGCGATTTTCTACATTTGTCTTGCTTTCAAAATATAGCACTGTGCAAACGTCTTAGGCCTCACAGAAAATAATATGTAAAGCTACTTATTTGGGCATGTATTTGTAAAGAACAACAATAAATTCATTAACAGTAGAATAAATACAATTAACTGAATAAACAACACTGTGATTTTATTCACACTGTGATTTTATTCACAGGTCACAAACCTGTGTTCTACTTACTGTATTCTTCTAATAATTCTTCAACCTTTTTCAAAATATGGAATTCTTTTTGTGCTTTACCGTAGTTATGTTTATTTATATATTTTTCTCTTTTTTAATCTCTTTTTGTTTTACTGGCAAAAACATTTTGCCAGGATAAATCATTTTAAACAATTCTCCTGGCTGCCAAAGACTTTTGCATGGTACTGCGTAATATTCATGACAAATTAAAGTAAGAACCATTTAGAACATTATGAACAAATCTCTTACACATTTATTTACATTCATAGCATTTGGCAGATGCACTTATCCAGAGCGACTTCCAGTAGAATCTTGTTGCCCAAAGACACTTAGAACTACGTCAGAGACAAAAGTCAAAGTCAAAAGTCAAAAACGACCCTTCATTTATTTAATTTCCTGTGACAACTGCCATTAAGTACAAGTTATTCCTTTTTCAGGAGATATTTTTGAGAAGATTAGATGTAAGACTGCATAAGGAAGGTCATAATGGAGGGCACAGTCAAAGAAGAATAAGTGAAAAACAGGACTTAAAACTGGAACCCAAAATAATGATTATACAATGTAGAGAAACTGGGTCTCCTAACAACCATGGAAGACCTGGTAGACCTGAACTGTTCCCATCAGATACATGGCACTTAAAGCTTTCATCTTTGAGAGAGAGGAGAAAATCAAGCTCCAATTCTTGCTTCTGTCTTGATTCTTGTTTCTGTCCATCCTTCCAGTGTAAGAAGACAACACAGTGGCCCAATCCCTTTTCTTATTTTTACCTTTACCCCTTGTTTTCGAGTGTCATCTTGCCCCTTGGAACAAAGTTACAAGGGGTAGTGGTTGAAATCTTGCCCTATGAAATGGGACCCTCAAATAAAAAAGAATATTACTTCATTAACAGGCTACTAGAGGTGCTCTGTAGGCGACCCTGCCAGTCTGCAGTGATAGCAGAGGAGTGCTAAAGTTCAGCAACCTCACTGCTGGGAATCATATGCCTTAAAAGAGGGGGGTGCGACGGAACGGAAAATTTAGCCAGCTAGCTACTGAGACATCAGCAAACTACTAGCGATTTTTATCCTTGTCATGAAGAAAATGACCATAATACATTGAAAAGACATTAAACTAAGATAATACAATGGTTATTGTAATTACTAATTAAAATACTCACTTTTTGTGGGTTTCTTTGGTGCCTTGTGGCGCCATCTTGCTGGTTTTTCTTTTTTTCTCCTAACACTCTGTTTGGAGTGCGGCTCTGAAAAGCCTCTGTTTGGAGGACCATGTAGACCTAACACTTCACCCTATCCCTCTATCTTAACAACATTCGGGACACACTACACCTAGGCATGAACGTGCAAAACAGAGGGCTAAGGGCTAAGTGGTGGGGTGAAGGGTGAAATGGGATTGGGCCTATCAGTCTGAAAGGATGTGTAGCTGTCAAGAAACCCCTACTGAGAAAAGACAAAAAAGAAGAAAATCAAACAAGGAAGCTGCTGGTGCTCTCTGAACAATGGATTGACCACCTCATTGATTGTTTTTTGACTGAACTTTGGAGTTGTGGAAGAATATCCCTGCAGATATCTGAAAGCAAGTCTCCCAAAAAAGGACAGAAGCTGTAATAACCTCAGGGTACACACACTAAATACTGAAATACTAAATATATGTTGTCTACCATTTTCCTAAAGTTGAAAAATGAATAAATTGTACTTAATGGCCATTTTGACTGGAAATAAAATACATGAAGGATGGTCTCTGACTTTACTGTATTTACAGACAAACAACAACTATCATGATACACTGTAAAAAATGGCTCATCAGATCTACCTAAAAAATAATTCACGTGGTAAATACTTCGTAATGGTTTATTCAACCTAAATAAATAGTAAAAGTAATTTTTTAGTTGAATAATTATAATAAAAAAAACACTCATTTTAAAATATGTTTTACAGTGAGACCATTAAATATTTCATAATAGGTATAAAATCTTATCTCTATATATTACTATATATACTCTAAAGACTGTATCATAAGATAGGTGGGGTTCCATGTGCACTTATTTTCCATTGTGGAAAAGCCTTTTACATGATTATGAACCCTATCATTAGGTACACTGATACTGCATGAACAAGATATCAACATTACTGTGTTTTTCTGTTCTCATTTCTCTCCAGCAGCTCCTTCCGAATATCAGTTCAGAAATCCAATATACGGAGACAGCAGTATGGTGCCCAGAACATAGACACTCCTGTTGGAATTAATTGAAAATAAGGCTGTAGTTTAAGTATTATATGATGATAATTATTATTCCAGTGCATTTGTAAGGGCAAAAAAATAACTCTGCCGCAATCTGAGTGCTCTCTATCCTGACTGGAAAGACCGACTTGGCCCCAGTCAACACCACCGATCTTCCCAGCATCATTATGACTGAAGACCTAAGCCCTGCCCAACCCTAGCTGCCTGGATCTCACTCTGCATCCATGGGTTGTCACCGTCTGTGCTGGCTAGCATGAGCATCTGTCATTGATTGTCCATTCTCCTCTAGATCCGATGCTATATTGTGAAATATTAGAACTAGGTTCATAATAAAATGGTGTTTCACCAAGAAACATGTTTGTTTTCAATATTTGTGTTTTTTGCAGTGAGAATGTGTCAAGTAAGCTCATATGAGTAAAACATATGAATGAATCACGACATAAAGTGGCTGTCAACAACTGTATAATCATTAAAAAATATCAGAACTGATTGCTTTGGTACTGACAATTTTAGCTCATTTTGAGCAGAACTCAAAAACACTAGCCAGTACATGATTAGCAAACACAGCTTTGAACAGCTGTTCAAATAAAATTGTTTTTCACAATAAAATCACAATATTTTTCATTAAAACACAAAAAATTACTTAATTGCAGAAAAAATGTGTTTTGGTAGTGACTATTCTTAAAGTCCATGCATTTTAATGATTTTCATCTAACTACCACACTACAGCTGAAAATTGCTGTGTGCCTTTGTGTCAAGCCCCCAGTATTAAGTTTTCATAGTTTCCCTCCGATGCGGAAACCAGGCGAAAATGGATTGTCGCTATCCGGAGAGAGAAGTTTACTGTTAGTCCCCATACCTGCATTGTAGCCGGCGCTTTAAAAAAGAGGATGTTTCTGAGCCTGAATACAAATCAGCTGCACACTGTTGCATGTCTCCTGACAAACTATGAAAACAGGCCTCTTGTAAAGGCTCAGGCAAAAAAGCCAGAATAACACTTGTACATTGCAGTGGTTCCCAACCCTTGCCCTGTTTTGCATTCACATTTAGTCAGCTGGCAAATGATGTTATCCAAAGTAACATCCTCTGCTGGGCTTTTGTGAACATGGAAAAGGAGTAAACCTCCCACCACCTCCAACCTCAAAAGTCTTTTAGAGGATGTATACTGTATGTATACTTGCGGACAAAATGTAAATCTTGTAAATAGCAGTTATCTGTATATTCTTACATGAAATGTTTTAGATTGTTCATTATTGGAACTGGTTTGTTGAAATAAATTAAATTTGTTCAATTTAACTAGTACTCAATTTTTTGGCCACCTACCTGTCAGTCCTGCTCTCCTACCTTCCTGTAACAATCATCATAGTTTACACAAGACAACAAAAACACTCCAATGCTAATCATGTATTTCTATTACACTGTTAATCATTTCCTGTATAAAACTATATACACATACAAATGACTTTTGTACAATAATCTATTTAATAATAATAATAAAACAACAACAAATCATGTATAAATTGCATATCACTGCTGTCGGAAAAAAAAACTTGTATCTCCATTTTTGATGTTTTTCAGTTTTTGACATAATTTGAAAATTCCTGTTTCTCTTTATCTTGTGTATAACTTTCATAATGAATGGACCAAAACAAACGGCCCAAAATTACTTGGAAAAAACTCTGGTTCCATTGACTTAAATCAAAAGTAAAGTAGGTTTTTTCCTTCTCCTGTAAAGTTATCAGTTCAGAGATACAAGGTTTTCTTCCGACAGCAGCGATATGGATACCACTTTGAAATTATGAAAACACAAGGCATGTTTAAAATCATGAAACATAAAGAGCAACATTTCATTGATGTAACATTTGTAACAGCTGTGACTTACTGAGCTCTAATAAATGAATCAAATGGTAAAATAAAGAAAAGAAATTATAAAACATTGTAATCATTACTATTTACAATAAAAAGTAAATGGAATTTCTCACTTTTTACAATTAAGCGTTTTGCACATTTTCAGTTCTGTCTCAATCTATTTATCAGCAAAGCGTAGAGACAAAAATAAAAAATAAAAAAAGTCCATTTTTGAGGAAGCAGAGGTGATTTTTTTTGTCTTTTTAAAATACACATTTTTAAAATAATTAATAACTACTTATTGGAAGTATGAATGTGTTAAAATGCACAATAATGTGTAAGATTTAAAATATATTGGGTGAAATCAGCTTCCTCTTTATTCCCTATATCGCCCAGTCAGAGCAGCAGCGCAGGCAACTGCACACTGTTGTTGACACAAGATACATCCATAGCAACATAAACTTAGCCAATCAGTGTCCTCGAATCTGATTCCTAAACGGCGCTTCATTCACCGCCCCAAGCAGTGTCAGTCGGTGGTGGTGTGACACCTGATGTTTCTTCTAAAGTTGTATGCTGGCTTTAGGATTTTCTGGAAGGTACTGTTTTTACTCCAAAAAGTGCTCTTATATTTGTTTATATATACCCTATTGAATGTTGCTCTGTCACATTCTAAGTCTTATTTGGTTATTTGTTGTTTTGTATTTTGCAGAGTGCATGGAACCTGCTGGACTTCGCAATGAACCTGGTTCTGATGGCAGGGCCCAGGACCTCGTCTGAGTTTGACGACAGGGTCATCATGTAAGGAACATGCACTTTAAAATTCTCATCATATCATTCATCTACATGATTATTCCTCATAAAAAGATGAAAAACAGCACAGTAAAATTTGATCAGCTTGAGGCCAGGGAGCATAATTTAGCTGTCGTTTTCTGTCAAGTTACATTTTGTTTTAACTTTTAAACGCCCGTTGACAAAGTTTTTTCTTGTTTTTGTAATTCTGCAACTGATTCGCAGCTTCAGACTTTTTAGACACAACAAAGGAAGCTCTCCACATATTTTTCACAGACTCTGCTTTTGATACGATCAGTGTCTTCCTCCTTCTTGTAGGCAGCATGGTGGTAGATGCTCTCACACGATTCACAGTCTGTGCTTCAACTGTCAATTTTCTCAGTTTGGAGTTACAGGAGTTGCTATAATCAAAATTTTTAGTAAAAGCTACCATACTTATCCCTTGTAGGTGCAAATGGTGTGTTGCTTTGATGTATATATGCTTATTTATTTCTTTGATTCTGCAGCAGCTGTTTGCACTGATTGGAGTGCTGCTGTTCAGCAAAGCTGCCCCATTTGCTTTTGTTGATTTACCTATGGCACTCTTCACACTGTTCATCTGCGTCACCCAAGATGAATGGAAATCTAAGAAAAGTTTTAAAAGTAATCAGCTCTTTTTTCAGTTTAGTTTCAGTTTTAAAATAGCACTTTTTATCTTGGCCCATTTCTGTGTGGTCATATGATTAATTTGAGGGATTGACTTCCATTGTAGCTTCATAAGACATAGATACTTTTGTCTATATATATATATATATATATATGTATATATATATATATATATATATATATATATATAGCGATCAGGCCGTTTGTGTTGGTCATCCTCTAGTCCTTCATCAGTGGTCAGAGGACGCTGCCCACAGGTTGCTGTTGGCTGGATATTTTTGGTTGGTGGACAATTCTCAACCCAGCAGTGACACTGAGGTGTTTAAAAACTCCCACACTAATACACAAACACCACGTCAGTGTTACCGCAGTGCTGAGAATGATCCACCACCAAATAGGACCTGCTCTGTGAGGGTCCATGTATATATATATATATATATATATGTGTATCTATATATATATATATATATATATATATATATAAATATATATATATATATATATATATATATATATATAATGTTTTTCTTTTCAGTGGCAATCCTGCACATACGTATGGTGCCATGCTGTATTTCCTTGCATTCATCTGTGTCGGTATCTTCATCTTTGTGAACTATCATCATAACAGAACAACAGAAAAACAGGAAGGTTCTTCCGTGGTAAGCCTGCACTTTAAAACTATAATGACAACAGAAGGCAAATACCTTTTCATAAATATTGCTTAAAATATAGACTGGACAAACATATTGTTGTCCGTATGTGCATGCTCTGTAAATGATCATTTTACACTAAATTCGATCAAATTTAAATCAATAGACGAACACAGAAGACCTAAAGCAAGCCAGCGATCAGGGCATTGCCCATGTTGAAGAGATCATCAGAAACACAAAAATGACTACACGCGAAGACACCGGATTGGCTGCTGTCGCAACAACCTCACTGTGGAGAACTTTGTAAATCTACTCTTAGCCAGTGATGTGATACACGGGAACCAGAGGGAATATCTGAAGCTGTATCAGGAGCTAGAGGAGTATGGTTCAACAGCACAGCTGACACATCGATTATTTTCTTTGTATTTTTTATTATTAGTCATTAATAGTTTGTAGTTGAGCCTAACCTGCACCATTTGAGGCAAAACATCCTTGGCTTAATCTTTCAGAAGGTATTATGAGTAATTCTACTTGAATTGTAGAAAAAAAAGCATTGTTCTGACTGTAAATATCTTCATCCAGGATTTTGGAGGAGGTCAGTGACCTGCCTATCAACAGAAAGCAGGAACAGGAGGTGATGCTGCAAAGCCAGGTGGCTGCTACTGTGTAGGAGAGCATGTTGAGCAGCAAGATCTCCTTTGGCTGCACTGGGGACATGCTGTCGATGCTCATCACCCTGGAGAAGGTAGAAACTGTTGCTGAGCACAAATACTTTAAGCACCATAAGCAGCCTAGAAGTGTACCTTGTTCCACTGGAAATGAGCCACATATTGTATCTCGACCATTTACTCTGAGCGTAATTCTCTGTTTCAGGCCCGCATTATCGACTCCAACATAGACACGCCTCAGCTCTACACTAAAGGCATAGTCTGAGAAGGCGTAAGAAAAAATGGCTGCCGTCAAAGCATGACGTCTGTTGGTCCTGTGAGAAACCAAAGGCCTGGACTTTGTCTAATTTAATGCTTTTAAGGTTTAAGGTTTCTCAGTTGCATCTGGTACATCTGTAAAAAAAACCTTGGTGTCACGATCGATGCACATATCACCAATATTACTAGAACAGCTTTCCTCCGTCTTTGCAATATTGCCAAATTAAGAAATGCAAGAAAAAGAAATACTTTTTCTTTGTCGAGGTGAGCAACTGCCCATCCTGTGTGGTCTGATGCTGTTGCTTCCTCTGCCTTGGTTGGGTGCCCACTGCTCACCAGCCTTCTAGACAAGTTTGACCACCATGGAACATCTTGCTGTACAACGCTGCACAAATCTCTTTTCGTTAGGCTGTAATAGCTTGACCTGCAGGGG